AGACGCTTCTGACGTAGGTATTTAGAATAATTTAACTAATGTCATATAAAACAGCATCAGCCATTCCAATCATAACTTTTACTTAATAAATATGGCACTTTTCAATCGAACAAACTTAAATTTTAAGTATAGAGCAACTATACCCGAAAACAAAATGAATTTTTAACATAAACCTTAATTATATATTTAATCTAATATATTTAGCGTTTCCCGAAATGATCGGATAAAAACATGAATAGAAAGAAAACAGACAACATTAGAGCGTTTGATTTGAGGTGATGTTTAATTTAAGCTGAAAAATCGACATGGGTCGATCAATATAGAACTGGATTAGTAAAATACTGATTGATAAGGTTTCCAAACCGTAATATTGTAAGTATTATGGGATAAGTAACTGTATTTTAATAAAAGCTTCTTGGGGTATCCTTGACCTAGTGAGTAAAATGAGTATGATACAACTATATCTGATTTAAATTTTCGTTTCTATGTATGGGGAAGACGAACTCATTTTATGTTGTATGGCCCATTTTATGTTAAGGGGTTTTTAAAATACCTCGGACAACACAACTTAAATTGCGCAGCTAATTGTAGAAAAAACCGGAACGCTCGACTACTTCGAGGCAGAATTATACATAATATGACGATTACGTGGGGATACTCCAACATAAATTTGCGAATTTGATTTTTATTACCTATCCGATGTTATCAGTTTATCGTGGTAATTCTTCGTATTGCAGTGGTAACTAACATTGAATAAAAAATTTGACAAATGCCTGAATCGCATTAACGATATTTTCAAGATATGTTTACATACATACAATTTCCGAATAATAACACCGGACCGTCGTCTACCGAGCAATTTCACCAGCTCATTGCAAGCTCTTCCCCCTGTCTATTCCATCAAAGTATGTTAGGTACGTACCGTTGTCCCTCGTATAACACTGTTCCGATATAGCACAATACAAATTAATCGTGTTTTACGAGGGACGTCTGTATTAAAAAAGCTAATAGCTGTGTAAATATTTTGAACTATTGAACCCCTGAATACTGTAACATACGTGTACACTACTGATCTCATACAGGCTAGGGCCACGAGTGTTTCTGAAATCTGGAACTTGTATATAAAGTTGAACAATAATATCACTGTTTGAATGCTTTGCAAGTATAAGTCAGAACTATTTTCATTTATAAATAATGAATTTGCGTATTCGGAAGTAAATTAGGCAAACCTTTATAAGTTTCAAACTTATTTCAAAACTGCTTTTCCAAATTCAAAACAATAACAAAAAATAGAATTGGCTAAAGCTAAAACAATTTTTTTGTATGTTTTTTCTGCTGAAGCATGCATGGTAACAAGTTTTGTTTAAGACGTAGATGTCCTTAATGTTTTCAACGCCCTCTCGTTTCTTGTTTCAGTTTTAGCTACTTTTCATTTATGTCGACAGGGCAGGGCTAGTGTGAATTTGACATTGAATATACTTGAATTTGTGATTTTTATTTATATCGTAACGTTAGATTGCCAACCACTTCGATAAAGCGGCACGACACGAGAACCCTCTCATCGTGGCCGCCGGTAACTACATTCCCGATCCTGCGGACAGAATGGAAAGCAGTCGACGTCGCCCAAAACACGTCATCTCGGATCCTCCCGATCCACTAACGGTGCTTCTAGGTACTTCAAGCACCGGTCACCGTTCTCGTCGAACCCGTCGCTTGCGACGAAGGGCTCGACGAGTAAATTAACTCTCAGACACAGCCCACTGAGTTTCTCGCCGGATCTTCTCAGTGGGTCGCGTTTCCGATCCGGTGGTAGATTCTGCGAAGCACGGCTCTTGCTAGGGTTCGTGTTAGCAACGTCATCAGGTTTGAGCCCCGTGAGCTCACCTACAAAAGTTAGGGTTACGCTGATATAGCCTCTGAAGGCTCTCAGCTTAGGAAGGAATAAAAAAAAAAAAAAAAGATTGCCAAAATACTTCTTAAAAACAATGCATGAAATAATAACATGTTTAACTACCGATAGGAAAGTAATAAGCATTGGGGAGGTCACAAGCCCGCAGGGCAGATAAACTCGTTAGAGTAAGATACGCCGACAGCCAAGTCGCGAGTGACGACACGACAGCGCACGCCGAGACCTTAGATATCTCCTTAATCTTGTTGTGACTCCGGGGCCGTCGTTTCCGATTCTCCGCAAATTACCTTTCTGGATCGACAATCTAATTCTGTGTCGTTGAAAATGTTTTTCTTTCAAATTACAATCGTTGTTTCATACTTGACAAATAAATGGGGATAGCAGAGCAGACCTTTAAGGTGTTGAGTTTGTCTGGAACACGTAGCACCTCGATGTTTCTACGTTAAAAGGTTCTTATTGACGCAGCGTTTTATTCGAGCACCGTGGCTACGCTCTTCACCTTGTAATTGATTGCTTTGTCACGTAATTTGTTTGTACTCCAGGCAGAGCGTGCCATCCTCGCGGGAGCACGTCGACACTCGCGCTATTCTCATCAAACCTGTTAATAATAAATGTTGCAGTATATATCTTACACGTTTCATGACAACTATAACAATTAATTTAGTGTCAAATAAAAATATGTAATATATTTAAAAAGGTTTTGTAATTTATGGTTTGTTTTAAAAATTATAAATTTACTACTTTTAGTGTAAATATAAACCAAACATCTAGTTAAATATTAATTATAGGCAGAAGAAACATGGCTCTTTATCTGTTTGGAGTTTGCCGTTATCGACCTTCGAGAGATCTTAAGGACGGTTAAGGTAGCAAAAAAACGCATTTTTTCTCTATAATGTTACATTTGCTACTAAATATGATCTCATATTATTTATTAATCTTAAGTTTAGTTGTCAAGAAAAGAAAACATTTTAAATATGGCAGACAACCGATACTGGTAGACTGAAATAAACGTAAGCGGTCGTGTAAAGAGCCTGGTGCGGCAAGGCGGGATCAGGGATATGTATCAATAAATTTGAAGCTGACAAATAATAAACTTATTTTATGGTAGTAGGGCGTACATCAACTATCCTTAAGTGAATACTCGTAGCTTAGTCAATTTTTTCATGAAAAATTTCGTCATTGTCCATCATATTGAATGTTTTACGGTCTTCAAATTTTTGATATTTTAAGTGTGCTGTCACCACAATCACCTTTAGCTATTAGCTCGAAGTCTCATTGCATTGTTTTAAGTTTAACGCGATTATTTTTCATCATTTATGGAATTCATAATAATATGATGATATAGTTTTATGAAAAAAAGTACACCTTATGGCCTAAAATATGTGGAAATGAAGTAACAACCTGTGCATAAATAATGCTACAATATAGAAAACAAGAATCCTATGTTTGAATTTAAAACCAACGTTTTCATTTAAATTGCAGTCATTTGAGTAATTGAAATTACAATGAAAGAAAAACATTAAAACATTCTCAAAAATCCGCTTTTCAGTCTTATGCGGTTACCATAATAAATTTTCAAATTGGCTGTGTTGTGACAAATTAATATTGTAAGATGCAACATAGGGTACACTGGGTAGAAACCGGATTGAGCCTGATCACAACCGCGCGCATACCTTCACTAATAACCCTGTAATTGGTATCGAAGGTAGCCAGCTACAGCCGGATTACTGATCGTCTAATTGAATGCGAGTCGTTTCCGGACCGCCGTACCTCCTTCCAGACGAAGCTCGCTGTACGGTGTTATCTCCCAACCCAGTATTGTGTTGGTCAAGTTACTCGGGTTTGCGCACGTGCACAGAACGCTTCAATATTCTCGTACACCGACCGGTCAATTACATCGACTCGATGAATTAAATTGGCGTGTAATCGGGTGACCGCTTCCTTATGGAGATCAAACGAGCGTCGAACGAGACTTTAAATTTTCTGAACGACGAGGCTGCGAACTTTACGGCATCAGATAATAATCATTTCGTGTCAATTAGCTAATGTAAAATAAAATAAGCGTACCCTAATGTACGACAGTCGTAATTAAAATTACTCTGACGATTTGATGGCATCTGTTTTAAATCGTGAACACCAAAGTAACTTAAATTAATTGTAAAACCACATCATATTGATTAAATTTCTGAACGTTGTTCAGATTGATAATAATAGCAAAATTCAATGTATTCATTCGAATGGTAAACGATGTTATCCATTTCCACGTGGAAGTGGAAATAAGTTAGCTTATTAAGTTAGATAATAGTATGAGATTTAGGAAAAATTTACACAACTTTTTCGGAAAAAAAAACATGAAATTATGATGAGCTAAACTATGAACAATAAATTATTTTAATTAAACGCAAACCTTGAATAAATAAATTTATATTTTTGATAAATGTTATTAGGTATGTGGTTATGATCTAACAAAGAGTTGGAACGAATAGACATCGCGGCGAGGTGTGCATAGCTTGTATCGCGATTTAGATGATGTTTACAGATATCAAGCTCGCTCACCGACCTGGACGCGCGCCAACTGATCTCCTCTCAACAGGTACATGAGAGAGAATTCGTGTGCTCCTAATGACATCACACGCCTTGCCCACTCTTAAAACTGATTCACCTCATTCAAAGTATTTTAGTCTAGTAGGAACCGAAAATATTATTGTTATGCAACTTTTTTTATTTGTAACGAAGATGACTAAACCTACGTATGCGTGTAGCACTAGAATCTATTTAAAATGAAAAATCCTTTAATTTGCTTATCAGAGGATAATCTACGATACCAGCAAACAACAAGTGCATCGGACAGCGTGCAGCTTTTTATTAACTTTTTAAACGATCGTGTTAATTAGAGCGCTTTGCGAGTAGCCCTCGAGCGCCGCACATCTGCACCGTGCAGTCAGAGCTCGGTAAAAAATTGTAAACGATATGTTTCCGTACTAATTAAATTGGTATACGATATGCAATGTGTATAGGTTTTTTGAATTATAAATTCGAATCATTATCAATTAACAAAATGTATTAACAATAATTTGTTTTATTGTTGCAGCAACTAATTCGGTCACAACAAGCGGCAGCAGCGGGCGGACAAGCGGCAGCGGCACAGTTACAACTGCTGCAGCAACAACAACAGCAACAGTTCCAACTGCAACAGCAAATAGCCGCCCAACAAGCGTTCACGCAAGCCCCGTACGTAATCAACACAGGACAGGAAGGTGCGCCGTACGTGAGCGCATTAATCGCGGGAGTTCCGCCTTATTACGGAGTCGCAGCGCCATGGGGAGTATATCCCGGCCTCGTAGCGCAACCCGCGCAACAGCAAGCCCAGCAACCGCGACGGCCGCTCACTCCGCAGCAAGGCGAACAGCAGGTTAACGGGCAAGGCCAGTACGTGATTCCTTACTACGACCCCGGCTCGCTGGTCATGGGCGGCCGCAACGGTACCCCTCTGCGACTCGTGTCGCCGGGCGGCGTGCTCGCCCCGCGCCAGTACCAGCCGGCGCCCGCACACCCCGCCGCCGGCGCCGCGCCCCCCGCCCCCGCCCAGACGCACCAGCCGCAGCCGCCAGGTAACAAACACCACGTGCAAACTTATGCGCACTCGCCACTAGCTCACTCACATTTACACTGCCTTCGATTGTTGTGTACATTTTACACACAAACAATGGCGAACGTCTCGTTTTTTTATAGAAAAATATTATAATATAATTTATGATCGTTGAAACGTTCGATTAGAACTAATTTTTCATAAAAAAAATTAAGTCGCTATCTTTTCTGACTATTAAAAGTGAGTGTGCACAAGGGGATACTTCTTTTCTTTCATCTTGTAAATAAAGTTACCAAACTGAATTCCAGATGCATGGTGTGTCTAAAATGCATAGCATATTTTGAATGAAATTTTGCTTAATCCTCGTGTAAGTTTTTTAGTAGTTCGAAAATACATAATAATAAAAATACAGGAAAATATTAAATTTTACTCTTACCAAATAGATTTCTTTAACTTCTAACAAAGTTGCAAGTATTGAAGAGAGGTGATGATAGTTTGCTTGCAAAATAAAAATGAATAGTTATACCTTTTCTGTTCATACGTAAATAATATGCACAAGTATTTAATTTAGTTTACATTAAAATCAAATCAATGTAGGTAACATCTCGTTAATAGTAGTGACCTTTTCATCTTATGCTTCTTTTAAAATAACAAGTGTCTCATATACATTTTATTATATAATATTCTCACTGCAAGTGACGGCGGCAAATGTAAATGTAGACGGCAAAACATAAAAATTTACATATTCTCATAATATTTTTTAAATGTATTAGTTTATGTACTATGTATATACGAGTAACAGTAATGTATATAAAAATTTTGAAGATTTACTTTACTTTTATTAAGTAGAAAAAAAATCACTCAATCAATAAAATATTAGGTACAGCTAGTAAACATAAGGTGCGTACATTAGTGGTAGTAACAAAAGGTCTCTAGATAAGCCATTTTTTTTCTTTTATAATATTTTACAATCTAAATCCTATTTTTGAAATTACTTAACCGGTTTTTTATTGACTTTATTCAAAATTTCTGTTTGACTCTAGTAAACATGTATGTCCGTCTGGTTTTGGCACTGGCAAACATGTCTGTATATTTGAAAGAATACAGTATTACTCATTAAAGAAAAATATAGAATAATGTGAATACAAATATACAATCCACAAAGTAATAGCGTTTTTATATAAAATATAATATTTTTGAAAATATTTAGGCCCTCACAAAACACTGAACTTTATTTTAATAAAGTAATATTATGTGAAGCTTAGAGAAGAATGGAATTTATTTAATTTGGTCGCCATCGCTTTTGTCTTATTAGTCTGTTTGTTGGAGGTTAGCAATAAATATAAATTTAATTCCATGCCATACTAGACACATTTTTCTCATTCTAAGAAAAAATTTAGAATTTGTGCTTTTTGGTTCCTTGTAGGTTTATAGTATTCTAAAACATCAGCTACCGATAGCGACTATTCCACAAAGCTGTTAACCCAATAAGACGAATAATATGTGAACTTAGATGATGATAACACATTCAAATCTGTATAGTAAATCCGAACAATTTATTACTTCCACAAATATACATGTTTACTGTGGCAGACACTATTTAAAAACACATTTGATGATCAGTACGCACCTAGTAGGTAATACCGGTATGAGTAAACGTGGAAGAGTGTAAAGTTTTGTACATATCGATGTCGCCACTCGCCCGCGAGGCCTCCGAGTTCGCGAGTCGTGTACAGAACGTAGAGGAGAGTGGAGGAGCAGAGTGTTGGAGCGCGGAGGTATGTCGTGTTACAGGCGGCGCGAGCGGCGCGCGGCGGGACTCGCTGGAGTTCGGCGGCGGCGGCGCCCTGCACGAGTACGCACGCAAGTGGGGCCCCTCGCCGCTGTCCCCGCCGCTGGGCGCCGCGCTGGGGCCCGTGGGGCTGCGGCCCGTGTCCGCCGCGCCCGGCGCCGAGACCGCCAAGTACAGGTCTGTTCGCGCGCGCACACTGTACATATCTGCGCTTCTGTACATTATTAATCCTGTTGCCGTTCGAGCTTGTCCATTCGTTCATTCTAAAATTTACTCGTCTGGTTTGCGTTCCTGAAGGTATTTTATCGTTTTCCTTTCAGAGCTGTGAGCAGTTTAGCCCAGGGACTCACCTCTAATGGAATGTTTGGTTCGTCTTCATCGCTACTCAGCAAACTCGGTGGAGTTGGAACTATCTCAGGTCGGTATCGTTAGCGGTGGTGCCCCTATGTCACCGTTGTCATGTACATATACATATACACGACTTGTAAATATGATTGTTGCATAAAATGTATATTTTAATTATGGAGGCCAGTCTACCACAGCTTCTTCATGTAAATATTTAATCTTTTAACTAATTAATGATTTGCATAATCATGAATATAATAAGCAAATTATGATGTACTGAGCGAATAAGTTTCGAAGAAAGTTAGTCGTTGCTCATACAAAGGTATAGTGTGAAAGCAGTAGTAACATGTGAGCGTTTGCACACAGAGCTGGTGAGCGGAGGCGTGGGCGCGCTGGTGGGCGACAAGCCGGCCGCGGGGCGCTCGCGTCTGCTCGAGGACTTCCGCAACAACCGCTTCCCGAACCTGCAGCTGCGCGACCTCGCCAACCACATCGTCGAGTTCTCGCAGGACCAGCACGGCTCCAGGTACCGCACCCACCACAATGCTCTGAGAAATTGTGTTCGAGATGATACCGTCATCTCGTTTTTACCATCGCACCGCCCGCCACCGGAGTAGAGTTCACCATACTACCTGGAGCCATTGCGATCATCCACAGTGCGTTTCCAGAGGTCGTGTGCTCGTCTGCCTACAAGGGCAATAAAAAAAATGTATTTGTTTCTTGGTCTTGTGTTCTCATCGTCTGATAATGGCGAAAATCAATTGAATGCTATGAGTTGTTGCTCGAATCGATAATTGAAGTTCTACTCTACAAACTACTAATGTTATTGCATCGAATCTTGCACGGGCAGCGCGGGCGATCTTGTCTAAATCTGCCGCAAAGTAGTCACGTATTCGAAGGGTGGGACACTTTACACTATACACTAGAGGGTTCGCTCTCATGTCTCAAGGTGGTAACGAGTTACACCGGGGCGCGAACTTGCCCATCCAACTCATGAAATAACTAATACATGAAAGAGAGCGCATTTGTGGAACTAAATTTGACGATGAACATAATATGACGGCCGTAGTTAAGTATTATTAATAAAAGACCATAACAATTCATTACGATACATAAGACAAAAAAGCAGCAAGCAAAATGTATTGCAATTGAAAACTGGAGAAAAATAAACTGTCGTCTTACTTTTCTTATACTTCTGCGGTGATTGATATGAAGATCTTTTTGGTTTAACAATCCTTTTTTAGTTTTTAATTGCCACCATATTTATATAAATTGTCGATAAACATAAATTTAACTACTTAATAAATAACTAAAATTACAGAATGTTAAGCATTGATACTCTTACTGATTATTCAAGTGTTGTGGAATTTAAAAAAATATTCAACTACTGAAATGATTTCATTGTTATTTAAAACGTAATAAGTAGCGATAAAATAAATACAAGTGGCCAAAAAATTACAAACAATTTGCCCTTGGCTTACCACTGTAAAATTGACGCTCATCTTTCATACCTGTAGGTACTGAATGAAATTTAACTATTTTTCACCTAAGCATACATATTTATTGTTACATTATGTACACATTATACCAGAACCTGTCAAAGTGAAGTAACAGTTTCAAAACCAACAGACTTCCACGAAATAATTGTGTTTATAAATGAACAAAAGTATTTCTCGATAATTCATGTACAGTCTTCATATTATTATATTCTTCTATTTAGATTTTTACTTTAGTTATGATGAGCGAACAAATACAAAAAGATACATGTGGTGTTAAATTTTGTGTAAACCATTGTTGTGTACACAACAGGACGTAATTGTCACATAGGAAATGTATTCTAAAAATTTATTTAAATTTAAGTAACAAATACCAGTTACCCTTCAAACTTAAACTCATTGCATCATGGCACAGTTCGGAAAGTTTGGCAATTTGTGGCATCAACACATCCCACGATCAATGAAATCAACCGTAAATAAAGTAGAGTTAGAGTAACAAAAAGTAAATAACTATATATTTTTTTGGTTTTTCAGATTTATACAACAGAAACTAGAAAGAGCAACAGTCCAAGAGAAACAAATGGTATTTAACGAAATTATCGGGGCAGCGTACAGCCTCATGACGGACGTCTTTGGGAATTATGTAATACAGAAATTTTTCGAATTTGGCACGACCGAACAAAAAACCACACTTGCACAAAAGGTGAGTTGCATATAAAACTATCTAATCATATTTCTATCGTAAATTTCTATAAGCTTAGTTAGGGGTGTTCAGATTTGATTGTGTGTATATTTTTCTATTTAACTCAAACAAGAACAGCCCACGTGATGTTAAGAGTTATTGGAGCCCATAGACATCGCTGCGTGAATTCTGCCTGCAAACTTGAAACTTGAAACTTGAATTCGAAGTTACAATCGTAAAACTAAACATGTCGCCCTAAACACGTCATTTCGGATCCTCCCAATCCACTAACGGTGCTTTTAGGTACCTCAAGCACCGGTCACGGTTCTCGTCGAACCCGTCGCTCACCCTACGCAGGTTTTGGCGAGTAAATTAACCTACAGACACATCCCACTGAGTTTCCCGCTGGATCTTCTCAGTGGGTCGCGTTTCCGATCCGGCGGTAGGTTCTGCGACGTACGCCTCTTGCTATGGCTAGTGTTAGCAAAGTCCACAAGTTAGAGCCCCGTAAGCTCACGTACTCATTCTGTGAATCTAGCATGACTCTCCGAGGTCACTAGACTGGGTAGGACAAGTACTAATGTGACATTATCAATATTTTTGATAATCGAATATGATCGATTTTTATTTGACGTACATTAAAGTTGATACAAGAGAGCACGTTTATTTTCATAACGCTTTGTACGTGATTGTTGGATTAATTTTACGGGATGTTACTGGTTGTACAGGTGCGCGGTCACGTGCTCAACCTGGCGCTACAGATGTACGGGTGCCGAGTCATACAGAAGGCGCTCGAGTCCATCCCGCCTGAACAACAACAAGAGGTCGTCAGAGAACTCGACGGACACGTGCTTAAATGTGTCAAGGACCAAAACGGGAACCATGTTGTATGTACACATATCTATATCTATCATCATCATTTTTTAATATATAAATATATATACTATACTAATATATAAATCTACTGTGGTTTTTACGGATGCTCCATTATAACTACTGAACCATGCATCCGATTGACTTGAAACTTGGTATCCGTGTAGAAAATACATGTACTTAATGGATAGGTTAATTCTTATATGAGTGTTGGACTCCCTACATCAGTTGCGGGGGCGTTAATGATGAGAATCTTTGTGGTGGCGAGAAATAATAATGTTAATTTGAAAAGCCCAGCGAAGCGGACGGTTACAGCTAGTTACTTTATAAAAGTTGATAAAAGAGCAAGAAATTAAATTGTTATGAAATAAAAATATTATTTTTGTTAAATTGCAGGTTCAAAAGTGCATAGAATGCGTGGAGCCGTCAGCGTTACAGTTCATAATAAACGCATTCGCGGGTCAGGTGTACGCGCTGTCCACGCACCCGTACGGCTGCCGCGTCATACAGCGCATCCTCGAGCACTGCACGCCCGAGCAGACCGCGCCCGTGCTCAACGAGCTGCATGCCCACACAGACCAGCTCATCACGGTCAGAACGCACACTTTCTGTACCCCACCCTACATCCGCCACAGCATCGGGTACCCCCGACCCGGTTTACGAGCTCGCTACCCCACCTGTTGTTTGTTACTAAAATCCATAAACCAATACGTGAACGTCGCCACCATCTTTCAAACCGGAATGCATCTACACGTGAAGAAAAATCTGTATGCGGATTTGTATGCTTTAAGTTCATTTTAGATAATTAAGATTACACAGTATAAACTATTTATTTATGAATATGATTTAATTTATACTGCAGGATCAATACGGGAACTACGTGGTGCAACACGTGCTGGAGCACGGCGCCGGCGAGGACCGGTCGCGCCTGGTGGCCGCCGTGCGCGGGAAGGTGCTGCAGCTCTCGCAGCACAAGTTCGCGTCCAACGTCGTCGAGAAGTGCGTCACGCACGCCACGCGCAACGAGCGCGCGCTGCTCATCGACGAGCTGTGCGGCTTCAACGACAAGTACGTGCGGCCCCGGCACCGCCCCCGCCCTCCACCCGCCCACCTCGCCCCAACTAACTCTCCCGTACTGTTGCAGCGCTCTCCACGTCATGATGAAGGACCAGTTCGCGAACTACGTCGTGCAAAAGATGATCGACGTCGCGGAGCCGACGCAGCGTAAAGTGTTGATGCACAAGATCCGACCGCACATCGGCTCGTTGCGCAAGTACACGTACGGCAAGCACATCATCGCGAAGTTGGAGAAGTTCTTCATGAAGGCGCCGGAGCTCGGCCCCATCGGCCCGCCGCCGCCGGGCGCCGTGCTTTAGGCGGCCAACACTTTTATACATTTGTGAATATTTGCGATTGTACATTTGTAAGTAAAGAGCCCGCGGCGCCTGTACATAGCCACGTCCCGGCGGCAGACTGATGTACAGAACGTGCGTATCCGAGTACTTGTAACAGTTGTATAGAGTCGTCTCTCCGCGACTTCATATTTCGTTGCGTTTTATAGTTTTAAGTGTTCTAGTATTATTCGTTGTTCGTATGAATCTATGTATAAATATTTGAACGTCTCTCATTCTTGTGTAATTTATGATTCGATGCAAAGCGGCGGGCGACGGGCCCGAGCGCCTCGTAGGTTAGTTCGTTGTAGATTTACTGTTAGCTGGGCTAGGGGACCTTGAATCTTCTGAGCGACGGAGAGATGCCGCAGGCAGTTCTGGACAATCGACACTATAGTCGTGATCGTAGCGTTATTTTTTTGTATCAAGCTGAGCTCTCGTTTAAGTTTTATGAACCGGCTTAAAATCGTATATAGACTATCGAATATTTTTAGTGCCGGTGTGTATAGATGGTCGGTTATAATTTGTGAAAATGATATTTTTGTATATTTTTATGTAATTAAGTTATTTAGTAAAGAGCCCCGCGAAGAGCGGGATCAGCTCTGTCGAGTGGACGATGCTTATGTTGTAGTGTGTGCTTAGGTTATAGTGATGATTGTAAAGTTCTGTACTGATAGATGTAGTTCCGAGGTCTACCTTGCCGTGTGCACGTCGAACACGTAGCTGCTCCTCATTCCCCTGTGTAATAAAATTGAATAGGAAGCGTAGATTCCTGCGACACCTCAGATTTTTTACGTCTAGGTATAATTGAAAATAAAATTGTTGTAAATGGCTGTACAAAAAATGTTAACAAAAATAATTTGTGAATCCCATAATGTGATGGAATTTGGATGAGACGTCGAGAGAGACAGCTGACGGAGCCGTCCCTCTGGAGGCCTCGTCTGTAGGTTGTACTAGATAAACGTTTATAAGAGGATCCATCTATTTAGACATTAATTAAAATAAAGCATTTCTGTAATAATATTACAATGATAATTTTGTTTTATTCCCCACCCTGTTTTACCTTTTATAATAATTAAAAGGCGATCGCAACTGCGGTAGTGAATAATAAAAATGACATCACCTTAATGTAAGTGCGGTGTAAGCGGCGGACGCGTATACGTACGGGAGACCGCGGGCGCGTGTCCGTAACGGCACGAGAATGTCTCCACCCACACCTGCACATGTGCGGCCCGAGTCTCAATAGGACAGCATGACGGCTGTCATATTTTCTATATTCATATGGAACACACTACGGCTTGGTCGCAAAAATATAAAGTATGGTGCATAGGTGTGACTTGTGAGTAGACCATTTCGATAAAGCGGCACGACACGAGAACCCTCTCATCGTGGCCGCCGGTAACTACATTCCCGATCCTGCGGACAGAATGGAAAGCAGTCGACGTCGCCCCAAACACGTCATTTCGGATCCTCCCGATCCACTAACGGTGCTTCTAGATACCTCAAGCACCGGTCATCGTCGAGCCCATCGTCGCTTGCGACGAAGGGCTCGACGAGTAAATTAACCCTCAGACATAGCCCACTGAGTTTCTCGCCGGATCTTCTCAGTGGGTCGCTTTTCCGATCCGGTGGTAGATTATGCGAAGCACGGCTCTTGCTAGGGAGTGTTAGCAACGTCATAAGGTTTGAGCCCCGTGAGCTCATCTACTATAGTAGAATTATTTTGTCCGTGCAGTTTGGGTCATAAAAAATCAGAGCGGTGAAGCGAGTAATTCGCTCTTCCACTCACGAGCCTTATAGACGGGCGTAGTGATGCGCATTACTGTTGTCGATAAGCGTTATCGATAGTGTTATTTAGTTTTGTAATTTTGTGGGTTAGTGATAAAAATGATAGAAAAAATCACTAATCGAACACTTACACCACATATCGCTGCAGCAAGTTAACGAAAACGGCAGAAATTAACACTTTGTAACTTTTCGGGATCTATTCTCATTTCAGTGAAAAATTTTAACACATTGTTGATAACAACACGTGCAATATTTTGAATAAATATTTTGAATAAATTCTGCCGTTTTAATAGAAAACAAAGGAGTAGCCATTGTGTCACTAAAGAAATTCAGAACGAATGCATAAAAACACATTTCTCTTCGACATAATACAGGTAAGTACAAATGACTCATAACATGCCCCAAATTGCACGGACAAAATAATTCTACTATAGTTAAGGCGACATTGTTAAAGCCTCTCAAGGCTATCAGCTAGGGTAGGAAAAAAAAAGTGAGTAGAGGGCGGTAAGGGTGGCCAAATACCACAGTCTCCCCAGTTTGAGGGACAGCGAGCTCCAAGCTAGTGTCATTTAGTTAAAATGTAATAAAAACTAAGAAAATATTAAAATACTTGAAACTAATGTAATTAAAGAAATCCCATGTAACTAAAGATCTACATACATATTTTTATTGTAATACTAGCTGACCCGGCAGACTTCGTAGTGTCTCAATCGATAAATAAAAGACCTAAACTTTTATATAAAATAACCTTAAAAAAACAAAAGGAATCCGTCCGACAGGGGGACACATCAAAGGAAAAACAAAATTGTTTGTTTTATATAATTCCGAAAAAATGAAATTTATAGGTACCTAATTAATGAAAAGGCACACAATTTTACTAATATTCTATGGTAACTGGTAGCTTAAGTTGGTATAGCTAGCCTCTGACTAGTTTATAACCTTTGCTATAAAATGATTTGGGCCAGTGCACTTCACGGTAAGAGAGAACTAGTTTTCACTAATAGCGTGCGTTCAATGCCGCTTCCAGTCTTATCGTCTGTGTGAAATCTGAACTTATCGTTATAGTATAGATATAGTTATAAGTATAGATACCAGAGAGCAATCGCTGGAAGTCTGGCTGGAACTGTTGTACCCTTGCAAGCCGTTATGCTAAATTTAACCATTGACCACAAGATACATCCTACGATAGTGTCATCCATAACAAAAAATATATCGATACCTACTTTAAAAAAATATTTGAGTGAGTGACTGGCATTATATCGATATTTCTCGGGTTGTAGCGGCTCTCTGCTACTGGCGGTCGTTCGGTTAGAACTTGTACAAATAAATAATATAAAGTATTTATAAAACTCGACCATGGAGCAAACAACCTTGTCACAAGAATGTTAACTTGCTTAAGAAATGTATTCACCATCCTCGACCTAGCATTAACGGACGTTATGCATGCATCACCTGGTCAGTTAAAAAGTTTCAATTTCCCCTAACTTTGTCATTGGACAAAACTAAAGTTTGTTTAAACTTTAAAATTACATATCCAACACAAGTTTTTTTAAACTTATTTTTTAATCATACCGCTGAATATCATGCGAACCATAAATTAAAACGTCTATCGACTGTTAAAAAGTTTACAAAGACATTATAATTCAATATCATTTATTTACTACGTATACTTATTTTAATCATGAAAATTTAATACATCATTTTTTGAAAATGTTCTACACAGCAGTCCGCCACACTTGTACACAGTTCAGGTCAATCGTCTTTATCCTTGATTTTCGGCTTGATGCTGCGCTCCCGGTCTCGAGATCGATCTCGGTCCCTGTCCCTGGATCGGTCACGGTCTCGAGATCTCTCTCGCATCCGCGGTGACCGAGATCGGGACTTGTGACGGCGAGATCTCGAACGCGATCGGTCACGTCTGTATGATCTGTATTTAAAACAATTAGGTACACTGTTTTAACTTTCTTATCTATATAATATTAATACGTGAAGCAAAAACTTTATACTCCTTTTTACGAAAATTGCGTGGACGGAGGAGTATAAAATTTCCCACACTTATAGACAATATAGAGAAGTAGGGCAGAATGATAATTTTTTTTTTCAAATATTCATAAAAATACATTAAAACGATAAAAAAAAACATTACACACACTACATGTATTTGACACACACGCATGCCTACTATTTGTTTATTGGCAAACTTTTCTTATTGCTTATAGTCTGTGGTAATTGAGAATAGATTAAATACCTATTGTTTGTCGTTATTAATATTTATCTAAAGTGTAGCCTTGGCGAAATCTGTGATCATAGAAGTATAAGATAAACAAGAAAATTCTAAATGTGAAATGAATCAAAATCATGAATCAGAATTGGAAACTTGTTATTAGTATAGTATAGTGTTGTTTAGTACAAAAACTTTAAGAAACGTACTACATTAAGTACCGTAGATTGGGGGAAATAGGGACTAGCGGTAGAATAGGGACAAATCTGGGTTGTCACAATACTTTTGTGAGATCTTAATTTTATGTAGTGTTTAAGAATATTAAATAGTTTAACTTAGTCACCAGAATTTTGTAACTGATGAAAGATATTGAAAGTTAATTATCGAAAGGTAAATACCTACCTAACAACTAAACAGTGACACCCCTATCGAAAATTTATTGTCCCCATACGTGACCCGATTCACCCCAAAAACCAAGGTGGATCAAGTCAAGTTAGTTTTTTAAGTTTTTGTGTATATTTTTCAATAAACTATGTATAATAATGCATCGTATATGAACATTTTAACCTCCCGAACTGTTTTAATCTCAATTTTATTGCCCTCAGAAAAACCGCTAAAAATTTGTGTTGGAATTGGAAAACGTCCCGATTCCCCCCAAATTATGGTAATTTACGTTATTACGAACTAACTGCTCGCAATATAACGACGTAGTGTTGCGACTTACTTTTCCCTCAGTCTCTCCGGTTTAGTGGAGCGGGAGCGTTCGCGGTCGCGGTCCCTGTCGCGGTCGCGGTCTCGATCCTCCTGTTGCGCACACACAAGTAACACATCAAAATCGTCTCAAACACTTAAGCATTTTTTTCAGTTGCATAGACAAAGCTCAGACTGACAAAAAACCGACCACAAGTTTTGTGTAAAGATTATATTATTGGCAAAAAGTGAAAAAAAAAGTTAAGTTACATCATCTCGGCGGTGTCGCTCCCTGGTGTCGGCGGGGTGCGTTTGTCGGTAGGGCGGCGCGTAGGGGGGGTGCATGGAGAGGGGCGCGGCGGCGGGGGGCAGGGTGGGGGGCGCGGCGGGGGGCAGCGCGCCCGGCGCCGGCGTCAGCTCCTTGATGTCGGAGGGGGTCCAGCCGCCCGGTGCCTGTCCGTGTCCTGTGAACGGGTTACCTGGTTTCCATCCATTACATTATTCATTAACAAAATCTCCTTAAAGATGTCATATCAACAATGGAATTCTTGTCATCGTCACTACGATTTAGAGTAAAAAGCGAGAGAACATTAAATCTATTTCCCTTATCACTCCAATTTCTATCTTCAGTACAGGGTGTGATCCGACCAACGTGCCACTTTATGTCGTTAGTAAACGATTGATCACTTACAGCGTTTGACGGAATAACATCGATATCAAAACTCCACTAAAACGAAAACATTTTTTAACTCTGTCATTTAAATCATTTTAAAAGCATTTGCAAGCAGAAACGTAATACAAAGTTGGGATCACCTAGCCGAGCATATGTTGAACTCTACTAATAATTTCCAATCACTACATAGTATAAAACAAAGTCGCTTTCTCTATCCCTATATCTGTCCCTATGTATGCTTAAATCTTTAAAACTACGCAACGGATTTTGATGCGGTTTTTTAATAGATATTAACATCCATTAAATAGTGGAGAAATCAATAATAAATTACAGTTTCCGAAGCGAAGCGAGGGCGGGTCGCTAGTAAAAGTAAAAGTATATGTACCCCATGGCTCGTCATATGTAGCGTGCGGGGGCTGGTAGTAGTCAGTGGGCGGCCCAGAGAAGAACTCCGGCGGCGGCATCTCGCGGGGGTGGCCGCGCCCGTACTCGCGTCGCTCCGCTGTCATCACCTAAACCACAAAATACAATGTATTGTTATAATATTAATAAAAAAAATATTTCATTGAGAGAGCTGAAGTGTGTACTAGGTTCAAAGACCTTACCGATTTCCAGTTTCCCCCCTCTTTAAAATAGATTTGGTTAGGTTAAGTCGTGAACAGATGTTGTGGACTAGTGTTGAGAGATCATTAGGTTTTATCATTCAAGTAGGTCATTATGCATTATGGGATAAAATTCTTCGTATTTTATTAAAACATTTAGAGGGGTGAAAGACTATTAAGCGACATTTTTGCAACTTTAGACAGACATCGGCTTGGCTCTGCCCCTGGCATTGCTGACATCCATGAGCGACGGTAACCACTCACCATCAGGTGGGACGTATGCTGGTCTGCCTATACGGCAATAAAAAATTACAGAAGAGCCATTTAAAACTATATATTTGAAAAAAATATCATAACAGGAACGCTTCTTCAGTTATTTGAATGGAGTAAACTTTATTGAAGTTCAATTAAAAACATCGAACGCTAATCCTTAATCAAACGCACCATTAGAAAGATAAATATCGCTTAAGCCAAATAGGTTTTCACCCATTGATTTCAATTAAATAACATATTTGTACCTGAATAGTGTTTTCTCTGGACTGATAGTTATTTGTCATGGGAGGTGGTATTCCATCATCGTGTCTAATATCTGTAAAACAGAATTTTTTTAAAAATATCTGAATTCTGCATATCAAACTGTTCAACAAGCAAATGGACAGTGGGCATATGGTTTACTCGTAGCTGACGTTCCTTGCAGAAGTAGTCTTAAGTGAGTAGTATCTTCATATTATACTTTCATACGTAGTGATTTTTGGTTTACAAATTAAATTAACAAAATTACAATTTAAAAATTAAATGAACATTTTATATTTACTATTACCATATGGCAAGAATCCAGACGTAGTTTTGAAAACATGCAATGTTGTCGCTCAGACGAAATAAATTAAGAATGTATTAATCTTACTTGGGGGGCGCCTCATGTCTGGCATTGGTGGACGGGGAACCGATCCCATATGCATTCCCACACCTGTTTCGTTGATTCGCATTCGTCGCTGCCGCTCACAATAAGCGCTCCATGTTACTTCATTAAAACCATAATTGAAATAATCTGTGAAACGAAAATGGATTGGACAAGACTGTAGTAATTGATTATTTTTATAACTATACAAGACAGACGGATTTCACATCAATTCATTACAATATTAACCTGATATATCAGCACCCGGCTTATTCCAAGGTTTATCTTCTATAGTATCAATATTGAATTCCAAAGCGGGAACTCCATTAATACTTCCTGGCCCTTCCAAGTCCTCTAATGTCACTTTTCCACTTGTTGTAGTTACTGAACGAGGTTTCTCAGGTCCCCCTGCAGAAGCTACCAAGCCAACTCCCCTCTGAAATGGTAAATAGTCCCCAATTATGTATGAAAAAGGAACACAACTTGTTCTTTCAAATATTTGTGTGATCAATAAGTTTTTTGGCTCTTTGCATTTATTTAGACTTAACTATGTATGTATGTATGTATGTACATCAGTTTCCAATTCTCACAGTACAGGGAATTCTATTTTGTGGCTAGATGATTGTTTAGAAGGTTATTGACATTACAAGTTTCTTGTATAACATGTATCAGCATTAAAACAGAACAATGAGTTAAAAATTTGCACCAACTCAGATAATTTTAGCGAAATATTCATTGTTAGCTAAGGACCTAGTCTGAGCTTATGGGCTTCAAGCTACTCACTGAACGTTAGATGAGCTCACTGGCTCGACCTGTAGATAGTTACTAACACTACGAAGTCGTTGTGGCCTAAAGGATAAGACGTCCAGTGCATTTGTGTTGAGCAATGCACCGTTGTTCAATCTCAGGCGGGTAACAATTTTTCTAATGAAATAAGTACTCAACAAATGTTCACAATTGACTTCCACCGTGAGGGAATAACATTGTGCATTATAATATGCGTAATTACTGGTGGTGGGACCTCTTGTGAGTCTGCGCAGGTAGGTACCACCACCTTGCCTATTTCTGCCGTGAAGCAGTAATGCGTTTCGGTTTGAAGGGTGGGGCAGCCGCTGTAACTACATATACTGAGACCTAAGAACGTATATCAGGTGAGTGGCGCATGGCGCATATACGTTGTAGATGTCTATGGGCTCCAGTAACTTAACGCCAGGTGGGCTGTGAGCTCGTCCACCCACATAAGCAATAAAAAAACTGGCCCTATCAAGAGCAGTGCTTGAATTTACTGTATGGGTCTTCACTGGCCCTTATCTATAAGAACCTGGTACAAGTATTCACTAGTGGGAGCTGAGACTTAAGAGATTAGAGCTGTGAATTTAGTGCCACAAATGGGAAAATGCTTGGAGATTCAATTGTGATTTACAAATGATAGGGGATAACAAAGGACGCAATTCCGAAAGCGAATCCACTGGAACCATTGCCGAAATGATGTTGAGGACTGATATCGATAATGTACTGCAGTTAAAGGTTCCGACACATGTGGGGGTACTAAAATTGTACAATGTTGGAACTAATCGCTCATAGCGACATAGACAGAAAGTGATAGTAGTAGTGAGTAGTCTTTGTCATTCATAATGAAAAAGCCTTGACAGCTGATAAATTAGTACACAAAGGTTTTTGCGTGTTTGCAGCACCCTTAGAAATACAGTGACAAAGTGCAGAATATTGAAATAAAGTTAATGAAATTGCTTATCAGATTCAGGAATTTGATCAAGTGGCAAAACATTATGGATGTAACTATACTCATAGCAAGCTTGTCTAAGGAGGAACAGTGCTATGCTGGTATGAGAAATGCCACCGGTCACCAAATAGCAGAAATGCTTATCAGAAGCTGTAATAGTCTCAGGAATATTCGAGAAGTGTAACTCCATCTATTCTCATATAGCGAACATAGGTATTGAAATAATAAGTACTATCAATAGCGTTCTCGTAAATTGTTGACATTTCGTGTTCACTATAATGGTGTTGCACAGACAACATGAAGTAGTTATTATTGTTAGTAATCAGTTCTACTAGAAGCAAAACAGTGAGCGGATCACCTGAAGCACAGCAGAAAAAATGAATTAGGAATTGTGAAGTACATTTAAGAGTTCTAATAATTAAATTAAGTTTTAATTTATACTTCAGTTTAAAGTTAAAGTTAAGTACTTAGTTTTTATTTATCCCGAGTCCATTGCAAGAATATACCAAGATTCATGTTCCAGTATCAGTATATTATTTTCATTTGTAAACTTATAAATCGATGCCTCCAATGAACACTACTCTAACTCCAAATTCGTAGGTTTACAGGAGGAGAGTTTAAATGAAAAAAGTTGATAAATATATCTGCAATAATAAAGATTTTATGGTTTTTTCTTGTGTAACTAGTTGATTTACTCTTGCTTCAAACCCCATTAATAATGAATTTGTAATACTTTTAAAATAGTGAAGCGATTTGCGTGAAAAACGAAAATTTCAAATTTTGAGTTAAGTAGTGTTCATTGGAGGCATCGAAATGATCCAAAACGCAATATATATAAAATGGTGATGGTAAAATGCATTTACCACAAACATGACAAATAATTTTAATTTTATTGAATGAAGGCTATGTTAGATATAAAACAATTTTACCTAAAGGCAGTTTTTACTTTGATAAAAACATATTTCAGTTATCGGTATCGGTAGGCCCCGGCTTGGCTCTGCCCCTGGCATTGCTGAAGTTCATGGGCGACGGTAACCATTCACCATCAGATGGGCCGTGCGCTCGTCTGCCTAAAAGGGCAATAAAAAAAATGTTCTAAGGGACGAAAATTGACTTACTTTTATGTTTAGGCTGGCATACTGTGACCCAGACTTGATCTCTCCAATGGTGACTTTGACGTCATCGCTGTCGTCCGAGTCAGAGTCACCGTTCTCTTGGCTATCAGCGTCACCATTTTGATCCTCGCGCGTTACCTCAGCAAAATGCTCATCATTCAATTCCGAATCGTTGTTACCTTCCTCTTCATCTTGATTTTCTTCGTCAGCCTTTAAATAAAGTGAACCATGTTTAAATGTAAAAAACTTATGGAACTTTACAAGCAATAAGTAGTTAGGTTATTAACTTACACCACCGACGACGTCGGCCGATTTTTGTACTTCTTGAGTTTCCTCAGTGGATTCTTGGTTAGCATCTCCGCCAGAATCCCCGTATAACCAATTATCATCGTTTTCATCGCCCGGTGTGGTCTCAATGGCCGTTTCTGCCATTTTAACAAGTTATAAAACTTGAAAATAACGAAATTTGGAACGACCAATGGTTTTATATTATGTACTTATTAGTAGGTAACAAACATAATTTAAGTGGTAATTTCAGTAAAATAAAATGCAAATTGTAGGTACCGTACTCTTTTTTTTGTTTGTAACAACAACACGCTATTAGACAGCTTAAATAAGTACCTACGTGTGTATTATCTGTTAAACAGCAACCATAGATCAAATATAAGTGTATAATCTATGACCATAGATTATATTAATACTAATAAAGTATTAAATTATTGAAGGTAGTTTTCCAATTACAGCACTAGAGCGCATTATGCGGCATAATGCACAACGTTGAATGAGGTGAATGAAGTTAGCCCCTCAAAAAAATTTTTTTTTCCTATTTTATACTTATTTTCTATTAATTCGTTTGTTCATCATTTGTTCATGATTGTTCACTGTTAATAATTGTTTGTTCTGCAGTTATTTATTTCAAAAAAATATTTAAAAATATACCTACAAGTTAGCCCCTCTAATGCAATTTTTAATATTTCTGTCATCCTTAATGATTCGTAAATATTCATTTTCGATTGTTCTTATATAAAACACGTTTGTTCTCTTTCGAAATTACTCGTTTTTTGTTTAATTTACTATTTTTATTAGTTGAATAAATGTATGCAAAATATGTGTACTGCGCATGCGTCAACTATAATGCCTAAACTTTCTACGCGGTTTTAATCGTGAAAAAAAAAAAAAATATAAATCCTGAAGGAGCAATTAATTGGTATACAGTTTAATTAAAAAAATTAAAAAATAAATAAATGAAATAATGTGCATTGGCGTTAAGTTAGACCAAATACATTTTTTCCATCCTCCTACTTATCGTTATGAAGGTATAAAAAAGATAGGGAGTTCACATAGGTAATATAAACAAATAAGTAAATATGTTCATTATTTATCTTTCAAGAGATAATATAGGTATACATTATAATAACTTTTTTACACAGTCGAAATTATATTCCTAACATTAGTAAAATAACATTTTAATACGATAGGTAAGAGGATGGAAAAAATGTATTTGGTCTAACTTAACGCCAATGCACATTATTTCATTTATTTATTTTTTAATTTTTTTAATTAAACTGTATACCAATTAATTGCTCCTTCAGGATTTATATTTGTTTTTTTTTTCACGATTAAAACCGCGTAGAAAGTTTAGGCATTATAGTTGACGCATGCGCAGTACACATATTTTGCATACATTTATTCAACTAATAAAAATAGTAAATTAAACAAAAAACGAGTAATTTCGAAAGAGAACAAACGTGTTTTATATAAGAACAATCGAAAATGAATATTTACGAGTCATTAAGGATGAAAAAATATTAAAAATTGCATTAGAGGGGCTAACTTGTAGGTATATTTTTAAATATTTTTTTTAAATAAATAACTGCAGAACAAACAATTATTAACAGTGAACAATCATGAACAAATGATGAACAAACGAATTAATAGAAAATAAGTATAAAATAGGAAAAAAAAATTTTTTTGAGGGGCTAACTTCATTCACCTCGTTGAATGTTCCAAGTTCCAACTAGCAGCGCACTCTGCTGATGCATTTGAAAACTAATTCACGTTCCAATTAAGCTTCAGCATAATTCGGCATTGTGTGCCACTGAGTCGCATTATGCTCTGTAATTGGAAAACTACCGAAGTATAATATCTACTATTTAAAATATAGTATATAATATAGTATACTATACTAATATAATACACTTAATCAGGCAACCTTTATCAAATTGGCCCTAATAGCTTTTTTCAAAATTCTTCTTCTTTAGTTTTTGGCACGGTTTTTGCATTAGCCAGGGTCAAGTAATAAGATTTTTAAAATTCGCCGTTTTAATTATTTACAGTTTATGAATATAATAAACTCATAGTGTTCCTTGTGACTGTTAATCTTACAAATAAATATATAATTTTAACAACTTAAATCGAGCCATCTCATTTCTGCTACACATCCTACACATCCTGCTACACACTGTGTTGGCTAAGAGTGCTTGCATACATCAGACTTTTTGTAGAGCTGATTATCAGGCTGATTGAAATTCTACACGTTTATACAAACAACTTTTTCTTAATAAGTCACTCAAACAATTAAGCTCGGGCAGAGATGAGTGGGTTTAAATATGCAATAGCAATTGCTACTCTTGCTATAAGGTTAATCCGGCACTGCGTTAAACTATAAATATAATGAAACCTCCTTAACTTCTTGCCCGGAAAAGTTGTGTGAATAGTTTTATTTTGTGAAATTTCAGGTTTAAATATAATGATAGTTAAAGGTCTGAAAATTAAATAAAGCCGTTAGACGTAGCTTCTCGGGTTCTTGTAAAAAGTCCACTGAAGCAGTCTCAGTAAATAACCACTACTACTTATATCTTACTAAGACTTTATTTCATCCCATCTTATCTACTACTACTACTACTGAGCTGGCGCTATGACCCCGAAGTGGGTCTTGGCCTCCGACAATAAACTTTGCCATTCATCCCGGCGCTGCGCAACACCTTGCCAGTCCGACACTTGGAGCTCCCGTAAATTTCCTTCCACAGCGTCACACCAGCGGTACTTGGGCCTACCTACGGGGCGGCGTCCCTCCGGTACACCCGTTTCACAGCCCGATCCTGCTCCATACGTACTACATGTCCGAGCCATCCGAGCCTCCGTGCCTTCATCTCCCCCAGAATATTTGGCTCACCAAAAAGCCTCTCCACATCCTTATTTTTCCGGACGTGCCAAGAACCGTCTTCTTTCCGAGCTGGTCCTAGTATTTTTCTCAATACCTTTCGCTCCGTCACGAGATGTTTTGCCTCTTCTTTCTGTGTAAGCGTCCATGCTTCGCATCCATACAATAGGATCGGTCTGACTACAGTCTTGTATATCCGAATCTTGGTGCGCCTGCTTAGTAGCTTCGAAGAGAGAACCGGGTGTAGGGCTGCACTGCATCGTAGGGTATTTTGTATACGAATTTCGATTTCATCTTCCCTGTCATTGGTGTCTGTTACAGTGCAGCCAATGTACCGGAATTTAGCCACTCCTTTGAACCTCGTATTTCCCACAACTAGGTCTTCTCGCTTCCGTCTTATGTTTTTAAATCGACGCATGTGAAGATATTCTGTCTTCTCGTGGCTCACGCGAAGGCCAATCCGAGAGGCTTCTTGTTGGAGGCAGTTGAGTGCGTCTATAACGTGCTGCTTTCTTTCTCCAAGTAGAGCGAGGTCATCGGCATATCCTATCACCCTATGCTGTCCATTGAGCCTCACTCCGCCACTAAGTGTGTTCACTTTCCGTATGGCGTGTTCAAGTGCCAGGTTGAACAGCATTGGTGACAGAGCGTCCCCCTGCCTGAGTCCAGTCACAACGTCAAACTCATCAGTGAGAGAAGCGCCAACTCGTACCGTCATTCTACTTTCCCTAGTAGCAACCTCCACCATTCTCACAAGTTTCTGTGGGATTTTAAAGCGCGTGANCCAGGTTGAACAGCATTGGTGACAGAGCGTCCCCCTGCCTGAGTCCAGTCACAACGTCAAACTCATCAGTGAGAGAAGCGCCAACTCGTACCGTCATTCTACTTTCCCTAGTAGCAACCTCCACCATTCTCACAAGTTTCTGTGGGATTTTAAAGCGCGTGAGGATTCTATATAGAGTCGGTCTATCTATGCTGTCGTATGCTGTATGTATCTATGCCATCTTATCTCGTGTTATTTAATTTCATCGCAATTCATTAATCTCAAATTAATCAACTTCATCTCATTTCGCTGAAAATCATTATTGTATACAATACAAGACTTGGATAAAGGTATTTTTCATTTAGCAGTATGTACGTTTTTAATATACGAATACTTTATTACACTCGACACTGGCACCAATGACGTCGCAAGAAGCCAATGCCCATATTTAAAAAAAAGAAACATTTGCATAAAAATATATTTTGGGATGAAACAACTAAACTTAAATAAATGAAGATGGGATAGCACTGAGTGGGTGTTAAATTGAAACCTTAAAGTTAAGCCGTCGTCGTGGCCTAAAGGATAAGACGTCCGGTGCATTCGTATATAGCGATGCAACGGTTTTCGAATCCCGCAGGCGGGTACCAATTTTTGTAATGAAATACGTACTTAACAATTTGTTCACGATTGACTTCTACGGTGAAGGAATAACATCGTGTAATGAAAATCAAACCCGCAAAATGATAATTTGCGTAATTACTGGTGGTAGGACCTATTGTGAGTCCGCACGGGTAGGTAACTCTGCCCCGCCTATTTCTGCCGTGAAGCAGTAATTCGTTTCGGTTTGAAGGGTGGGCAGCCGTTGTAACTAGACTGAGACCTTAGAACTTATATCTCAAGGTGTGTGGCGCATTTATGTTGTAGATGTTTATGGGTTCCAGTAACCATTTAAAGAGCTCGAAGTGTTCAGATTTTCGAAGTTGTGCACTATGATAATATTGCAGATACAACAGAACAGATAGTAAAAAAAAACAACGAAATAAAAGTACCATTGTTTTTATTAGTAAAATTTAAGCATTGGTGCTAGCACCTCGGATGTATTAAATATATCTCTGTTATAAATTTAAAGCTTTTTCAATCAAGACCATTCCTTCGTTTAGGAAACATTTTTGTTTCAACTTTCTCCACCATTTGAGCAACATTAGCCAACTGCTGAGATGAATCATTGGCGGCCGATCCGCAAGTTTCGGCTAGTTGCTGAATTCCATGCGATACCTGGATAAACATTTAAAATGTTATATTTTTATCATATATATTTTTATTAAACACTAAGCTGAAATAGTTGAATTTAAAAAAAGTAAAAATTAGGTTGGATATTCGGGTTTAAATAAGTCTGAATACAATTTATTATGACACTGGTTTGGTATTCTTATGAATAAAATATAAAGTTCGAGGCAAAGTTGAGAATCGCGACTACTGCGAATATCCGGCGAGAAACTTAATGGGCTGTGTCTGTCAGTTAATTTTCACGGGGGACCCTTTGTCCCATTCGTCGGGTTCGACGAAAACGGTGAACAGTGCTTGGAATGCCTAAAAGCAGTTATAGTGGATGTTTTTCATACGAGGAAGGTTCAATTGCGTTCGAAAACCGTAGCGACACTGCCGAAGAAATCGTAGACATATTCATGGATCATGCTGACTCACTCTCGGCATTGTTAGATGCTACTAGTAGAAGCAACCAAAACACAGGTCACAGTACTCGTCGAAATCGACAAGAAGCCACTTTGGGGGACCCACAGGCAGTTCTTGACAAACCTCCTATTGTGATGAGACCTCGAGTTTGCCTATCCGTCCTAGCTAAGTACCTAAACAAGCCCCCTCCTTGACTCCATAATACACTACAAAAGTATAGTGTAGGAAACAGTGTAGGAAGAGAGAGAAAATGGATCTACTATTGTCCATGAGTAAAAGTCCCACTGATAACCATTAAGTAGCCTATTTGGTTGTCTGCCTTCAAAAAGGAGTAAAAAAGCAAAAATGTGCAATGAAAATGATATGAAAATTTTATAAAAGTATTTACTGCATCAGCTTCCGCCTTTACTTCTGCAGCTGCAGCGTGCATCTTGTCTACAGTGGGCTGCATTTGAGCAGCTTTTTGTATGGCCTCCGACTCCAGAACTGGTGTTGCCTATTTCATAGAAATTCAAACAACCAATGTATTTAATCTTTTAAAATTAACCATATCCCTAGAAAATACTGTGCTAGTCATTTCTTCTAGTACATGTTATATACACTGGTGGACCTAAATTAGAAACTCAATGTCCATCACATGGCTTTTGTTCTCAAATACCCAGCTAGGATAATAATGTTACCAACATGCATTTATGTATGTACCTAAAATATATTGACCTGTTATTTGATCATAAACTTGATTTAGATTCAATTTTTAACCAAGCCTTACAATACAGTAGAAAATTTTATAAAATCAGATGCAACTATCTAAGCCATGTAAAAAAATTCATAAGAGAATACAGGTTAATTATCATACCAATTTTACTGAACTTCACAACAGAAAATATATTTAAAATACACTGGCTAGTCTGAGCTAGTTTTTAAACAGCACTAGCAACCAGTTTATAAGTGTATTGTGACAGAATTGTAACAAACTCATCTACTGACCTGTTTACATTGCTGCATACAGCGACAGTGATGTCTGATCACTGGTTCAGCTGCAAGTACTTCTTGTTTATGTAAATCATTCTTCTGCAACTGTAACCAACATTCTGATAAGATCAACATTATACATTTTTTTTTGTAGATTTTGCTAATTATATAGGCAAGACAGATAAGCTTGCAGTTCAAAGACAGTAATCACTAATCAATAGCGAGCCTAATTAAGGCAATCTTTAAAGGCAACAAAAAAATTATTATTTATTATTTTTCATTTAATGAAAATGCTGTTAAAGTCATGTGTACTTTGAGGCATTAGGTCAAAGTCTTTGTTGAGTTAAATTTATATAATATTTATTAATTTACAACTTTGAATATCATGAACAAGACCATACGTTGCATCACTTGTCCAATTTAAAAAAAAAAATTCTCAATTTGTTGTTTAAGACCAGCCAGTTATTTTTCTAGACGTTCTTTTTTGGTCTGATAGAGAATGTTACCTTGTCTTTATGTTACTTTGTGACTTATTTGTCACACATTGCACAACAGATGCTGACTATAAGTCACTACTTTAATGATAAGTCTGAATATATCAGATGAAATTTAAATTATATAAACTAATTAAGTTGTATGGAAAGAGAAAATGGATTTAAATTCGAGTTAAACATACTTGGTAAAATTTTACAAAAGGTATATAGGGTTTTAATTCAGAATTAATTATGCATTGAAAGAAATTCTTGGGACGTAAGGATTATCAATGATTATTAACGGCACTTACATTTTCAACGAAATTCGGATCACTATAGTTGTTCAACTCTGAGGCCATTTGCATAGCTTCATGAAGCTTTTCGTGTCCTGCCGTTGCATTATTGATGGCTTGTGCAGTGCTTAAAAGATTCGCAGTAACAGAGTCACCTTGCTGACCATCCATAGATATTTCTGGAGACAAACCTAATTTAGCTTCTAGTTGTTCAATTCTACTTTGTAAAACTGCTATAGGATCCATTATTAATGTTTTTGCTACGTAAAAGAAAATACAAAACGTGTAGGTTAAAATTTGTTACAAAAATATCTATTACCGAAAAGAAATGAATATCGAAATTTCGAAGTATTTGTAGGTACCAATTGTTTTTCAAAAATTGTTTTCGAACTGTCAATTAGTGCCATATGTCAAATTACTCAAAATAACCACTGAAGTAGGTCTATGAAAATAACTTATGTCTTCCTGTAAAAAAAAAGTCATCCTGTGAATCTCCATTGAAGTAAGTTGCCTCAGTGAATTTGGCCCCCTTTTTTTGGTTTTCGATTTTATTTTTATTTTTAATTGTTTGTTCGTCTTTTGTTTATTTATAATTAATTAAACAAATGATCACCGTTAAGTGGGCCCCCTTTACTTGATATCTTTATTTTTATCACTCAGATTAATTAATTTTGATCAATTATCATTTGTTCGACGACTATTGGTGATTGTTCGATCATAAAAACAATTAAATTCCCAATTATTTATTATTTTATATCTAGCAAACCATCACCTCACGCCACCTTTTTTTGATTTTCAGATTTTTTTTATTTTTAATTGTTCGTCATTTGTTCGTTAATGTTCGAATGTAAAAATTGTCGTCTTTTCATCATCATCATCTCAGTCTGTCCATTGTCCACTGCTGAACATAGGCCTCTCCAAGTGATCTCCAGTGCGGCCGGTCCGTTGCCACTTGCATCCAACGTGACCCAGCGGTTCTTACCAGGTCGTCGGTCCATCTCGTAGGTGGCCGTCCCAAACTGCGCTTGCCAGTACGTGGTCTCCATGATCTTTCTGCCCCATCGGCCGTTCGATCTTCGCGCTATGTGGCCTGCCCACTGCCACTTCAGCGTGCTAATCATACGGGCTATGTCAGCAACTTGGTTCTTCTACGGATCTCCTCATTTCTGATTCGGTCTCGTAGAGAAATACCAAGCATAGCCCCCCCATAGCTCGCTGTGACTGAGCTTCCTAAAAAGATCTCTTGTGAAGCACCACGTCTCAGAACCGTAAGTCATCACTGGTAGCACACATTGGTTGTATACCTTGATCTTCAGGCACTGAGGGATTTTGGACGAGAACACATTTTTTAATTTACCGAACGCTGCCCAGCCGAGTTGGATCCGCCTACTGACCTCTCTTGCGAAGTTGGACTTACCTAATCGGATTGCCTGTCCCAGGTATATAAGTATATATTCGTCTACAACTTCAAGAGTAATGTTCTCAACAGTTACTGGGGTGAGCTTAAATTGTTACATTCGAACATTAACGAACTAATTATGAACAAATAATTAAAAATAAAAAAAATCTGAAAATCAAAAAAAGGTGGCGTGAGGTCATGGTTTGCTTATTAGATATATAATAATTAATAATTAGGAATTTAATTGTTTTTATGATCGAATAATCACCAATAATTGTCGAACAAACAATAATTGATGCAAATTAACTAATCTGAGCGATAAAAATTAACATATCTAGTAAGGGGGGCCCACTTAAGGGTCATCACTTGTTTAATTAATTTTATATAAATAAAAGACGAACAAACAATTTTTACATTCGAACATTAACGAACAAACGACGGACAACGAAATATAAAAAAAATCCGATAACAAAGAAAAAGGGGCCAAATTCATTGAGCCAAGATTCATAAAGTCTTTTAACGTAGAATTACTTACCATAGATTAGACACTTAATCTTGCTCAGTGACAGTTCTCGTATATATTAAGTGTATAATCTATGGACAGTGATTCATAATTCTTCAAGGCAGAGAGAGAGTTGAAGAATTTATGTAGTGATAAAATTGTATTATCAATGAAGGTAGTGAAGTAAGAGTATTTGTACGTAAACACATATATTAGTAAAATTTTGTTACATTATTAAAAACTATAATGGATGAAGAATTAGGCGGTATTTCCGAAGAATATTATGATATACCTCCTGTTAAATATGAATGTGAGTATACAGTATCTAAATTATAGTTTTTCCTATAAATTTATGTGATTGAATTGCAATTTTACTGTGATGATTGGTGCTTATAAATATAAGGTAAATGTAAATTTTGCAGATTTGGACCATACTGCTGATGTTCAGTAAGTGGTTAATTCATGTGTTATATTTTAGTTTTAATTTAAAGCTACTGATGTAGTATTGAGATAGTATTGTGAATCAATCTAATTAAACTTCAGACATAATTGATTACATACCTATATATAAAAAAAAAAAATTAATGCAAAATAACAGTATTTTTTGACCTCAGTCCATGTAGGTACTTAAAATTTAATTACAATGTGAAATGTAATGATGTGTAATTTTTTATATGTCTATGTATCTGTAAAACATCTATATAGGTATATCTTCAATCTGGAATGAGGAACTGGTCTCTGCCATTAGACGACAAGGTGGCTTTTTTGTGTAAATTGGGAATTCTCATTCACACTACACTGTGTGAGACTTTCAGTAACTAATCATTGATGACGCTTTAGATCTATTCTTCTGGCTAGTATAATTTTTTCCAATTTAAAACATGACCCAACACATGTTCGCAAATAACTTATGTTATGTAGGGATAGAATCATGCGAAATAAACAAGGGAGAAAATTTATAAATCAGGGATTGCTGTTGACGAGGCGTATATACAGGGTGTCCCATATAAGTGGTCACTGAAGCCCATAGCCCGACACCAAGAACGTAAATGCCGTTGCCTGCCTTGTACATGAGATCTAAATCTCGTTTTCATAGTACAACGGCTCTCCTATCCTTCAAACCGAAATGCATTAATGCTGTATGGTAGAAATAGGCAGGGCGATGGTACATTTTTTTTCTTTCAAGCGACACCCCTCGGTCTCTTACCCGACGACCGCCCACCACCCGGAGTCAAAACCCGGGCAGACTAGGGGGATTCCCGCAGTCAACAATACAACCAGATCTGCGGCTCCACCTTTAGACGCCCGACCGACGGGTCGTCGAGGTGATAGTCGACGACTCTACGTCGGCCATCTCGGTACGGCAGCCCGTCTGGCCACTCCAGGCGGTGCCTCTGGTGTCTCGGAATACCCTGCTGGACCAGAATCTGCCTGCCAGTTCGGAAAGCGATACACCACTAACCGGTTCCTCTTACATAGCAGTTCCGTAGAACTGTTTTCATGTTCAGCGTGCTAGAGTACAAAAAGCGCGCCGCGCGGCCTCACCCCCTTAGGTCGCCCCGAAACGTTCACCCGGGGGAGGTCACCTCCTAGAGAGATCTGAGCCGGACGAGGGCGGTGGTACTTACCCGTTCGTGCTCACAAGACGCCATACCACCAGTAATTACGTAGATTTTAATTGTTTTGGCTCGTCCACCCATCTTAGCGATGAGAAAAAATCCCAACAACTTCGGATTTATTTTAGGACATCGCTATAGTGCTACCAACTTAATCGAGTTTGTAGAACTTTCCAAAATAATTAAAATCCACAACACACACACACACACGAATATCCCGCCGGCGCCGGTCTCCGACTATGTCGGTGCTTCATGCAGCTTCTTTTGTCCTTGCAATAAATGTGGTATTTAATAACATTCGCCGTAATAAGTTTGAAATTTGTTTTTGGTTTTTTGAGTTTTTGAGCCTCATGAACCTAATGTGCTTGTAATTTTTTTCGTATTTGTTATTGTCTATCTCTTTCTGACGCGTTTAACTGAATGAATGGTCTAATAGTACTGTTGTTGTATAAATTCAGGGCTGTTATCGAACAGTTGAAACAATTATTAAATTTGTTTTTATATGAAACTAATAATTAAGATTTCGATACTTTTTTTACATTCTTAACGTGATTTATACTGTGGCAGCGTTTCGGGTTGATATATCGATTGTAGGACACGCTGTATAGCCATTACGAGTAAGTGACCCCAACGCGCTCTTTTTTTCTTAAGCCTAAGCTGATGGCCTTGGGAGGCCATCTCAATGTAACCCTAACAAGTAGATGAGCTCACGGGGCTCAAACCTGCAGTCGTTGCTAACACTAACCCTAGCAAGAGCAGTGCTTCGCAGAATCTACCACTGGATCAGAAACGCGACCCACTGAGAAGACCCGGCGAGAAACTCAGTGGGCTGTGTCTGGGGTTAATTTACTCGCCGAGCCCTTCGTCGCAAAGAACGGATTCGAAAAGAACGATGACCGGTGCTTGGGGTACCTAAAAGCATCGTTAGTGGATCAGGAGGATCCGAAATGACGTGTTTTGGATGACTGTTTACCATTCGGTCCACAGGATCGGGAATGTAGTTACCGGCGGCCACGATGAGAGGGTTCTCGTGTCGTGCCGCTTTTTCGATGTGGCGCATTGATGCCGACTGTAGATACTTACTGATGGACTCTAGGTCTATGTCATCGTGGAGGCCCACTTTCTGATGAACCGCGGGGCTCCGGCGGCTATCCTGCAAAAACGGGATTGTATGATTTGAAGGGGTTTCAAAGTAGTAAGGGCCGCGTGAGCGAACACTACACTTGCATAGGTCGTGACCGGATGTATGCAAGTTTTATAGAGTGTCACCTTACTACGAAGGGACAATATACTTCGCTTGCAAATCTTCCGATAGACAATGCGCTCTTTTCTGTCGCAACGGAACTATGCTAGTTTCGGTATTTATTTGATACGAAATAAAGCCTTTTCACCATTATTTTTTACATTTTAATAAAAGTTTAAATTCATATTATCTTTAGTTTATTGCATTACCTGAATTAAATGAGAATTAATTTTTATTATTACAACATCATATTGTAATGCCACAATGATTTATAATTTCAATATAATATAATCAAGGAGTGTTGTAATATTTACGTTCCATTAATATTTAAAAAAAAAATACCTCACTTTTAGGATAGGTCTAGGCTAAGCTGAGTTATGTAGAACGAGTCTAGTTAAGCTAATTCATTATTTAATCCTTTTAGTGCTGAGTTTATTTTCACATATTATTCAGAAATTGCTTGAGGATTTTCGAAAAAAACTTGTTATAAAACTTTAACTAAATAAAATATTTAAAAATCAATGCTAATTGTACAGCAAAATATTTTTTTTTTTTTTTCTTACTTAGATGGGTGGACGGATGGTAGTAGGACCTCTTGTGAGTCCGCGCTGGTAGGTACCACCGTCCTGCCTATTTCTGCCTTGAAGCAATAATGCGTTTCGGTCTGAAGCTTGGGCTTCGGGCAGCCGTTGCAACTATGTATACTGAGATCTTAGAACTTATATCTCAAGGTGGGTGGTGCATTTACGTTGTAGATGTTTATGGACTCCAGCAACCACTTAACACCAGGTGGGCTGTGAGCTCGTCCACCTATCTAAGCAATAAAAAAAAAAAAATTATAATAATAATAGTAACTTTTATCACATTTCTAGATTACACGCATGGGGCGACAGTCTTAAAGAAGCCTTCGAGCAGTGCGGGATGGCGATGTTCGGCTACATGACCGAGCTTGAGTACGTCCAGATCAAGGATGTTCACACCATCGAAGCGAGCTCTGACGATCTCATGGGATTACTTTACCACTTCCTCGACGAACTGTTGTTTTTATTCTCCTACGAACCATTTTTGATATGTAAGAAGTTAGTCATAACGGAGTTTAACACGCAAGAGTTTAAGATAGTGTGCAAGTGTTACGGCGAGGAGTTCGTAATTGGCAAACATCCCCAAGGCACAGAAGTCAAAGCTATAACTTACTCGGCCATGCAGATCATTGACGATCCAAAGGACAATAAGTACGAAGTGTTTGTTATCATTGACATATAATTTTTTTTTAATTTTTTTTTGTATTCAAGAAATATACGTTTGTATTTTTTAAAGTTTAATTTTTTTCCAAAGCACTGAAATCGTCGTAAGGTAAAGGTGTAAGACACTTACTCGTATCAAGCGATGCGACTTTGCCGCTCGTCAGATCTCGCTGGCAATTAACATTTTCCCTGATGAAATTTGCTAGGGCATCTTCTGGGCCCGCACGGGTTGGTACCGCCATCCTGCCTATTTCTGCCGCGAAGCAGTTAATGCGTTTCGGTTTGAGGGGTAAGGCGACCTTATTATATTACTGTAAAAATTGAGTCATTAGAGCTCAGGTCTCAAAGTGGGTGGCGACATTTACGTCTTAGCAAAAAAAAAATAGTCTTGAAGAAACCTCATATCAAGGACCCGAAGAATATGAAGAAATGCAGTACAAATGTAGGGAATATGTGAAACAAGGAACTTCAATACACTTTTGATATTATCTCGATTCGGTTCCAATTCAGCAGGCAGGTAGTAGTAGGTAGTATTAGGTAGGAGCAGGTAGTAATAATTTTGCGGAACTACTTACCCGTGTTCAGGAGCTGCATCACTGTACTGATTAATCTGACGAAATATAAGGAAGTCCTATTTCCAGCAGTGGGTGGCTTTTGATTGGTGATGATAATTAATGATGATGATGACATAGGCATTTTTCCTACCTATTCTAGTTGCCTCAAGGGGTTATTCTAGATTCGCCGAGTTAATGAACTGACGACATTGCTAACAAGAACCCTAGCAAAGCCGTGCTTCGCAAAATCTACCACTAGATGGGAAACACGACCCACTGAGAAGATCCGGCGAGAAACTCAGTGGGCTGTGTCTGAAGGTTAATTTACTCGTCGAGCCCTTCGTCGCAAGCGCCGGGTTCGACGAGACGTATTTTGGGCGACGTCAACTGTTTACCATTTGGTCCGCAGGATCGGCTATGTAGTTACGGGCGGCCACGATGAGAGGATTCTCGTGTCGTGCCGCTTTATCGAAGTGGCGCATTGATGCCGACTATAGATACTAACTCATGCATTCTAGGTCCAGGTCGTCATGCAAGTCGATGTTCCTGACGAACCACGGAGCTCTGACGGCTATCCTGCAAAAACGGGATTGACTAATTTGAAGGGGTTTTAAGTTAGCGCGGGCCGCGTGAGCGAACACTACATTTTCATAGGTCATGACGGGGCCTATGCAAGTTTTGTAGTGTCACCTTATTTCTAAGGGACAATTTACTTCGCTTGCAAATCATCGGATAGAGACATAGGTACAGGACCATAATTAAATCAAATTTCTACAAATTCCTTATTACGTTTTATCACCGACATTCACGTAGAGAAGCAAAATCATGATGAAAAAAATTTAGAATAGAACAAATAGGTTTTCAAATAAGGTTGTGTTCAAATTATAGACAATAACTATTAGTTAATCAAAAGGTAACAAACAAAGAGAAGTATCTTATGGTTGGAAAAAGTTCATTTGCTAGGTATCTTTTTTGTGTTTGTATATCGTAATGAACTAAGAAAAATAAATAAACGAACCATAAAATGTGAATAAATATTATTCATTAGTAAAAAAATAATATCACTATTTTATTATTTATTAAAATAATATTACATATTCTTTAGCATAGGAAGAAGTTTCAATTTCCTAGATACTCGGGAAATGCCTGAAATATCACTGCAAAAAGATCTCGGTAGGCAAAGGCTTGGCTCTGCCCCTGCATTGCTGACGTCTATTTGCGACAATAACCACTCACCATCAGGATGGCCGTATGCTCACCTGCCTATAAGGTTATAAAAAAGTCTGCTTTTTGTGTCGTTTTTTCCTAGTTACACTTTTTTCCGTCTAGTCCGATAACACGGCTTCCAGGATTGTGTCCAGGATATTGTGGTGAAAGTACTTTTTTTTTTGGGCCGGACCGAACCTGCTACGAGGTCCCCGCGCCTTGGGGCGCGCGGGGTATGTGGGACTCAACGATCTGCAAGGTGTTGTGAGCAGACCGCGGGCCCAAGGAATTTTAGGGCCCACCCACTAAACGAACTCCCCTGCACTCTTACACCCGACGTCCGATCCCCTCCGAGGCCAGAACCCGGATGAGGTAGGGGGGTTACCGCGGTCAACACTACAACAAGACAGCGCGGCTCACCCCAAGGACGCCCAGCCGACGGAGCCTTCGAGGCAAATCGAAGGCTCATAAAACGTCGACCGTCTCGGTACGGCAGCCCGTCAGGCCGCCCAGACGGTGCCGCTGGTGTCTCGGAATACCCCGCTGGACCAGAACCAGCCTGCCGGGTCGGGACGCGATACACCGCCAACCGTTCGCTCTTTTTTTATTATTATTTTTATTTTATTGCTTTGTTGGGTGGACGAGCTCACAGCCCACCTGGTGTTAAGTGGTTACTGGAGCCCATAGACATCCACAACGTAAATGCGCCACCCGCCTTGAGATATAAGTTCTAAGGTCTCAGTATAGTTACAACGGCTGCCCCACCCTTCAAACCGAAACGCATTACTGCTTCACGGCAGAAATAGGCAGGGCGGCGGTACCCACCCGCGCGGACTCACAAGAGGTCCTACCACCGGTAATTACGCAAATTATAATTTTGCGGGTTTCATTTTTATTACACGATGTTATTCCTTCACCGTGGAAGTCAATCGTGAACGTTTGTTGAGTACGTATTTCATTAGAAAAATTGGTACCCGCCTGAGATTCGAACATCGGTGCATCGCTCAACACGAATGCACCGGACGTCTTACCCGTTAGGCCACGACGACTTCTATTACTCCTCGGCAGCGCGCTAGAGTGCTGGTAGCGCTTCGCGCGGCCTCTAACCCCTCAGGTCGCCCCTTGACCTTCACCGGGGGGAGTGGTACCTAGATAATACCAAATTTTTTACAATTAACGATATTGCAGTACTTTCTGTGTTCGGTAATTTGTGTAAATAATATCGAGGTGAGTTAGCGATACGCCAGTTAGGTAGGTATAAGTTATATATTATGTTAGGCCTCGTATGAGTGTGAATTTGTAAATTGCGACTCCTAAAATATTTATTCATATTGTATCAAGAATAAACATGAACATTTTTCGCTTTTTCCATGAATATAATATGCGAGTATGATATATTCGAATTTCCCGGAAAATGTCTATTTGATAATGTAAGCCGTATCAATCCATTCTGGATAGGACTTCATTATAAAATCCATTTTTAATTAGCTTTATACCACAAATGAAAAATATATGCTGTGTTTTAAGTCGTATCTATTTAAAGGATGGACAATTTCAGTCATGAAAAATAATAAATTAAATTAAAATTAAAATCTACTGATTCTGTTTGTAGTTTAGAAAGCTGATAATATACATACCTATATAGGTAAGTAATAATGAATAAGCATAGGCCTATTCGATAACAACTGCATTTTTTTTACGTTCATCGTTGCTTTATCTATCGGAATGGTGATGGATGAAAAACGATTGATATATGAAAAATGATGATAATTTAAAGAGGTATTCACGTGCTCATACCCCGCCTACCTCCCCCAACGCGTAGGTGAAAGTCTGGCAAATAACCTCCTTACATGAAACAAGATGCATATCTTACTTATATAGTGTCACACTGATAGGCTTCTTCTTTTTAGCAAGAGCAGTGCTTGGCAGAATCTACCACCGGATCGGAAACACGAACCACCGAGAAGATCCGGCGAGAAACTCAGTGGGCTGAGTCTGAGGGTTCATTTGCTCACCGAGCCCTTTTTTTCACTTTTGTGTCATGATAGGCTGTGGATCTAACGTAGTAATAGGTCTTTCTTTACCTATGAAGTTTCTATTTTACAATAATGGTCATTTGAACGAAATTTATCATCTATGGCTGGTTATAAATTCTAAATTCAAATGAATTTTATTTAAAAAATTTGGAATTTAATTTTTTGATTCAGTGATTTGTTTATTGATTAGTGTTTTGTTTTCACTGTAATTGTATCTTTTACGACGATCATACGATTAATTATCGAATACGTGTTCCGTCGCGGTAGCAATACCGCACAAACGGCTCACAACATTATACATATACGGAGTGAACTTGATTTATTTCTGTGGAGTGAACATTACAAACGAACGCACGATTAGTGATTTGAACGGTTTCGACATAGAAATTTGATCTAGAAAATGAAACCCGAGGCCACCAGAAACCTGAAGTTAATAGCGACGATTTAAGGGCAATATTGGAAACTGACGACGATACACAATCTACCGTTGAGTTAGCAGCAGCTTTTTAACAGCAGCAATTTGACAAGGTAAAAATGTTGAATTGGCAACGTAAAAAAAACTTGATAAGTGGGGCCTCATGAACTGAACGATCGCCAGCGCAAGGCACGCGTTGCGTTGCTTAAAAGATACAGAAACAGGCGGATTTTGAATGGCATTGTCACTTTCGATGAAAAATGAATTATTTTTCATAATCGTAAGCGGTCATTACGTTAGTTAAGACCTAGTTCAGCAACTAGACAATGCCCCAATCCTTAAAAAAAGGCATGATCACTGTTTGATGGCTTAGTGCCGGTATAATTTATCACAACTCCTTTTTGCCTAATGGCATGACGTGTGTGCTGTGAAGAACTGAACACAATAATGGAGCAAGTCGCGAATTTCCGGCCAGCCATGGTTAATCGATCGTTCCCGCTCATACGGCACAACAGACGGTCTTTATGCTTTCAAAGGTAAGAAGAGGTCGGAAGTTTTGCGACATCTAAGGTAATGACCAGACCTTGCGAAGACAAACTTCTACTTTTTACAAACAAAGTTTCGACCATTTTTGGCAGTAAAAAATTTCAATACCCGAGAGGCGGTACAAAATGCCTTTGAAGAGTTTGCCGGCTCCCGTACACCTGACTTCTACAAGAAGGGCATTGAAAAATTACCACTGCACTGATAGAGATGCACCGATACTACGGGTGCATATTATTCTGATTGATAGAAATTAAAATTGAATTCATATTTAACCTAATAAATAAAGTTCATTATCTACGGTATCAATAGTTCAAAGCTGAAGTTCATTTTATGTACGAAAAGTCTCATTTGCTATAGGGTCTTTAATGAATGGTTGTTAAAAATATTATGTTAAACGTCACTACACTGAACAACTCCAAGCTCATTTCAGTTTTGTCACGCTATAGCACATGAGAACACAAAAGAAGTAGGTAATTAGTATCTCCAACTCGAGATTAACAGAAATACGAGGAACAAGATAAAGAGACTTCTTATAAGGAAAATTAAATGGGTTTAATTTCTAAGTTTATCTTATTATTGGTCGTAATACGTATGGTGAACTCGCACAGGTATTGTTGTCCAGGCCACGTCTGCCGCGGATCAGTCGTGTAAAGGAAACTGGTAGGACTGTTAATATAAAATAGAATTATGCGATTTCATGTTTTAATGCATGGCAGCATGATCTTCATACTTGATCTTTATGGGTTGTGGTTACCACTGAACACGAGCTAAGCCATACAACCACTAAAAATGCATTTGAATTAGTAATCGGAAGTGTATATTGCAGTAATTAAGGAAATTCTCAACACGAACGCAGATCGACGCAAAGACTCCGATCATATACCTTTCCGGCGAACTTCTCCCTTATATCCGTAGTAGTAAGTAGTATATTACTTCTCTAAATTTAATGATGGTAGGGTATCTAGTGACAGCCCGCTGAGTTTTCGCCGGTTCTTGTCAGTAAGTCGTAATTCCAATATATCCTCACTTGCGAAATAGCTTCCCTTAAGCTATTAGCTAGGGTAGCTGTTCGTAAACGTTTCTCCTGAGACCTTGAGTCACCCACCCGACCTGGTGAAACTGGAAAGGCCTTCAGGCCAACAGCTTTATAACAATTGATTTAAAGGGTAGATACTACCACCCGTCTATTCGTATCACTATTTCCTATTTACCCGGAAAGAAATGGGCAGCAGTAATGGCTTTGAAAAGCGGGACACACGTTATCGTATACAACTGAAACTCAGACCTCATGTTTCATTGTAGATGGCAGCACTCGCGTTGTTATAGTTGGGCTCCGATAACCACTTAATATCAGGTAGTCCATGAGCTCGTTCACCCGTCTATGTAATTAATTAAAAAATTAAAAATAAATAAAGTAAATACATTAATAATAATTAAGTAATAAATAATAAAACAAATAGGACGGGTAGTAGGTAATTTACCTTAACGTTACCTTAAATAAATAATTTGAGACTAAAGATAGTCGCACAAATAACTTATGTGTTACAAATTGACCCATAATACATTGAAAGATTCATCTACATAGATTAGATAGGTTCAGGTTGATCAGTTTGTTAATATATTGAAAATACGATTCAACACTGAGTCCGTCCTCGTCTTCTCAAGTGGAGTCTCCAGGTGTACTGTAAAGCTCTCTTTTCTCGATTCCCATTTCTCAATACTCGATTCCCATTTCATTTTGACATTCCATACAACTGTATCTAGTCGACTAATTTTGTTTGATTTGGTTGCAATTGGTGTGACGATGGCAAAATTTGATAAGAGTATCTGGCCATCCATCAGAAAAGCGATTATACGATATAGGAACTATATATTAATTACATCATGTTGACTCATTAAATTGTAAGATTCTTCTACATAGATTAGACACGTTCATCATTAGGGTTAATCAGTTTGTAAAAAAAATTTAAAATATTATTCAACACTGAGTCCTTCCCTCGCCTTCTTGAGTGGAATCTCCAGGTGTAGGTACTGCAAAGCCCTCTTATTTGCTTCCTTCGCTGATCAGTTTAATAGTAATACTCGATTCCCATTTCATTTTCACATTCCATACAACTGTACCCAGTCGACTAAATTTGTTTGATTTGGTTGGGATTGATGTGACGATGTCAAAACTTGATAAAAGTATCTGGCCGTCCATCAGAAGAGCGATTATACGATACCTATAGCATTCTTATATTAGTTCTTCCTCATCATTCGTAGTAGTATCATCATTTGTATTGTGTTAGAGTGTATTATGAACCCGCTCGGGTGGATGCTACCATGCTGATTATTTCAGCGACTGTGTAATATTTTGCTCCGGCTAAAAGAGTGATGCAACCGTTGTTTTTTTTATTGCCCTTGTAGGCAGACAGGCATACGGCCCACCTGATAGTGAGTCGTTGCCGTCGTCGATGGAAGTTAGTAATGCCAGGGGCAGAGCCAGCCTGCTGCCTATACCGTAAAGTACTCTCCACAAGCCTCGTTTGAAGAAGGATATGTCATAGCGCTCGGGAAACACCGTAGAGAGAAGTTCATTTCAAAGCCGGATGGTACGTGGCAAAAAAGGTCTCTGAAAGCACACTGTAGGTGCCCACACGGGCGGTGCGATAGTAAAAACGAGATGATGGGATCATCAAACAATTCCTCAGAACATACAGTACAAAATACAGAGGGAACCGAAATCCCTCCCCAGAACCAGACGTTCCAAACGAGCCGCGAGAATGGGATTATCGACAATCCGAACAGCTCTCTTCTGTACGGAGTGAAATAAAAGTAGCTGGTATTTAGGAACCCGGCCCAGAGGAGGGCGCAGTACTCCACGCCAGGCCGGACTTGCGCTTTGTAAAGCAAGTTTTTGTCCAGGCGTGAAGTGTCTCTTCGCTCTGTTGAGAACTCCCAGCATTTTGGACACTAACTTGGCTTTGTTCTCCAAATGACTTCGAAATTGGACATCGCTCGAAATGTCGTTTTGCAATACAATTCACATTTCGACATGATGTATCCTGGTATGTGGTGGAATCGCATAATGATATCTACGGGCCTCGCTAACCACTTATTACTTAGTGAGCTCGCAGCTCGTATGACATCTACAACCTACAACATTTAAAAAAGCACCAATATACTCCAGCTCCCGTAAAACGTTTTCGTTTAGAAAAGTTATTCAAGGACATTTTATTTTCAATTCATAATTTTTTTTCAGCTATGACGATTAAAAATATAATTTTGTATATATACAGTAATTTAAGTGGCAAAATACATTTTCATAAATAGTATATCAACACTGACTGAGACATTGGTCTTATTTTAAGGGATGATTTTTACTACAGAAAAAATTTCCGAACGATTATTGTCTATGAATAAGTTGTAAGCTTCCGCTCGCTATGTAGCTAGGTTCGCGGTATGTGCCACTTCCGTATCCCTCATAGTGATAAAACGATGTTTTTATAAATTTTATGCTGTTCAATTTGAACCAGATCCATAGTTGCAGAACAATAGCAATCGTTTGCGCTCATAATGTGTTGTTTTATTGTTGGGTAGAAATCCTGCTTGATTAAAAATAGTCTATTTAGTAAAAATATATTTAAGGATGTACGACCGTTTAGTAAATAAAATATTAATTATTAGATATAAACATTGAAATGTATTTAACAATATCTTAAGTTTTTAAATATGTTTTATTACGAGATATCGGCATTCTGAAAAAAAAAAGAATATTCCTGTGTATTAAGAAATGTTTATTTACATAATAAACAATTAAAGATTTAAATTTATATGGTACTATTTGTTGTCTTTTAAAATTAATTTTGTTATATGTTTATGTTGTAAACATAACTTACTTTTAATTAAAGATAATATAGTTATAAAATGCAACACTGATGGCATCTAGGTTACATTAATAAAAAATACCTGAAAACAACGGAGTATAAGTTCTAAGAGTATATAATTTTTTATTGTTTTACACCTACCAGATACAAAGTACATAATAAATACATATGTAAAGGCTAAATTGAGAAAAGGCAGTTTTACCGCTTTACGCTTCAAACTTTGTACCTAATCACTTTCTAAGTTTTGTTACTGTAAAGTACATACATTACAGCCTTACATTACAAAAATAATGCCATGAAAGATTATTGGTATTGGTAATTTAAAATATAATGAGGTGAACTTATTGTTGTATTATAATTATTAAATTGAAAACGTGCTTGCATACCTATTGGGCTTTGGCAATTAGCTTAAGAATTTTTTTTAAGTTTGTCAAACAAAATCATCATCTAATTTAGTTTATATCAACATGATTTACCGAATGCGAACACTTCGCTTCGCTACAAACCGGTTGGACAACGAAAATTTAAAAATTCGTTATATTTTATGGCTTCTCTGGCGAGGGGAGGAATTTGTATCGTAGAGAGCGGCATCGGATAGGGGTTGGTAGTTCGACCGCTTCGCGCCTGCGTACGTAGTTCGCGCCACTGCTACGTCGCTACTAGCAAGTAGCAAGCAAGCGAGCGAGCCAGATGTTCTGAAAAGCTTCCTGTCGTCGTTTCAACGTTCCATAATTTTATTTATTATTAACTGTAAAATGTGGACTAGGACCATTAAATTGTTTGTATATTTGAGTGTTAACATCAGTGTATAAATTACCATGTGTATTTTATAAACTTGTGATCTCTGACTGAAAATTATCGAGCGTAGATGTCCACGAGTTCACTCGGGACCAACAAAGCGGCGGACATTTTATTTTGAGTACTCTATAATGTAGCGTTTGCGTCGAAAACATTAATGTCGTTTATTAGTTACAAATTGGAATATTGTTCGCTTACACCTTTTGTAAGTATTATTATGATGTAACGGGTATTTTATTTCGTTTCATGCAAAGTGTACACATAGGTTTAGGAAGCGGTTGTTGCTTACTATCACGTAGGTTGTCGTATTTTCGGCAAATTGTCGTTGAAAAAGTGACGTAAGCAATTCGGTACAGCTGGAAGATCTTCTTAGACCCTAGGTATAATATCCAATATACTATATTTATTATCGACCCGCCCAGCATTGGAGGTTCGTGTTCATAATTTCCGCGCGCACGGCTACCCTAACCTCTTCACTAATTAAATTGTGTGTACGATAGCTTTGAAAAAGTGCCAAGATGATGTTGATGAGACAGTCTGTAATGTGTAATCGTAATTCAATAGCGATGCCGAGAGGGGTGAAGCGAGGGTCGGCGGAGGGCGAGGCCGAGGTGGTGGTACGAGCCGGGGAGTCTCCATCGCAGACCACGCTATTGGAGAACAGTCCCAGCCAGCCTATCAGTTATCACCTCCTCGACCACGGCTATGGCGCTACCCCAAAGCATCAGATACGCCGCGAGGCGCCCACGGCACCGCCTAAGACATCTGAAGTAAGTGCTTTATTAAACTTTCATTGGATTACCTTAAATTACGAATTTGCTAATGAAGAGTGGTGGGTGAATCTTTTCAGTAATGTATTAGTTTCATGTAGGTTATATAAATTTGCTTTCTATGTCATCAAACCCTTACTCCCAAGTATAAGTGCTTTCTGTTATGGCATATTATAATTCAACTTACTTTCAGTTAATATGTGTAATAGCATGGCTGAATAAATACTTCCACAGCAGCAGTGCTGTGGTGCAATTATTATTGTAAAGTAAAATGTGCAGGCACTTGTTTTTATAATCATCTTTAAGATCCAAAGATTATATTTTAGTAGAAAAAACTGAATACTACTTCAGTGACTAGTACTACCGTGTAATGGTAATTTTAATAGCCATCAAACTTAGTTAACTTTAATCAAATCTCAATGAACTAGAAAACAACATTGTAGAAATTGTATTAGTAAATAGACTGTTAATCAAATAATGTTTGTGAATATTTAGTAACTTTTAGTTTTGTAGAAAAAACATGATATGTGCTACACGAATTGACAAACAAAATCAGCATTTCAGTAAGTTCTTGCTCAAACTCAATGATCTCTTCATGTTTGAAGATCATCACTTTCTTTAAGTTTGGTAATATTTGCTATAAAAGATTTCAATTTAAAGATTACGAATACAACTCATTTAAATAAAGCTCTAAATCGTCAACAACTTAGTGTATTAAGAATATAATTTTAATTTAATAATAAAACTGTCCTTGGAATTTTACATTGAGTTACATAAATAACTAGTAATTTTTTTTTATGTTCGGTTAATTCAGAAAGAATTTCCTAAAATTTAACACAGTCATATTTGTTAATCGTTTAATAAATGTGATTAGTGACACAAATTCACCAATTTCCAAAGTATGTCTATGTCTATTTTAAATTAATACAATATATTATGAACATTAATTTTGGGAATCAAATTTAAATAATATTTATTTCATTAAAGTGTAGATTCTGGTGTAATGAAATTATCAAACATGGGCAAACCTGAGTAAGTGAATAGAAATATTTAATTTTCTTGAGTTTTGTTAATAAACTAAGCCTTATCTATTATCTTGAAGACTGGATATTCACACAATTACAAAGGAAAACCACAAGGTCTAAAACTTAAATTTAAGTAAGATTTGTTCTTAAAGTTCTTAATAATAAGAATACAAAGTGTTGCACTTTGAACAAACTTTTAAAGAAGTTGTTAGTAAAAAGAGTAGGTAATTGTAAAAAGGAAACATTAATATAATTCTCTAGTCAATTTTAACATCTAAAGTGTTCACATTACAAGATTTTCTATTCAATTTAGGAAAGGATGTGTTAATTTTTATAAAAGTGAGTTTAAAATGGGACTACTTAATTTTCGTAAAGCTAAGTGGGTCATATATTCTAGGGGTCCAGAATGAAAAGGGGTTCATTGACCTTACAGGTTATTGAACTGTGCCAACGAATTTTGGTGGTTTGACTAGAATTATGTAGGCAATTCAAATATGGTACATTATTTTGATAGTAATGTTATCTAATACAAAAAAAAATGTTTATTAATGGTAATCAGTGTTGTTTGAAGGTTGTTTCACTATCACAAAATATGTGTGAAGATTTGGTACTGCTAGTCCAAGGTGTTTTGTTGTTTTTTTTTTTCGATTTGTTATTTATCGAAACAAAATATTTTAGATAAAGATTCTACAATATAAATTAGAGCTCAATCATTAAAACCTTGTTGCTTTATCAGGGCGTTTTATAAATTGAAATTAGAAGAGATTACGGTAAATCAAAATGGCGGATGCCAACGGCCACAATCCTTGCGTCTTTGGCAAACTGCGAATAGAAAAAAATCCCGTTCACGGTACCCTCTTGTCAGTGTGGACCAATCACGAAAGAGCTGGGATCATCAGTCTGTGTTCCCATTCAATATAAGCGAACTCTACTACCCTAACTAGATCGTGGTAATATTGCCAAATAATCTTCTCCCCTCATGCGCAATACGCATATCCCAGTTTCTAATCCATAATCGTATAGTGATGTACAAGGTTGTGCCGATGTGCTTCATTTAGGTGTACCCGATATGTGTATAATTTACCATGTAACATATTGTCCGAAGTACTATCTGTGACCTTGTGAGCTACAGGTTGCGATGATGGCAGTTTTTAGAATATCAGATATCTAATACGTCTCTCTCGATTACGCGATAAACTAACCTATAGGCTGCAAGAACGACTTCCATACTTGAGAGTTTTTGTATTCGTAATTCGTTGATTACAAACTCATGTATTCCGCTGTCTAAATTTAAATAAAATAATTCCTTTAACTAGGTAGGCAAGAAATTATAAGTAGGTGGTTTTGGGTGCGTAGCAAGTTCATTCTGTGCAGTCCTGATGCATTCGTAAGAGCATGTTTACTTTTGATGTGAAAGCAGTAACGCGTTCTGGTTTTTTCTAGAACTTTGTCTGCAAAATTTTAACTAGCTATTCGGTAATCAATTAATATTATTTAACAAAGGGACTGCATAAAATTTAGTAGGTACGTATATTTTTAAGATTACAGAATTATGAACGGACGCATGGGGGATGCGCGCCATTCGTCCCTGATACAGACTCGTTTTGGATGGAATTTAGCTCATACGCTTTGTATTTTCATTCTGCAGTGCTATACTAAATTCGTGGAATAGAAAAACTTGAGCAAACAGACTCGATTTCGATAATTTTATACTATATAGTTCTATTTTGTATCTTTCATTGGCTAATATTGGCAGACGATTTCATCACTTGTCTGATATGAAGCAGTTTCGGATCCAAAAGAAGCCACTACGTGCCTGTTTTGTTTTGTTTTTTTTTCTTACCTAATCTGATAGCCTTGAGAGGCTATTTCAGCGTAACCTTAACTAGTAGGTGAGCTCACGGGGCTTAAACCTGACGACGTTGCTAACACGAACCCTAGCAAGAGCCGTGCTTTGCAGAACCACCGGATCGAAAACGCGACCCACTGAGAAGATCCGACGAGAAACTCAGTGGGCTGTGTCTGTGGGTTAATTTACACGTCGAGCCCTTCGTCGCAAGCGACGGGTTCGACGAGAACGATGACCGGTGGTGCCTGCTGCATCACCTCCTTTAGTTATACCGCTACAGTGACGAGCTAGCCTTAAAAGGGGAGACCGCATCGCGGGCATTGAAATTTTCACTTAATAGCTTATTATAATATTTAGCTTTATATACTTATATGTACTTACTTTACAATAAAAATACAATTATTAGTGTAATGAGCAAACGAATTGAAAATAATGAAATTAAATTCGATCTAATACTCGAATTAGTTTTTTCATCAAAACGATTTTAACGCAAAGGCTTTAGGCAATAGCAAAATGTAATTCACTTTTGCAATATTTTTATCGTATACTGAATTGAATAGTATTGCTGTGGTTACAATATTTCAACGGGAAGATGGTAGAAATCGAATTGTACGAAGTCTTTGCTCTACGGACTGACGCCCTGAAAAGTACCGGAAATTAGACGAATCGTTCATCCTCTTTGCATTAAAGTCAGAGAGAGAAACATGACGGATCGAGACCGATTTATTGTATGCGCCAAAACTAAAACATTCTTTTTTTAGCAATTGTTAATGAATCGTAAAAATGCGTAATGATATTTCTGTCAATTTTCGCTTTTAGGAGTCATAATCCAAACTGCTTTTACGGTTTAATTTCGCATTTTATTTAACAATACGTTTCGGGGTAAGTTAACGTCTTCACAAACGATTGAGCTGTGGTATTTGTCGACATTTGAATATAGTGCCAAATACCGTTTTTTTTTTTTTTTTACGTTTGTTTGCGCACTGTAATAACTCATGAGGTTCAACTTAGGGTTTCATCTTCAGTATAAGAGGATTCAGGCTTTTTGCCGAGAACGCGAGAAGCGAAGTTTTTATTGTTTATTCAGATTTTAACTTGTAATGATGATTGCTTATTAACAGTTTAGCAATTGTGAAAAGGCACAAATTTTGGAAAATGAAAAAAGTTGTTAGAACTGGCTTTTCGGGTCCCTCTAAAAGCCCAGTCGTCTCAGTAAATTCCCAAATGAGATAAGCCCAATATAATGATGATATTGGGCTTATTTAATTCCATGTCTTCACAATAGATTACAATTTCAAATAATTTAGGTTTATTTCATAACGCTCCATTTTTAATTTAAAATGTTTATTGTAAGTAGATTTTTATAAACTCGACACTGGCAACATTGGTGTCGCAAAAAGCCAATTGCCATAGGGATAAAAAGAAGTGGAAGAGGATTCGGTTCAGGTCTCAGAAGAGCGCCAAATTATCTTCTCTATATAAACGGGTTTCCGAAACATCGATAATAATAAAATTAACATCAGAAACGAGTAATTAAACCGTAAATGTAATTTTAAATACAAATCCATGTATGTCTTTTAATTCATCCAGTCTATATGAATAGTTATTACTGGTGGTAGGACCTCTTGTGAGTCCGTGCGGGTAGGTACCACCGCCCTGCCTATTTCTGCCGTGAAGCAGTAATGCGTTTCGGTTTGAAGGTTGGTACAGCCGTTCTAACTATACTTGAGACCTTAGAACTTATATCTCAAGATGGGTGGTGCATTTACGTTGTAGATGTCTATGGGATCCAGTAACCACTTAATACTAGGTGGGCTGTGAGCTCGTCCACCCATATAAGCAATAAAAAAAAGAATAATAAAAACGAATTGAGGATTCTGTATTCGATAAAAAACACCAATAACGGATATTCTGGTACATGATAGTTTAATTTCAATCAAATCTATGTTTATATTTCGATTCACGGCGTTGGATTCAATTCAGGATAGTGCGTTCCACTGGCCGGTAGAGATAACAATTCACACCGCGTATGACGCTCGTTAGCTTTTAACGTTTTTTTCTTGTAAGTAGGTTGATTTTGAATTCGATATCAAACGAACATCAGATTTTTATTAACGTTATCCATTTGAATATAATGTTATGCAAATTGTATGTACGACTAAATAATGCATGCAAAACATTCACCTAATTACGAATTTGTTTCAATAATAGACTTTGTATTTTTCTTGACAAAATTACGGTCTATTCATATACTTAGTTTTTTTTTCAAATGTTATGACGTTCAGACGATCTTTCTATAGCTAACACAGCGAGAATGACATAGAAATCACAACGGCTTGTCTTCCACTTTAAACCGAAAAACGTATAGTTACTACGTATTAGAAATAGGCACAATTGTGGTAACCGACGTTTGGTATTCAACCAATTTACCCAATGAGCCAATTTTTTATTTATTGTTTTATTTCGGTGGCATGGGTTTGTGTCGACAAAAAAAATCGTTATTTATCTGTAATTGAGATTTCTCACTCGTATTTTGAGAAGGCGACGACTTTTAGGTTATGGTGTGTATGTATCTAATGCAGTAACTTCATCATTAGCCATTTAAATCATTTAAATCAAAGAAAAAATCCTAAAGATCTCTCAGATGCACCGATTTTGTGTCAAATCTAGGAACTCGTCCACTGTAGCATCAAATCGCCTCATTAAAACAGTCAGTTAATAAGTAAATGGACATGGCGTCCCTACTCGGAGGTCCGAGAGTCCGATACTGGGTTTTGGTCCTTGAAGATATTTAACGTTCGGGGTCGGGAAATGATTATAGGATATAGACTTTCTTACAATATTATTCACTAGCAGAAACATTCTGTTGTTTTAATTGAAAACTCCTTCCTTTAAGTTTTAACATTATCATCATTTTTAGTATTTTGATACCTGCTTTGATACCTCACTGCTGGGCGCATACCCGATCCTGTAGACCGAATGATAAAAACAGTCGACGTCGCCCAAAACACATCATCACGGATTCTCACGATCCATTAACGGTGCTTTTAGGTACCACAAGCACCGGTCACCGTCTTCATCGAACCCGTCGCTTGCGACGAAGGGCTCGACGAGCGAATTAACCCATAGATACAGCCCACTGAGTTTCTCGCCGGATCTTCTCAGTGGGTCGCGTTTCCGATCCGGTGGTAGATTCTGCGAAGCACTGCTGTTGCTAAGGCCTGTGTTAGCATAACTTCGGTTTGAGCCCCGTGAGCTCACTTACTAGTTAAAATTACGCTGAAATAGCCTCCCAAGGCTACAGCTATCAGCTTAGGTAGGAAAAAAATACTGCTAGGCATAGGCCTCCCCTTTTGTTATGCCTTGGTGTTTGATCGTCCGCCATCTAATCCTCGCCTCCCTCGCCTTCCTGACTATGTCATCGGTCCATCGTGCCATAGGTCTTCCGGCACCCCTAACACCTGATCTTGGGCACTATTGCGTCACGATCCTGTCCTTATTTCCAATTTTGAAATACATTATTTAAATCGCCTACTCAATTTACTCATATTTTCGCGTACTTTAACGAAGTTGTGGTGTTTATATTTCGAATCACACCTAAGTAAGCATTTATATTTTTAAAGTTTTAAAACTTATTTCAATGGGGCTTTGTCAAAAGCTTAAGCCAGCATAGGAAGGTACCACCGAAACTGCCCCGCGTTCTGGTTTCACAGGCGGAACAGCCGTCATAAAATACGGTTGAGGTTTTGATCATATGTCTCAGAGTGGTGGTGATATTCGCGTTGTTAGATCAATGGGCTCGGGTAATGATTTACACCACGTGGACCGGCGGCTTTTTCTTCTATTTGTAAAGTAAGAAAAGGAAAATAGAAGATTACTGATGTATACGGCCAAACTGGAATAAATTGAATGTTAAGTTTATTTGTTGGATTGTCAGCTGGAGGTCTAATATTGAACGTGTCGTTAAGTTTATTGAACGTTGGAGCCGACGAGTGTGTGACGGAGACACATGTTAGTAGTTTATAATAAACCGATTAGTGATCCCTCGGAGCGTGGTGCTGCCTCGCCATGTGGCTTCGTTGCTGGCCGCTCGTGGAGCCAGGTACTTGTTTCCCGTCATAGTCGCACTTGCGTCGCACGTTTTAGGTCACTTGTATTTAAAAAACCCATAGACCTCAGTACGTTTATAAATCAACTATTCGTTAAGCGTTGCTTCAATGCGAATCGCCAAATGAACGACCAAAGGATTAAATTAAAAAGGCCTTAATATTGTTTCTAAAGAGTTATGCTAGGCGGTTCATTGACTTATTGGGAAGCCGTGAGCCTTTTTTTTCGACATGAGGGGTGCTGTTATAATGACAAATTTGAAGACGCATCTGTCTGAAGTTACTCCGATTTCACGCCCAACCCGTAATCCTGCAAATCAACAATAGTTCCCGAGTTCACTTTGTAATAATACCGCAAATATTTCAAGATAAGGAATTGCCATTCTTTCATTAGGAGATCCCTTCCGAGAGCCCCAGCTTTTGTGTTGATTCTAATTTATGTCATGCATTGTTGTCGAGTTCCCTCCCCACACTTCATTTCGCGGCTGCGGCCCGGCGCTCAATGTAGGATACGAATCTGTTGCATGAGCTTATTGAAAAATTCTCCGTGCATCATCGCATTCGCGTCTACTCGTATGATTCCTATCAAGATTTCGTCCGTTATCCTAAAATAATTTTCCATTTTATAAACGACCTCTGACACCCAGTAATAATTAAAAAAAAAACAAAACGACGTTAATGTACTATTTAGAATTAAGGTCGTATCATTGGCCCGTTGTGGTGATGTGAACTAGTGCCTACTTATCTACAATTGAAGAGATTAGTGATGACTTACGCTTTGTTAAGAGTGGTGAGTGTCGTACTTTAAGTACTCTAAATATAAATATCTTATTATCAATTAAGATTATTAGATTATAGTAAATGTCGTCCCCAATCGATTTTAGGGTTTTTTTTCCTACCTAAGCTGATAGCTTTGAGAGGTTAAGTCAGTGTGTAACCTATAACAAGTAGGTGAGCTCACGGGGCTCAAACCTGACGACGTTGCTAACACTAACCCTAGCAAGAGCAGTGCTTTGCAGAATCTACTACCGGATCGGAAATACGACCCACTGCGAAGACCCGGCGAGAAATTCAGTGGGTTAACTTTTAGGGCATAGAATAATGAAAACTTTCGAATAATGCTTGAAGAGCAATAATTTTATTTAAAATAAAAAATAAATAAATAATTGTTTTGAAGAAAAACGGAAAGAACGTTTTTCAATCGAATCCAATAAACTTTAATTATTTTTATAATGAATCATAAGTTAACTAGGACGGCAATGTTGTCCGCAGGCGGTTAAAAGAAGACTGAACCTTAGCGAGAGCAGTTCCGGGAGTCAAGGACACGTGGTGCCCATGAAAGCGGACTTCAAAACTCCGAAGCAGAAACGCGTCAAAGTTCTCACGCCGTACAGCAGACCGTCCAGTTCTATGAAAAAGTACACAGAACGTTCCAGGTATCTCTATATACGTTTTTTGCGCTTTCCGAAATATAATTCCGACATTAAAAAAACGTTAGACTATTGATAGTTTCGAGGGCTTCCTTTTTTTCAATGGCAAACATCCAACTTGGATAGCTCTGGCAAAACCGTTTTTTGTTTCTTTCATATATGTAATATACGTTACGTCTTTTACGAGTATTGATCTGTTTAAAATAATTCGAAGGGGCGTCTCTATGCTTTATGCTCTCTATTCTCTATGCACCGAAAAATATATGCAATTGGAATACTCTTTATTATTCCATCAGTTTGAGTTCCACATTTAAATAGTATTTAGTAGTAAACCAAAAATGGTGAACCATACATTATACGGTTTCTAAGGTTTTTACTATGACTTAAAAGGTAGTTCCAATTTGCTAATATTAAAGTATGACGATATAATTTGGTATAAAATAAGCTGTCATTCTTTTCACCTTTTTTAAGTAATTTTAGTGCATGAACAATAATTTACTATAATATAATTCATACTAAAATTATAAATGCGAAAGTGTGTTTGTTCAAATACCGCAGATCATATCATCATCATCATCATACAGATACATTTTTTTTCTAAGCAAATACGTACTTGACACATATCTTCCTCAATGAAGAAATAGGAACGTGTAATAAAAAACCATACTCGCAAAAATTATAATTTGGGTAGTTTCCATGGGTTCCGGGAAACACTCAACACCAAGTGAGCTCCCATCAAAATTGAATCAACCATGTAAAATTAAATCCTGTGTTCCCGGTGGGTGATTCTGCGAAACATTGCTCTTGTTAAGGCTGGTATTAGCCAATTCTCTCAGATTGAGTGCGTGAGCTCATCTACCCCTCGGCGCGTAGCTAGAGAGGTTGAATAGTCCCTTAGGCTACCAGCGAATAAGTAAGGGAGAAAAAGTCTGTGTTGATTGATACGATTTTTTAATTGCTGTCAACGAAGTTATCATAGTCATCATTTGAAGGACAAATTCCAGCACTAAGAAGGCTTCAATTTCATGTTTCGAGATGAAAAGCTCATGACAATACTAGAAGGTATATTTGCCCATTTATCTCGAAAAAGTTGTTTGTTTGACCATCATAAAAAAAAAAACATGGATTCCATATTGTTGGTGCTTTATATTTTAGTACTATTATTTATTTTAAAATATTTCAACCTGATATGCCCTATCAAACTAGGTATATGTTCCATATGAAAGTAGCAGGAATTATGATTTAAAATTGGACTCTGTAATAAATTTTTTAAGGTTCTAATTGGCTTCTTGGTACTCGAGAATTCATGATTGCAATTAATGTGTTGTTTCAGGTTTGATACATCCCTAGGTTTACTAACGAAGAAATTCGTCGCTTTGTTGAAATCTTCACAGAACGGAGTGCTCGATTTGAACATAGCGGCGGAACATCTGTCCGTTCAGAAACGTCGCATATACGACATCACGAACGTTCTAGAAGGTATAGGAATATTAGAGAAGAGGTCCAAAAACAACATACAATGGAAGTATGGTGAGCTACAGTTTGTGTTGTTTATAGCGCGATTAGGATTTTGATAATTGTCGAAAGACCTCGTTCCATTGGTGTGATTCCCAAATAAATAAATCCACGTCTCTAATTTCGTCAGGGGAAACTGGCGCTCCGTTCTGTGGGATTAAAATAGCTTAGTTTCTAAAAAACTTCGGATGTTTGGTAGCTTAGCATTATATTTTCTATTTAATCTACTTTAAATTCGCCTGTAATGAACTAGCTAATAAAATAATGAAATAGCACAAATCGTCTTTTGAAATTGAGTTAATGAGAAATTGAGTCGAAATTGAGTTAATATGCGGAATCATTTGGTATCACCAGTATTTTTCTCATAAACACTGTCAAAATAGCGTAGGTTAGTTTTAGTTTTTTTTTCTTTTAATTTACCTTATAGTTTGACTACTATTAACAAAATTAATACATAATTTTATCTTACTTTAAAAGAGAGATAATATAAGTGGTAAGAAATAAAAAATAAAAGTTGCAAAGATGATTAATATTAACACTAAACATACCATAACAGGTCAAATGACCCATTTTGAACTTTTGTATTGAAAATACACGTATCATCTTGTTGCTTTTGTGCATTTCACTTAATGACTTTTTCTTACCAATTAATCTACTGGTATTATATTATTTCTTTTTGTTTTGTTTGTTTTGGGTATCACTTGTACCGTTATCTACCCGCTATGGTAGAAAAAGGGCACCAGTAAGTGTTGGTACGATTAGTGTTAAAAATATCACATGTTAAACCTTTAAAACACTCCTGTAAATTTAGTAAGTTTTGAGATTATACAGTTTTAATGCGAGTTTTAAGACGAATCGTGGCCGAGTTGTGTGTAGTGAGAGTGCGGATCGCGCAGGTATGAGCGGCGGGTCGTGCGGCGCGGACGGGTCGACGGCGCGGCGGCTGCGCGGCGAGGTGCGCGCGCTGTCGGCGCGGGAGGCCCGCGTGTCGCGCGCCGTGGCCGCCGCCGAGCTCGCCCTGTCGCGGCTGTCGGCCGACCACGGCGCCAAGGCCTACATCACCTACGCCGACCTGCGCTCCATCGCGGACTTCCGCAACCAGACCGTCATCCCCATCAAGGCGCCGCCCGACACCAGGCTCAGTGTCAGTACATCTGAGACGATATTTTAAATAAAAGGCGATTAAGGGATTCGCCAGAGAATGAGCAACATTTTCTGAATATTAAACCATTACTACCATTATTACCATTGTGACTATACTTGAGACCTTAGAACTTATATCTCAAGGTGGGTGGCGCATTTACGTTGTGGATGTCTATGGGCTCCAGTAACCACTTAACACCAGGTGGTTTGTGAGCTTGTCCACTCATCTAAGCAATAAATAAATAAATAAAACCGATACGCAACGGTCGCCAAGCTAGTTTCTTTAGGTGCCGCCATTCTGCGTATTTCTGCCGCAGAGCATTCATCAGTACTGGTTTGAAGGGCGGGACCGAAGGACCGTTATACAATAATATTAAGACTTTCACCTTGTTTCTCAGACTGGGTGCCGATATTCACCTTGTTAGTCTTGTAATGTTCAATCCTGGTAACCACAATACTAGGAAGGATGTGAGCTTGTCTACATTTATAGCAATAAAAAAAACTTAAATAGTGCTGGTAAGCGGTTGTCGGTACAGCATTGAACGCCTATTGCTTATTTTAGTTTTTAGTTTTAGGAGCTTACAATGAATGACTCAATATCTAGGGTATTGGTTGTGATGAAATCGCCTATTCTCCATTTTCTAGCATATTTTAATATTTTTTCCTATTTTATTATTTTAGTCTAACCTGCCTTGAATGACTAAGTAACTTTTTCGAGACTTAACCTGCTATGTTGTTTTTGCAAGTCATTCATTAACACTAGTGTTATTGTCTTTAATAACCTAATGAGTGGAAAGTTTGTATGTGTATGTGTTCTATAAAATAACTCAATTTAATTGTTAACAGTGTTATGCTAAGCTTGTTAAAAAAATGTTCTTTTGAGTCTCAGCAAAATAACACTACAATGTATAATGAAAATGCAATGAAATCCTGTAAAAACAGGATTACGTGAAGTTATTGCCTAAGCACATTGATAATGAGCAAATGTGGTTTGGCAAATACATCTAATGACAATTGGATGTATCTTTATTTAATATAAAATCTACCTAATTACAGGTACCTCATCCTGACGAAAAAGGTTATATGATCCATTTGAAGTCTTTGTCTGGGGAAATAGAAGTTTATCTTTGTCCAAAGGAAAGGCCTGCTTCACCAACAGGTAATTAATTGCCCCAAGTTAAAATTTGATATATAGAAAATCGTTTATCTAAATTAATATAAATTCAAACAATGCTTAAACGAATGTTACTAGAATAGCTAGTTAAATATGCATAATTCCTGTTTACTCATATGATGAACGCACACTGCCTATTTTAAGACGAAATATTAACCTATACAAGTCATATGTTTGTTCTTCTGTGTTTCGGTAATAGTGCAGTCATATTTATATGCCTTATATCATCGAACACAGGATGTGTGACAAATGCTTGCATCTCGATAACGACATTTTCAAGATAAGCTTACTTATATACAAGTTCTGAACAACAACATTTGGTTTACCGAGAAATTGCATATTGTATTTTTAAAAGATAAGTAACTGTACTGTACTTAAAGGTTATCCTGATTTTTTTTATTATAGTGTCAGGGATGTCTTCGGATCCTCTTCTAGAAGACAACAAAGCGTTACTCGCACCTCTCATCGCGCAAATGCAATCAGCCTCCGAACAGTTCATGTAAGAAAAAAATGCAATAATTTTGCTATGAATACTTATCGGAGTCAGAAGTCTGAGTGTCGGAAGGGAGTTTGAGTCGGAAGAATGAATATCAGTCAGTAATTGATGTAGTTGTAAAAAGTACTTTTACTTCTTCGGTTGACGAGCTTCTCAATTATACTCGGTAGCTCACGACTATGAGGTGAGTTGTAAAATTGATTAAATTCAACATAAAACATGTCGCTGTGTGGTGCAGAAGTGAATGACTGCTGATAGTTTCTTGATTTGCGTCAAACGATGAAACCGCAAGAAAAAATAGAACAGAATTATGTTTTAGGATATTTTCAATACGTACGTACTTTAATAATATTTAGTCAAATAGTTAGATTGGTTCCTTATGCCGCAAGTATTCCCGACTTTAATGTATTGTTGTGTCAGGCGACCTGTGAAGCGGGAGATGGAGGACGGCGAGTCGGGAGCTCGTGCGCTGGTGGTGTGCACGCCTTGCGTCACCGACCCCACGCTGCCGCTCCTCGCCGCGCCCCACGCGCCCCACGCCGCACCGCACGCCACCCCCTCCCCGCCCTCGCCGCACCGCACGCCCCCGCGGCACACCCGAGCAGCCGACCTCTCCACGCCAGACAGTCAGTACCTTATATATTTATGTATAAATTTTAATGTATATCCTTAAGGTGTACAGCGGTATTCACGTTGTGTGTTGGCTACAGTAATCTCTTAACAACACCAGACCTGGATGTGACCCACGTTGGTGTGAAGAGGCACTACTGCAACACATAATGGGCTATAGGGGTGACTGGTCGCCTTATCCCGCGATTTTCTGGCTGGGTCTTCTCAGTGGGTTGTGATTCCGGTAGTAGATTCTGCGAAGCACTGTTCTTGCTAGACTTATCATCTACTGTCCAAATTTTTGATATGCTCGAATTTAGTGTACATATTATTGAAGAAAATATAACTAGTAGGATTCGATTACGATCAATGCAGCAAATGTATTTTCGCGCTTGAAATGATGTATGATTTAAATGCAATATGTACTTGGTCCGTGCAGGTGGTCGCGCCCGCGGTCGGCTGCGCAACGCTCTCATCGCGGACAGCGACGACTTCGCGCCCATCATGGGCGGCGGACGCTTCCAGCTGCAGACGGAGGACCAGGAGTCAGGTATCCGTCAATGTCACCAACTTAACCTACGGGCCCGGTCGTAGTCAGCTCAGTGTGCTTAGTGCGAGTTTTTTAATGTTCTCGACAGCGTAAAAGTTAGCTCATATTTGTATGGAGTGAGATCGTTTGCGTACGTTTGCCGCTAGGGGCGCTATTCCAGCTGCATACAAAATTGGCTTAACTTTTACGCTATCGAGAACGTTAAGAAACTCGCACTAAGCATACAGATCAATAACGAACAGTAAAAGTAACTCAGTAAGTACACAAACAACAATGTAAAATCTTATTATGGCGTAAATTTTTTCACTTCACTTTCACCAAATTTGAAATTACGAGGCAAAAGGTCACGGGAACAATGCGAAAACCTTCATTTACAATATTTGATAAATAAAAAAACAAAGTTATCTGTTTATTATTTAAAAAAGAAATAATATAAATTATTTTACTAATAGAATATCGCGAATGAGGAGTAATTTAAAAAAAATGTTTTGGGTGATTGATGGAAAATCATTAGTCACAATAATTAAAACTACTTTTTCGGTAATATAATCTCGCCCTTATTATTTATATTTTAGACGTTTCGAATATTTATTATTATAGTATATATTATCTATATATTAATACGTGAAGCGAAAACTTTGTGTCCCTTTTTACGAAAATTGCGCGGTAGTATGAAATTTTCCACACTTATAGAGAATATAGAGAAGAATTGCACAAAGCTAATATTTTTTTTAAATAATGCATAAAATATACATTAAATCAATAAAGAAAACATTACACACACTACCATGTATTTGACACAACACCTATATATATGTATAAATATACTCTTTGTTTATTGTCAATTGTCAAACTTTTGTTAGTGTATAAAGTCTGTGGTCAAATTGAGAATAGATTAATATTGTTTGTCTTTATTATTATTTATGTATAGTGTAGTTTTGGCGAAATCTGTGATTATATTATATAAGTACAATAGTATTTGACCATAGAACCTAATAATGTTTAAACATAAAGTTTCAGTTGATTAAAGTCGATTTTCGACTTCTGTAGGACCACTAGTTAGGTTTTAACGACTCATACACATATTTAAAACTATGTCCATATACGAAATTACAAATTTGCAATATTATAGAATATATATAATGTAATGGTTAAGTTTAATGAAAATATTGAAAGCACCTATGATTGAGAAACAAGAACAAGATCGCGTTTTGTGGCTAGCACTCGACATGTGACCTGTGTTCGGTAATCACATCACAGTCAGAGTTCTAGCTACACGGCGCGGCGCACCGACCCACCGGGACTGCGGGTAAATATGCTCCTACACACTCTCAACAATAACTGACATTGTCACGGATCAAAGCCAGGAAATGTAATCACTATTTAATCTTTACTTGTTGTTACTTGTCAATTTATGTATTTAAGAGCTTCCGTGTTCATTCACACCGTTGTTTCACGTGCATGCCCCTGTTTTCACGTTTTCACAAAATACTTTTCATATTTATCATTTTGCTTTACTAACTACAGTTGGAAACTAAGTGTGCTTTCGTCAACATATCTGTGTCCGCAGTCCGTCTGTACTCATCTGTACTATGTAGTATAATGTGAATAAATACTTCCCATCCTAACCTCTTGAAACAAAAATTTTAATTAGTTCTAAAAAAAAAAACGTTACAATTCCAATCTATTTATTAGATCTTTAAACATAAAAAAATAAAAAATAAAATATGGATGCATGGAGATCATATAAATTTTCTATTTGATGTGCACGCTAAGAATTTCATTACATTGAATTCTTTCTTTCTTATCATGTTTTTACTTCTTAATATTTTTAAAACGTTTAATATTTTTTAAATTAATAATAATGTAAATATAAATTAAACATGTAGTATGTTTTGTGCATGATGAACGCAAAGCAAACGCGTTTAGATTGAAAGATTGATTCTTAATTTTTATTTGTCAAAGTTGTCAAAATACATATACTGATCAAAATTAAAGCGCGCGAGCGCAATTGGCTTTTCAGTTGAAATTTAATATCAGTGTACGTGAACAATGAATATTGCATTCGATCGTCGAGTCGATGTCTAGATTGTGTGTAGTGTGCGCGGGTCGCGCTGTACATAGCGGGTCGGGGAGAGCGGTGCGTGGGCTCGGTCGCGAGCTGCCTCCCGTGCGGCTGCAGTGCTCGCGTGTAGCACCATGGGATTCAGCTCACGGCCGCTCCCCACTAACAGCAAAACTCATCTACTAATACGTAACGCCACCCATCTCAAACGTAACAACCGCTGTCATATCTAATTATCGCTGTTCCGCCCCAGTCAAAGGCTTTGTGTATGCACGTCCGGCAAACTTGTACCTTGTGCCCGTCTCCTTTGACTGTGGTATATTGCACTGTGTTTATCTAACGTGCCTGTCCTATAAAATTGTTTGGCATGATGTAGATGTTTAGTAGCGACGATGTATAGTGAATAAATACATAAATGTTGCTTTTGCTTGCGATACACAATAATAGAGTTGCTAAAGGCATTCTCATATCGGGTTAACCTGACGAATTTATTCAGGCCAAACAATTTGGGTTCAGGGTTTGATTATTAAGAATTAATCCAATGTGAACAAGAACTTCTTGAAATCATTTTCTTGTGCTTAACAAACTTTCGATCCCGACACTTCATGATCACTCTGATTCTCTTGTAAAAACACTTTCGGGTTTGGTGTTGGTTCAATAAAATGTTGCTATATATGTTATAAATGTGCTCGTTCTGTGTCATCACATCACACATTAAAACTAAATGTTGTGTTTTCATTGTAATGTTATGTGCTCTGACATGGGTCGAAAATGTACAAATTGCATCTAAACAGAGTGGATGTGAGTGCAATGCCTCAGCAGAACAAATACTGGTGTTTTTAAGCTCAGTGTGCTTAGTGCGAATTTTTTTAACGTTCTCGATAACGTAAAAGTTAGCTCATATTTGTATGGAATCGGATCGTTTGCCGATGTTTGTCCCTAGGGGCGCTGTTCCAACTGCATACAAAATTGGGCTAACTTTTACGCTATAGAGAACGTTAAAAAACTTGCACTAAGCACACAGACAATGATGACGTTAATAATTTAAATTAGTCCACAGCCCTAGGGAGAGTTTGTTATTAGGTACCACTATTGTAGTATGTTCAATAACGTTCATTTTTGTTTTTAAATGTTACAACTAATAATCTATATAAATAGTTTATTGTTTATTTAATTGTTAAAATATAGATTTCACCAAGGTATTTGTAACAAAGTATTTGTTCTGTGGTTGCTTATGATTTTTGTGTCGCTTCTATTGTGTGCAAGTTATTAAGTGAAAAATTGGGATAAAACAATAAAAGCCAACGGAAGTAAACTTTTAATATATTTCAATATTGACAATGTTCTAGCAATAGCATTGAACTATTTAGTTTTACGTTTAGGAATCGTAGTTCTGTTATAATATGGGATAACAAAATCTTCTTATGCTTAATGGCTTAGGTAACGATGTGAGTGCTTGTATGATTTTTGTATATAAGGTGGGAAATGTAAATAATATTTTATTGAAATTATTTTAAGGAACCAAAAAACTATTTAAAGAGCTAAGTTCTCGTTTTTTGTACAAATTGTAATATTTCACACTTTTAGAATTGAAGGGGCTTAATACAAAATTATTGTATTTTAATAAACTACAAAAATGTAATTGAAGAATTGTAACTTTTTGATTTTTTAGATTTTAATACTTTAAGAAATGTATGTGCTTGATTTAAAGTAGACGGAAATAGTATGTTTGTCCTTTTCTGGACTAAAAGAGACTTTAATTATTAAACCAACAATACATGTTCAAAAGTCGCTCAAAGTATAAAACCCATTTTCTTATTTTTTTTAGTTTATCAACTTCCAATAGCCATTCTAAAGGTGCGATTTGATGATTATATCATTCAATAAAACAATTCCTCCAATACAAATGTACATATATCTAGTGAATAATTCAAACAATCATTTTACAAATGTTTTTAAATGTCTTTATTTATGCTTATACATCATTACGTTTTATATTTAACTACCTTCATCAATATTCACGATAAGGGTCATTGAAGAGTTTAGGAATGCAAAAGGCTCTCATTAATACGGGTATTGCTTGTCCCTGGGGTAGTGTTTGCTGAAATTATCGGTACCACCATCCTACCTTATTATGCCATGAAGCAATCATGCGTTGTGGTCTGAGAGCTGAGCTGTATAAATACCGCTGAGAATTCGATTTCATGTCTCCCATCACCAACCAATAAAAAAGTGTCATTTGTCTCAGGGCTTTGATATAATAATACCATATCCAGCAAAAGTACTTGAAAAGTATCATCCATTTTTTGTATTGTGTACAAAAGAGCCTTTATACATCTGTGTTTATTTTCAATCACATAAAGCTAGTTTGAGTTGTGCCACCAATGGATTTATCGATAAATACAAACGAGGCCCATGTTACAGAACCGCTGGAGTTGGAGCCGTTCCTTGCGCTGGAGCCTCCGATGTCCGCCACCGACTACGGCTTCTGTCTGGACCACGACGAGGGCCTGTCGGAACTGTTCGACTTCGAGTTCTAGTGTAAAGTGTCGATCATTGACCAGTGTCGGTTGTCGCAAGTGTCGATTGTAGTGATGCGGATATATCGATAGTTTTAACTCGATGTAATTGAACACGTTTGTTTGGTTTCACTTGAAGATTTCGGATACAAGTGAATGTAACACGATGAAATGAATGTAAAAACTGGGACTCTGATGTGTTACTGTAAAAAGACTGGACTGTAATTTCTAAAGGTTTGTTAAGACGTTTTTTGTGACCGAACTGCTTTTCTTGCTTGTTTAAATACTCTGTGTAAGAAATTTTCAAGTTGCTAATACAACATTATTGCGTACACAAAACTGGATATTTTGTCGGATTAATGAAATTTGTACGTGTCGTAAAGCATTAAATCAGATTTATATATTTTGTACCTAAACTGCTTAGTAATAATAATCGTAAGTTTCATTATATAAAGCAATTTGTTTGAAAAGTTAGTTTTGTTGATGCATCAGCGATACAGATGTTCTTACCGTTGGTAAAAAAAAATATATTTTATAATTATTATTATTGCAATGAAAAATCGGCATCGTTTATAATTAGTTGAAAATATTGTCGAGTCGATGATGTGTTTAACATAAGCTGTAAATGTAATGTTGTAAAGCTGAAATTGATTGATATATTCGCGGTGAACTAGTTCTTGTGCGCTCTCGTAACTCTATTAACGACTAAAATACTGTAAAATGGTGCTAATCAGATCAATTTCAGCTATACACATCACTCCTTAGGGAAGCGTAATAATAAAACTCGAAAAAAAAATATGTTCCTCCACTAAAATATTACACTGAAGCGTTCGAACGCGATAAAGTTTACACTCTGGATTTTTGTTTCTACAGTTAATACTTAGTCTTATTTTAATGTTCTACAGTGTATATAGTTTTTGAAAATCGAAGTTTCAACGTGCCAGCGAAGGAATAATAATATATTTTAGTAATACGACGTTCACTGTGTTATCTGAAGGAGCAAAATCCCGTGTACCTGAGTGTGGGAGGGTCCGAGTGTTTTATATAATGACGAGTGAGGGCCGAGCCTCTCCCGCACCTTGCTTGTACATAATGATATACTGTATAATAGACTGTTGCTAGTGAAAAATGGTAAAAGTCCGATTGTGTGCGTTGAGTGTAACAAAATGATGATCGATTTGAGTAATAATAACTAGAGAAATTCCAGAGAAAAATATTTTTTTAAAATGATTGTAAGAATCGAAGATTCGTATACTATTTTCGTGGCTACGGAAAACTGAAGTGTTACAGCTGGTTGAAATGTAAATTGTTATTGCCGTTGATCAGCTCGTGGCCCGAATGATCATCATTGGTTACTGTCGCCTGTAGACATCGGTCTGGCTTAACCAAACTGCAGAAAAAAGGGAACTGATCATTAAAAAAATAGTTGTAAAATTTACAGTGCTCTTAACCGTAGTTTTCTCATCAAATAATTATTGCTGGCATTGTAAAATATGTGTATAATTAATTTTATTTTCATAAATTTATTTGTTATTATGATGATCTTATATTGGTTAACACCACAACATTATTGATTCCAGTGTTAAGAATTACATACAGAAATTCTGTACTTGCACTCTGATCATTTTTGTATACTTAACTAATTCGGAACAAACTGACTTATACCCCTTTTTACTACCGGCATTGAATAACATACAGGGAGTAAAGGAATCCGCTGAAGCTGAGACTTCAATCCTAAAATAACTGAAATAGGTTACATATTTGCTAACACTAAGTTATATTTATATCCAAGCGAAATGTACCTGAACTTACGTCAAAATCGATAAACATATTAAACGTTTTTAGATTGTAAATACCTACATTGTTGGCTCCCATCATTTCTTACTGACTTAAGACTTTGTTACGTATATAGTTTCAAGATGGGCGTCGGCGATATAGATTCAGTTAGACCAATTCTTTTTCCTACCTATTCTAGTAACCTCGAGGGGTTATTTTAGATTCACTAGTAGGTGAGCTCACGGGGCTCAAACCGGGAGTGTTGCTAACACTGGCCCTAGCAAAAGCCGTGCTTCGCAGAATCTACCACCGGATCGGAAACGCGACCCACTGAGAAGATCCGGCGAGAAACTCAGTGGGCTGTGTCTATGGGTTAACTTACTCGTCGAGCCCTTCGTCGCAAGCGCGGGTTCGGCGAGGACGGTAGCCGGTGCTTGTGGTACCTAAAAGCGCCGTTAATGGATCGGAAGGATCCGTAATGACGTGTTTTAGGCGACGACGACTGTTTACCATTCGGTCCACCGGATTGGGTATGTAATTATTGGCGGACTCGACAAGAGGGTTTTCATGTCGTGTCGCCTTCTCAAAGTGTAAGACCAATAATACGTTGCCTCCGCGGGCGGAGTTCCCTTTACCCTCTGTACTGTAACTGGATAGGACGACACGCTGCGGGTTCTCGGCGGACATCCTGTACATATTATTACTTAATGAATGGTGATATATTAGCGGCCTTCGATTTTACTTGTAAAGCTAGCTCTAGTACGTACGTTATACGTTCGGGTTCGTGGAGAGCCGGACGCGTTGCAAATTGTTCCGTTGTCGATGATATCGTTTGCCAAATAATTCGTTTTGTTTAAAAAAAAAAAAAACTTTAATTTTAACGTACGCGGAATTCGTTTAGTTGTGATTGTATATAGTCTTGTGACGGACGAGGGCGGACGCGAACGATCATCCCCATAATTACGTCACGATCAAGTACAAAGTGCGCTGTAGGATTCATTCATTGTAATATAAGAACGTTGATTCGCGTCCGCGCGTCGACCCGTCCCGCATTCGATAGTGTGTACAGCACAAAACGTCATTGTAAAAACTATTGATAAGTGCGCATATCAGATAATTTTAATGTTAGAAAATAATTTAGTAAAGCATTGATTGAGGGTGCGGCGTGTAAAGCGTGCGGCCGAAACCTAAATTGACCACGGGTTTTACATAAAAAAATATATATACCATTTCGTTTAACTTCACGATCTCAACGTTTTTGAAGTGTGTGTGTTATCTTTTCAATTAAATTAGATTTTTAGTTAATAAAATTTGGTTGGCCCGCAATACGTCCCGCTGAAAGTATTATATCGACCACTTTTGTTTGTAAATTATTTGTTTTATTGCTAAGGCGAACTTTCTATCACTTTTTAGTTAATATTGCAATATGAAACAGCGTCCTCAAGTTGTCGTAGTGGGGGGAGTTTTAGAAAATTTACATGTGTAAAGTGAATGAATTTTTAAACAATTTTTTGGTTTCAATATTGATTAAGTTTATTTCTTTTGGTTTTGATAGGATTTATTATTTGTTTTATTGACGCGCTGTGTCAGTTGATCTATTATGTTTTACACTGAAAAGTAATTCATTGCTCACGAATTATGTGTAAGGTTCGCTCGCTGAAGCCGAAGTAAACCAAACGCCCCAGTCTTTATACAAAGAGAAAACATTTTCAATGTTTTTAATCAAATCAAAAGTGTTTGTTGTCACAGTAACATTCGTAATTCGCAACTAATCTATAAATTGAAAAAAAAAAATACTTTGAAAACCAGCTGACTGGGCGCCTACACACGTATGAGGCCATTGAACCAATAGCTAATTTTAATTGTGTTCCAATAAGTGCAATGAGTAAATTAAAATATTAATTTATTTACTATTAAATTTTACGCACAATAGGCACTTGCGGCGCTGCAATTTGTGAATATAGAAATCTATTCACAAATTGTTGTCGATATGTTTTTTTTTTGCCATTTCTCTTCGTTTCCGGGAGCGTTTCCAATACACCTTGTATCTTGTATACTTCTCACAGTGTTCGTACGCATTCATTAATTTAAAAATTAGCTGAAAAATGTATGTGAACATTTTTGAAGATGTTAAAATAGACGACCAGAGACTTAAAAATCGAATTGAAGTGTAGTTCTTACCAAAAAAAAAGCTTCTCAACTAGAATAAAGTTTTAATACCACACTAAAGTACCACAATTTATAATGCTTTTGTTATGTCAAATATTTGTAGTGTGCGCTTTTTTTAAATCGAAGTTGACAAAAATTTTACTGTAAATATTTGAATAAGAATGAAATGTTCCTTCTTATTTTCCTTCATTATTTTGTATCCAGTGAAATTTCTCATAGGTCTGATGATCGAACTCATTAGGAACGAAATTGTTTTATAAACAAATTTTTTGGGGCCAAAACATTTGAGAAGCGTAGTACAAACATTTTTTTCTCATCATGTAGTTTTAAGTCGTTTTTACGCTAAAAAATATCATTTTCCATCAGATCACATGTGACTTCTGGATGCAAGTTGTATCTATTTCTTCGTGATTAGGTTTTTTTTAATAAACATTGTAATTTTATGTTATCTGACTTAAACTAATACTGTACAATATTAATTATTGTGTTCATAATTTATGGTACCATTACTTTTATTTAAACATGCTATTGTAACGAAACTTACGCCGTATGAAGCACTGTTGTTTCTAGAACAATTCTACAATCTTTCTACAACCTGCTCTATCTATGAAATCCACATTAGATTCTGAAATAAAAAGAAAACTGTTTCATTCGCCTAAAACATATGAATGTATGTGTGATAGAGTAAGCATTTTTTTGTACTTTGCTCATACAATAGGTATACTTAAAAAAATGCCTACAAACTAAGAAATCGAGTTGGTCGCGTGTCAATATTTAGTATGAGCGAAGCTTAAACCAAACATTATATAGTAAATTAGTACAGGGAGGCACAAACTGTTACAACGATTTTATTCCGTACATTTAAAAGTCGATGCAACGGTCGACAGGGTTCTAATGTAGTTTAAATCGAACGACGTTCTGTCGATGTCGCATTACTGCTTTATAAGCCGCGCCAATAAAGAAACGAATCGAAAATGGCGTCTATGTATCACTGACAGATGGTAGGGTCAACAAATAAAAAGAAAGATAGGAAGAAAAAGTTGTTTATTGTAAAAAAATATAAAAAACAAATGAGAATTTCTTTTAATTTCTCGAGATTCTTTTCCTCTTCAAAGTATTTAATAACGTTATACACGATTTCGGGTGCATCACTGTAGAATTTTCCTCGTTTGTGAGAGGCCATATTATTTACCAGTCCGAACCGATTTTTTTTGCATACAGTACGCGCTGTGTGCGACTAAAGATAGCATTAGTTTAGAGTGAGAGAGCGCATGATCGCCGCCGCCATTTTAGATTCGTTTCTTTATTGGCGCGGCTTGTAATAATATTAACTACACTGCCGACCTGTGACGCGGGATTCGTTCGTGTTTTGTCTATTTTTTATTGTATGTACTTATTATTTGTTGTATCGTCGCTAGTATTACACGGTCAATGAACGGGTTGTATCTGAATATGTTCGATTTATAATAATGTAAGCTGTAATGTATTTGTAATGATAAAAAAAAAGACTTTTCGACGGCATGTACGATTTTTTTGTGTGTATAATTAACTGATAATAAAATTGAAGGTGCAATGTTATAAATGTATTTATGAGTGAATGTGTGCGGGCCCGCGGACGTGAACGCCCCCCTTTGATTTGTCATTTGTGTTGGAAGACTGAGGTTGATTATTCCAGTTTCGACGAACGTACGAGTTATTTGTTGATTCAATTTAAATGTAAAGTCATAAATATATATAGTTAGGTTATATTTTTTAATAAATATAATATTGAGATATGTAATATATTCTTGTGTTTGATTTTCCCAAGGAGTCCAAAATAATACATCGGGCTATAAAATGACTAGTTTATTTGATTTATCGTCACATGTGAGTTACAGCTTGATTATTGAAGGATTAGGATTTACCAATATTAACATTTAAAATGAAGGTAAGGTACCTTACACAATTTTCATGATAAATGAAACTAGGTATGTATGTATAATTCGGAAGTTATTGTCCCTTAATAGCAAAAATAAACTATATAGGTAATTTTTCATACAAAACATTTTGTGGCGGTATTGTTCGCGTAAAGTAATTTGTTTGTGAATAGTTATTAAATAAATACAGTATTATACATTCATATTATGTTGACATTAGAGGCATACTCTTGGATCTACGATAGTCATGTCTGTCTTTGGGTCTATACAACGTCATTCTTATAAAAGATTAAAAATCTCATTTCTATTGCTTAAAAGTTGTTCTACCCATGGAATCTGAATCCATAACGCTTCGTGGCAGAAATCGGCAGCATAGGGTTTCCTACCTTTGCACGTTTACAATATGCTCTACCATCACCAGTAAGGCTATGTTAGATTTGCAATTTGAATTATTACATTCTAAATTTTGTACTCATTGATGTTCGATCTTAAGATTAATATCCACTTATGAATAGGTAAGTAATAGGTAATATTTGACTAATATCATGGTTTAATGAAGTTCTCAAGAGGGAAATTCTTAAAGGACGTGCTCCAGATGTCCGTGAAGGCTGTGCTGACGAGGTCGTTGATGAGTGGTCTGATTACCGCGAAGCCCGGCTTCCAGGTGACGTTGATTAGACGGTCTAACATACGTTCTGTGAATAACAAAGCGATCAATTTAGTTCGTTTTGCGACTTTGATTTTAGTGCCTAAACACTTCATTAAACATTAAATACCTACTTCAATAAAAAGGTGATTATTAAAAGCGGATATTGGGATTGTTTCCTTCGTAGTGCAATTCATGTGACGCAATCACTACATAAGTACGATTTTAAGCGAAAATTATCAGCGCTTTAAAATATTACATTAATAGGTACTATTTGTAGAATAGTGTGACGAATTATAGATACTCCTATAGCCATTTTTCCTTATCTGATCGTGGGAGCCTATGGGCTATTCAAACTACGCGCGGATGGGTAGCTGAGATCACGGGGCTTAAACTGAAAGATCTTGCTAACACTAGCCCTAGCAAGAGCAGTATTTGCAGAATCTACCACTGGATCGGAGTCGTGACCCATTGAGACGATCCGGCCAGAAACTCTGTGGGTTGTGTCTATGGGTAGACAGTGGCACGTTTAACTTAATTTTTTACTACCTACCTAAGCTGATTGAGAGGCTATTTCAGCGGAACCTTAACTAGTAGGTGAGCTCTCGGGGCTCAAACCTGACGACCCTTTAACTATCACACGGTGTAAATACCTACTTCTCCTGTGACTGTTAAATTTAGTAAATGTAAGTTACCGAGTATCCCATTGCCTCTGAGTAGGTTGCCGACATGTATCTCCATGTCGCCAATGTGATCGACTTCGACATGAACATCGAGTCCAGTGCCGTTTCTTTTGATACGCGTCGTTTGTGAGTAGTCGCGCAGCGTCAGGTTCCAACGTCCGGACTGTATAACGCCCAGTCCGAATGCGTCTCCCTGTTCGAAAGATGAATCATGCAGAATTGGACATATGTTTCTATCTGGTCACTATTTTCCTGGATTATTACTGCTCTTCTCTCTCATATCAATCACGTTGATACCACGATCATTAAGTTAGCATGCAAGATTAAATGAAGACATTCAATGTTAGAAGTCAATTAAGTACTCCTTAGTGTTTGCTAATGAATATTTGCAGTTTTATTCTTATTTGAAGGGAGCCCAAGCGTTAAAGCAATTGAGATTTCAACTTAGTTTCTGAATGTTTTGTAGTATACCTATAGCGTGTTGTGGTGCTTCTGGGCTCTAGTTGTTTGAAACTACGCTAGCGATGAGATTTGCACATACGTATCTATAAAAATAATGTGTTTTGTATTGATTTATATTTTTATGTTAAATAAAATACCTTGAATTCGTAATCGCCATTGAGCCATTTCTCTGGGAAATATTGGGAGTAGATGATCCGCTGATTCTCCCAGTCCGTTCTGAAGTGAAAAAATCTGTTTTAAAAAGATGCAAATCTCCATGCTCTTTTGTTTTGTACGTACTTGATGTGTTGTTAGAAATTATGTTTTCATATATTGAGTTATTATTAATTTGTAAGATATGTGTCTGATTTTTGTACGATTATAGAAAAAAAAGGTTTGTGTTTTAAGTTATTGGAAATCGAGTCGGAATAACCGCGCTGGCCACATCGCTGCAATATTTCACGAGTAAACGATTGAAAGTCATGGTAAACCACCGATCCAGCGTAATACCTACTTTGGAATATACAATAATAATACAATTTACAATAATATACAATAATAATACAATTTAGAATCCTCTGAATTCTTTTTTTTTTGCTTAGGCTGGTGGACGAGCTCGCGACCCACCTAATGTTAAGTGGTTACCGGAGCCCATAGACATCTACAACTAAACTGCTAACTAAATGCTGCCACATATCTTGAGATATAGGTAAGTTCTAAGGTCTCAGTATAGTTACAACGGCTACCCCACCCTTCAAACCGAAACGCAATACTGCTTCACGGCAGAAATACCTGTGCGGACTCGTAAGACGTCCTAGCACTAGTAATTACACAAATAATAACTTTGCGGGTTTGATTTTTATTACACGATGTTATTCCTTCACCGTGTGGAAGTCAATCGTGAACAATTGTTAAGTACGTTTTTCATTAGAAAAATTGGTACCCACCTGCGGGATTCGAACACTGTGTGGTGCATCGCTAAATACGAATACATCGGACGTCTTATCCACGACGGCTTCATGTTTAAACATCACTAGATGATGACCGAGCTTTGCTCGGGGTTTTTTTTTTATAACGCCGTCTAGTTGTGTCTTTAAAGCGGTTAGTTTATTATTTGCCAATAGATGTCGGGAAGAGTCATAAAGTTGATTATCGATAAAGTTGATTATTGAAAATTCGAATAAAACAACATTTTCTGAAAATAAATCGTAGCTAGAACGATTTATCGCCCCCGAAATCCGCTGTATACTAAATTTTATGAAAATCGTTGGAGCCGTTTCCGAGATTCAGATTATATAGGTATATATACAAGAATTGCTCGTTTCAAGGTATAAGATAAGATTGAAGGCATATTACTTGTATTTGGTGACTGTCGACTGTGTCCAGCCCCTCTCGAACACATCGTTCAGCGTGAGCGTGTACCCGACACCACGGATCGCTCGAGATTGCTTCACTTCCTTTGCGAAGTGAGGGTCAAATGGTGCGACGCCCATTTCCGGTACACCTACAAGTTTATAAAAATAAATTTTTCCACGAAATCGTCTTCTACGTCTTGGAGCCACGAAACAATTATATATTATAATTATGTATATAATATTTTAATATTCGTAATTCCAATTAATACTTCCCTTAATGAGGCCTCCTTCCATGTAATAAACACTTAATGAGATAATAAAGTTATAATGTTGAATTTTAATATCGTACCTGTTTTGAAATACGGTCGAAGCTTGTTGAATGCCCTTTTCATACATAGATCGAAATCTGGCGATGACATCTTGCATGGTAGAAATATCCTTTCTGAAAAAGGAAGTTCTGATTTTATGTCACATTTTATGAAATTTTCATTGTGCCTTCAGCCGAGAAAATGTAAATATTCTTATATAGTCTTTAAACATTCAAGTAATCGTTATATGAAACAGCTACCTACTAAAATATGATTATGTTGTTGCAATATAAGTAAGTACGTACTATCGAGCTAAACTTCTGCTTATGTAATTTTATCGTTATTTTATGCAAGGAATCTGAATATTTATGAAATCATCTTCTAGTTCTTTGCAAAAGTTAATAAATGTGTAATGTCTATCGGTTTGAAATCGGTATGTTGCGAAGGTGTCTGTGGAATCACCATATTTTTGTAATATTGTTTTCACCTTGACCGGTAGGTGTTTAAATTAATATGCGTACTCACATGAACAATGCCAGCGGAGAGGCAATGGAAAGAAATATGAATTAATTCTAATGTAAAATAAATAATTGAAAGTGTCAGAATATCATACTTGATAAATATAATAATTCAGTAAATGTTTTATCCTATTTTGTTTTGTAAGAAAATAATTCATTGATTGTAGTAAAATAAATTGGGTAGCGTTTAAAATTACGACGATCTTTTCCTTTCAGAATGTAGGTAACAATGCAGGTAATAACTATATCAATATTCGTTGCATAATCTTCTATTATGTTGTAGAGTTTAATAGCCGTTGTAAAAGAGATGCAACCAAAGTTGTTATTTAAGACAAATTTAATTAACTTAAAAAAAGTTTACGAAATCGATTACAAGAGTCGCTTGAAAGTGTGGCGAGTTGTTTGGCACTGAACTTGACCGATTTCCCGAGAGAGGCTCTCGTAATAGCTGTGTTGTAAGTTTTCAAGACGAAACGACCATAGGAAAATACCGAAGTAACTAAGTCTAAGTTAAGTCTACTAGGAAACAGTTGGTTTCATTAATGTTCATTATAGAATGCCGATTCTAGTTTGCCTGTTTATTTTTATTGATGCTCAGAAAAGCTCACGATGCACCTGATATTAACGATTATCATAGATATCTTAAACCGAATATCTTGAACCGGAATTCATGATGTGTGGTAAACTAGACTTGATGCTGGTACCTACGGCTGGAAACATTCACCGTCCTATTTTAATTTTCAAAATTAAATTGTCTAGAGATTTTCATGAAAAGAGATAATTCTGGAGTATCCAAAATGGTCTGTCCGCGCCATCTTCGAACGGAAATCTTGAATCCTTAACTTACATTACGTACAAGTCTATTTATTTATTTATTTATTTATTTATTACACTTCATGTAAAATTTACATTGGCGAACTTAATGCCTAAGGCATTCTCTACCAGTCAACCAAAGGTAGTGTAGAGTAAATAGTGGTAGGTGCAATGAAATTTATATTAAGTTACGAATACATACACAAAAAAGTATATATATACATAGGTATATACATACATACATACATATATACACACATACATACATACATATAATAGTTTATAGTTAGTATATTTATCGCACTTTGTTGACTTTGTGTGTTGTTTATTTGATTATTATTGGATAATTGCCTCAGTAAATTGTCACATTAAGTATAATTTAGTAATATTGATCATTTATTTTTTATACAGTCAGCATGTTTCAATACTGTCGGTAAAATTTACATTTCAGTGTTCATTGCGTAGTGAGGAATGCTAATGGCTAGTAATGTATTATTGTGGTTTTCTTTAGTAAATATTTCTAAATTTAAAATGGACTGTAATAGTAGAATAAAATAATAATATATAGTCCGTCTCTAGAATAAGCTCCCCAACGGTATTTCATGAGCACCAAGACATTTCCTTCTTTCAAGTTGCACAAAACACGTCATATCGGATCCTTCCGATCCACTAACGGTGCTTTTAGGTACCCCAAACACCGGTCATCGTTGTCGTCGAACCTGTCGCTTGCGACGAAGGGCTCCCACAAACACAGCCCACTGAGTTTCTCGCTGGATCTTCTCAGTGGGTCGCGTTTCCGATCCGGTGGTAGATTCTGCTAAGCACGGCTCTTGCTAGGGTTCGTGTTCGCTACATCGTCAGGTTTGAGCCCCGTGAGCTCACCTACTAGCCCGGTGACGCTGATATTGTCTCTCCAGACTATCATTAAAGGTAAGAAAAAAAAGCGCCCTCGATAGCATGGTTATGACCTGGGCATTCTCACTGTCCATAGGTGATAGAACGTACTATAAGATGAGCTCATGCCACTTAATCCAATAAAGTAATATAAATGTTTTAATCAAATGTTTAATATTTAAAAGCCGTAACGTAAAGCATTTGTTGTACATGATATTAATAAGCTTGTAATTTTGGTCACTGACATTGGAATATTGGTTAGATTAACCTTGACTTACGTTACAACTTTTTCTCAATCTCCGTGAAGGTTTATATTCACGATAAAAACAAATAATTAAAGCACTCACGAATATCCGATGCTTCATTAGCACAGCAAACAACATGCAAATAACACAACACAAACACACTTAATAAACACATAAGGGATCGCATTTTCGTATCTAGTGATTTTAGTTTAACTTAAATTTAAGTACGATATTATTTTAAATATCGCTATGAAGTTAATAATTAATGGTGTTCGACTTTTAGCACAATAAATGTCGTTTTTTTTTGTTTAAAATACTGTTTAGCTATAAAGATATATTTGGTTCGGAGTCGGAATACTCCGCAGAACGGTTGGTTGGATTATGTTTGAACCGCGAAAGTGCGGGCCCCTTCCAAAACGCTCGAGTGCAGTTGCGACAGAACCTTGCCAACGTATCTATGCGTATGGACTTGAAGCTGAACTTAATACTCAATTCTCAAAGAGAATATTCTTTATTATATTATGTAGTTCAATGACAATTTGTTTGTTAATTATAAAGTAACTTGTGAAGTGTGAGCACGCTCCGCTGCGAGTCGCTAATTGTATAAAAAGCATCGATTTCTCGAATGTATTCGCGCATATTTCTTTGGTGCTATGGCAGTGGATTGGCTCTGCCCCTGGCATTGCTGAAGTCCATGGGCGACGGTAACCACTCACCATCAGGTGGGCCGTATGCTCGTCTGCCTACAAGGGCAATAAAAAAAAACAGAAACCTTCCATGTAGTAGTTTTTTCTTCGGTTTCCACAAGTCGTAGACGTAATTCGTCAGCATCGTCCGTTAGCATAAAAACTATAAATTATTCAAAACATCGGGAAAAACGACAGGAAAAAAAGCGGGGTTAAATTGTAAAAAAAAATCTTCTTTGAAGTGCTAGCAATGACTGTAACAAGTTTCATTATAATCAGATGAATCGTTATTTAACGACATTTGTGGTATGTTCAAAATAGTTTAATAAAAGTATTTAAATTAAAAATGCAAATACTTGTTTATTATTTGTATTTAAAATACAAATTTGTTAATTTTAACATCAGTATTTTCTCAGAGTTCATCAACCATGTGCCATCAATATCTGCAGAAAAGTTCGGCAAAAGTTTCATTGTCTTGGAAAGAGTTCCTCTAAGTAATTCTTCTCTTGTTTTTAAATCTGATTATTATACTAAGAACTCAAACGAGTGAGATGCGATCATAAGGGCAGAACAGCCGATCCATACAAGTCATGTCTTCATTCATACAGAAATAAGTCATGTCTTGTTTTGTGCGACTTTGTCTATGGGATTTGATCATAGACCTATATAGTAGGGACACGACATATTGTTCTATACGTACAATTGCTTATATAAATAGCACCCATTTTGAAGGCACATACATAAACATATATCTATCTCGTTCTTACTCAGCACTTTAACTCGCAGGAAAACAATATAACAGTATTTCAGTGCGTACATAAAATGAAACATGAATATACGTAAATATCTCCGTCTCCGTCTAATGAGGCCGAAAATCCGCCATGTTTAGCGCGCCAAATGTCATTGTCACGTCAGTTCGGCCGTCTGTTTTGGGTTGTACATTATTTATTGACTTTGATATCGATTTAATATGATTGATTATATAAAATTTCATAATTTATCATGCTTAAAACATACAAAAATAATAATTAAAACGTATTTTATAGGATCTCAAGAAAGTCGATGCCCTAAAACTATTATCTATATGTATTTAAATTCATTATGGAGCCCTCATCCGAAAAATCCATTTTTCGGTCGGAATCTATTGATCATGACACTAATCATAAATACCACTTTAAAATATGTCATCAAAACATATTTAGACATTCTGTTTAGATATTTCGGGAAAAAGGCTACCGACAAAATCTCTTCGGAACTATTTAAATAAAATAGTTTTATTCCGCAGTGAGTAAAACACTATTGTAAATTTGTTAAATATTTAATAATTAAGTGATTTTAGAGAGGAAGTCACAAGGAATGACGTTTGTAATTAATGAATAAATGTTCTGTAGGTGTTTTTTTTTTCACGCGGTCCCTTGATAAGTTTAAAATTTGAATCACTCTCAAGCGAAAGTGATTCAAATGGTGCGGCGCACCTTCCTTGGGGTGCGCTGCGGTAGTATGTTACGGACTTTAGAGTCAGCAAAACAATTAAAATAGATTGTAATAGTCTAAGAAAAACACGTACTCAAAATACGATAACATTTAGCATGCTAGAAATGGGCTGATGGCTTTGAACTACGCCATATCTTTATGTTTTGCGACAAACGACAACTTTATAAAATCAGTGTAGCAACTTTTAAAAATCATCATATCGTTTACTTGGCAAATTCGAAGGACGAACTTGTCTTAGATTTCACCCATCTAAATCATATCATATTTGCACATAACAATATAACTACTTACTTCCCATTAAAGTATAAATTCTACAAATAAATAATACTCAACAATATTTAAAATAAAATGAGCCAAGAACGTTTATCGATAAAACCTGATAACATTGAAATATTTTGTACAGCACTAAAGCCGCCATGTTTTGTGGCCAGATGACGTCACACTGGCACGAAATTTTGGTTGACGTTTCATTTCCATAGGTTTCCTACTTCATTGGATTTGATAGTCATTCAAAATAACGGGCGTTGTCAGATGATCTGCTAAATTGTTCTATTTCTTAGTTAAACTATTTAACTTAGTGAAAATATGGTTTTATAAGCCACTCTAAGTTAGGTTCTGATGTTGCTAGAGTCTGCCATTTAAAGGGCATTGTGTCTTTCCATCAGGTGAATCAGTCAGCAAATCTTATAAAGAAAATAGTTGTTATAGCAACCCTAACGCCTGCCGCGTCGGCAGCCGCGTCTGATCGCGCGCCGCGACCAATGAGGGACTCTCGTTGTCGGCTCCCGGCGCGATACAAAGAGTAGCGACCGAGGGGGGCTTTCCTTTTGGCAAGCCGCGCGTGCGCCTTTACTGGCGCCGACAGTTCACCCGCAACCACCGAAGCATACACACGAGAATACGTCCGCACCTCGCTCGCTACCATTCCTTTTCGAACTTGTTTGTGGGACCCTCTGGAGTATTCATACCCAGTGCTCCAGCTGGACAACACAAAACTGGCGCCTCAACGTGGTAAGGAGNGAGTAGTTCGTTTGCAGTCCTGCTGAGCTACTTATGCGCTCCGCCTGCATTTTCAGGATTATCTATCAGGATGGTCGAGCGGGACGCCCGCCACACGTGGTGCAGACTCACATCGTGGAGCTCAGACTGCAGACGGCTGCCCTGCTGAACTTTCGGGAGGCGCGGACCTAACAAGATCTTTCGCACGCTTCCGCATCATCGTTACGAGTGGACCCCAACTATGTGGTCGAGGACGAACCACAGTCAGGAGAGGCCGTGTAAGGAATACCCTACAAAAAGGGTATAAAACCGGCGCGCAGCTCCGTCACCGGCGCATTTGTCGGTTGACATTCGTCGAGAGAACATCGTTCAAAGACTTTAAGTGTTAATTTAGGAAACACGAATTTTATAATAATGTTGAGAGTACAGTGCCTATAAATAGCAACGCCTTTGCTCGAAACATTCATTCGATCGGCGGCGTTCGTGAGAGAAGGTAGTCGTGGACGTGGTGTGCGTGAGTCATTGTTTTAAGTCTCTGTAAACGTGTGCTAATTGTTATTTTTTTTAAATGGTTTTTCTTCTGATTCCTAATAGATATATAATTCAAGGATTCAGTCTAAGAAAAATATTTTTTTAAAACTAATGAGTTTTAAAGGTTATAAATGATAAGGGTTTTTTTTACACATATATTTAGAAACACAATGCAAAGGTGTTGCATGGTAATTATGGTAATTTTACAAGAAGTCCAATTTCAAACTGAATTCACTGATACTAGGGAAGCAACAGTACTTAGGGTTTAAAAAAAAGAACTGGCTTACTCTTCTCTGCTGTTTATTATTTGTATAAATAGCTCATGCAACAACAACCCAAATATCAAATTTATATTGTGCGTGTCTTAAACAGGAACACGATAAAGTTATCTATTTAAATTATAACGCTTTAGTGATTCGGTACTTAGATTACAATGCATACTACAATACCAGTTGTTGAACTGTATTGAATACTTTTATTTTAAATCTTTCGGGGTTTGATTAAATGTAATAATCATCTGCCGCTCTTAGGTTAAAGATGATACTTGTTTTTTTCTTTCCCACCTATACCCTGGTAGCATAAGGGACTGTTCTGGCTATGCTGTGACTGATAGATGAGCCGGCTAGGCTCAACCTGGGATAATGTACTAACCCTGGTCATAATAAGAGCAGTGTTTCGCAGAATCTAGTTACCACACGATCAGAACCACGACCCATTAAGAAGATCCGGCGAGAGACTCAGTTGGCTGTATCTATGAGCAAGTTAGCACGTCGAACTCTTCCATTCCATTGCGTTCCATTCCATTCTGTCCCTTGTGTACATTCACAGATGTAAACATCAAGCAACAGTGTACATGTACTTTTTATTAAACAAAATTATAATTTCTTTTAACGGTTTCCCTATCATGCAATCAGTAGCATGGACTATAAGCAGATGAGATGATGAGCAGATTGTTAGGGCACCCACCAAATAAAATAAAAATTAATTCCTCTTCCTTGCGTCGATAATCCTCAATGCTGACGGTTGTGGCCTCATTTAATAACTTTAATAATCTTTAATAACTGGATTATCCTGCGCCAGCCTTGCCTATCGTCAGTGGCGCGGAGGGCATAAAACTGAATTATCGGACTTATTAATCAAACGTTACTATTATTTTTCGTTCTCAATTATTAACTATTATTTTCGGTTTTTCCGAGCGTAAACATAATTAAAATCCTCCCGCTGCCAAGAATAATATTAAGTATTCCAAACTTCGAACGCAAAAGTAGTTTAATGAGTAAAATTAATTTTTGTGTCAATTTTCTTCTAGGTGTCGTCCCAGCACGTTATGTCCTCGCCGTCCTTGGCTCCATTGGCATGGCCATAGTCTACGGGTTGAAGGTCAATCTGTCGGTGGCGCTAGTGGGGATGCTGAACAAAACAGCGATCAAAATAGCTCTGGGCAATAAGAGTCATGACGATACTTTATTTAAAAACCTGTCAGTGATACCCGACAATGAGGAATGCCAGCCAACTGGTGGATCTAATAGAAACGCTACGGTGAGATTTAGTTATCAACTAATAAGGATTAACTATTTAATGTCCATGGAAGTTTTCATCGTTTTTGATGGCTGACGTTGGTCACAATTATCGGACATAGCGTTAACTATTCAAATACTAAATTGCAAACAACTTGATTTCAATGAACACCCAGCATTCGTGAGAACACTGAAATTGCTACTAGCAGCATAAAAGTGTGTATTAACTAAAACAAATTTTGCTATAAAATATATTAAAAAAGTGCTTCGATGAATGGTTTAAGCCGATTGCATCATCTCGTTTTTACTATCGCATCGTACACTTAATAAGTCCGCCCGCGGAGCAGTGTGCTCAGTGCGAGCTTTTTAATGTTCTCGATAGCGTAAAAGATAACGCAAGTATGCAGTTGAAATAGCGCCCCTAGCGTCAAACATAGGCAAAAATTCCATATAAATAACAACCGTTATTACTGCCTCTTGTTAAAAACTTTTATTACAACCGTTATGGAATATTTTTGAAAAAAGTTTTTTTTCTTAATTTAAAATTGCCGAAGAATCTTCAAAAACTAAATTTACTAATCGTAACTTTTTAATGAAATCATGAAAATTTTAGAGGTACATACCTGAAATATTTCAATAAAAATAAATAGCCTTCAAATAGGTCGAAATATTTGATGAGTTCTAGTTGGAATCGTTCCAACTGTGTGAATTTTTCAGGGTTACAATTTTTTTTATTACAAAGACAGTATATTATATTTTGCGCACGCGCAAACATTCTGAGATAATATGACTTCTACCGTCGCGGCGTCGCTCGATAACTGGACAAGGAAAGCTCCTAAAAAATTATTTTAACTTTATCAAGCTTGTCAACTGTCTAAAAGTTTATTCTGCATTTTACACCGAAAGGCAATGAGAAATTTTAAAAACATCTTTTGGGAAAATCTACTGGAGCCGTTATGCAACCTGCGTATGTGGAACGTTTTTATTTATGTTTTTTTTTTGCTTAGATGGGTGGATGAGCTCCCAGCCCACCTGGTGTTAAGTGGTTACTGGACATAGACATCTACAACGTTAATGCGCCACCCACCTAGTTCTATGGTCTCAAGTATAGTTACTACGGCTGCCCCACCCTTCAAACCGAAACGTATTACTGCTTCACGGCAGAAATAGGCAGAGTGGTGGTACCTACCCGCGCGGACTCACAAGAGGTCCTACCACCAGTAATTACGCAAATTATAAATAGGCGGGTTTAGTTTTTAATTCCACGATGTTATTCCTTCACCGTGATAATAGCCTTGTATTTATCCCACATGGAGCTGGGGTCAGCTTTCCGTACCTTACTCCTCCACTCGTCAGCATTGCATTCCCTTTTGTTTTGTTCTTTTATTGCCCTTGTAGGCAGACGAGCATACGGCCCACCTACTGGTGAGTGGTTACCATCGCCCATGGACTTCAGCAATGCCAGGGGCAGAGCCAATCCACTGCCTGTCGTTAAGTACTCTCTACAAGCCTCGTTTGAAGAAGGACATGTCATAACGCTCGGGAAACACCGTGTCCTTCAGCACTACATCTTTACACCTTGTTTTGGGTCTACCTCTAAGTCTCCGACCCGGGGTGTCGGGCAGTAGTGCCATATTTCCGACGAAGTCAGGTGGCTTCCTTTTTACGTGACCATACCGTCTCAGCCTACTCTCCAGCATTTTGCCGGCGATGTCCCGTACACCGAAGCTTCCACGCACGTACTTGTTGCGGATTTTATCGAACCTAGTCATGCCGTATACCTACCTCAGTATCTTCATTTCAGCAACTTGAATAGTATATACACCTTCCTTTGGGTTGCCGCCCATGTATCGCTGCCATGTATAAGAACAGGCCTTTTATATTAATGTGATTAACGAAAATTTAGAAGTATATGTAAATAATTAAAATTTCATGCGATTACTGTGCTTCAATCCAGCATTTTTCTCCGATCGAATAAATTTAGCGATACAGAGAATCTCGACCGAGTCACTAACGAAACAGTAATTATAAAATATATATATTTTTTAGGAATTGGTGGGACCGTTCGTTTGGTCATCCGAAGTGCAGGGAATCGTTTTGAGTTGTTACTTCTGGGGTTATTTCGTCTCCCAAATACCTGGTAAGTGAATCTTTACCATATCTTTACATATCTTTACCAAATCTACTGGCGGTAGGACCTCTTGTGAGTCCGCACGGGTAGGTACCACTACCTCGCCTTTTTGCGTAATGCGTAATGCGTTTCGGTTTGAAGGGTGGGGCAGCCGTTGTAACTATACTGAGACCTTAGAGCTTATATCTCAAGGTGAATGGCGCATTTACGTAGTAGATGTCTATGGGCTCCAGTAACCACTTAACGCCAGGTGGGCTGTGAGCTCGTCCACCCATCTAAGCCATAAAAAAAATCGTCTAGGTGATGGACCAAAGTGGCGTCTATTTAAAAGATTATCGATTGGAACATTTGGAACAGGTGCCGTATCGCGCGTCACTGCACTCTTCGTTAATATAACAGTGAGTGTTCGAGAAACTTCCAATAAATACATTGAACCGAATGTGTGTCATGAAAATATTCGAGAGATCCGGGCGTAGTATCTAACCCCATCAATATTAGCTAATCGTTTTTTAATTGCCAGCAATGACAGATGATCAAACCAATCCCGGAAGGAAATCTATTGACTATTTTACGAAATAATTATAAATATACGTATCTTCTAGTAATACACACTGATTTTATGAAATAAATGTATTTTGTAATTATTGATAGATACTATTCGTAAGGTATTTGGATTCCTAAAATAACAAGAACTTTATGCGGTGTTATTTTTTATTTGTTTTATATATGATAGATTTTTGTGGTTTGTCGAACGTAAGCATTGCACTGAAATTATTTTAATTGATCACGGTCTTGTTTTTTCAGGGGCTAGAGTGGCAGAACTTTTCTCGGCGAAATGGGTGATGTTCTTCAGTGTAGCCATCAACGTGGTTTGCACATTGCTCACCCCGGTGATGGCAGAGGCACATTATATTGCCGTTGTAATCATGCGAATCGGAGAAGGCATAGGTGGGGTAAGTTGTTTGATGAGTGAGATTTTGATTTTGAGAACTATAAGTACGTACCTATAAATGGCTGTCGCTGCCATAGCTTGGACGTTAGGTAGTTTAATTTTTTTTGCCACACTTGTTAAATTTTTTTGTTAAGCTTTGTTCGAAGCGTCAAGCGTCATTTATTCGTAAACAAAAATTGCATTCACCTAGCTACAGTGCTCGCGAATACGTGCAATGCATATTAATTAATATTGTTTTGTCTTCACATTCATTTGACAAAAGCAAAAGTTGTATTTATATCTCTCTCGCTCTCTCTCTCTCTCTGGGTTTTTACACTTCAATATTATCAAGTTTTTTGTTTTAAGCTATGATATATGAATTATTATCAATGTTAATCGTTTAGAAGTATTGTTCAGAAGAACATTAAAACTAAAAGCTCATCAATAATTTTACGTTCAGAAATGAAACGATCAGAACCTTTTCCTTCATGGGATCTGTTAGATACTCGCAAATTTTATAATATCGCTTACATAGTACATTTTTGTTTACATGTTTACCTCTATTTTTGTAACTAGTATCTCGGTAAATTTAGTTATCTGTTGTAGGTATACAGGCTCATTCTGAATTGAATACATCGTTGGGTTATGTATATCATTCGCAAATATTTTACTGACCACATATACCACAATACGATCACATATTTTTCCCGTTAGCCTGTTTTGATATGAAAGTGACCTCTGTTATTGCTATATATGAAGGCGTGACCTGATTCGCAAAATTTATTGTTTTTTAACATCGCCTTGCACCGAGTGTTCCACATATCGCAGTTTATTTACAGAATCATTCGTGATGTGGCCTCGTTAGCTAACAAAAGGAATTTATTAGTATTCTTTTAATAATTAAAAACTGTGTGCTTGGCAGTACGGTTGTATTTTAAATCGTATTGGAGATTTCGATTATTTAAATAGGGCCATTTCAGGGACATTAAAGAATTACATATATCTTACGAAAATATAAAATTTTTTGAAGGCCACTGATCATCATGACTTTCTCGTATGTAGGTAAAACTTATTTCGAATGGATATTGAACTGGGTTTGAGCCCAAAATCGAAACTATTAAGCTCCAGCCCCTAACACAAACAAAAAGCTTATATTCCTTATAGGAAAATATAGCCATTTTTGTTTTTTTTTTGCATAGGTAGGTGGACGTGCTCATATCAAAACCGAGTAAATGCCGCCACCTACCTTGAGATTTGAGTTCTAAGGTCTCTAAGGGTCTAGGGTTGTAAGGGGCTTGAGTTTTTATAGTACAACGGCTACCCCGCCCTTCAAACTGAAACTGGTACCCGTGCGGACTCACAAGACTACCACCAGTAATTACGCAAATTATAATTTTGCGGGTTTGATTATTAATTATTACACGATGTTATTCCTTGGAAGTCAATCGTGAACGTTTGCTAAGTACGTATTTCATTAGAAAATTTGGTACCCGCCTGCGGGATTCGAACATCGTTGCATCGCTAGATACGAATGCACCGGACGTCTTATCCTTTAGGCCACGACGACTTTAAAGTCTAAAACTGTATAAGCTCACACCTAGCACAGCTAAATCAAGAAAGCGTGCTAAACCGTATTATGGAAAGTGAAAATAGTAATTATTTTTTAGGGAGTAACATTTCCAGCGATGCATGTCTTGTTATCAAAATGGGCGCCTCCAGCTGAACGAAGTGTCATGGCGGCGTTGGTTTACGCGGGAACTTCTCTTGGTACTGTCATTTCTATGTTGATGGCTGGCGTTCTTACTGCTAATGTTGGTAAGGGTTATTTTATTTTTACTACTAATCTAAAATTAAAAGAAGAAAATCGACAAATTGTTTGTAATTTGTACATTTCTGTTGCTGTTTTCTGGTGTTGCCTTGTCCTGTATTACCTGTCTTAATTTTCGAAAACTAATCTCCTCATTTTGGTCTATAAGTATGTTCCAAATTTAAATTATTCTGAAATTCGTTATAGACGATGCGAGTAACATGAATAATGCACACAAGTACTGCGCATGTTTTTATTGTTTTAAACTGTGCAGTTCAATTGTTTATTTCATTATTTCCGTTATATTAAGGTTGGGAGAGTGTTTTCTACGTGATGGGTGGTCTGTCGTGCGTGTGGTGTGTGCTTTGGGTGATCTTAGTCCAGGACTCACCCCAGCAACAGCCACTTATCAGCGCGGAAGAGAGAAGCATGATCGTAAGCTCGCTGGGCGGAAAAACTAATGACAAATCCCATAAGGTAATCTTTTAGGATGAAATTTCCGAGCAGACGTTCTTAGATGGAAAAAGCGTCGATAATATATCATTAATCTCCTGTTTATTATTCTTTTTATTTCCGTGATTTGAATGCTTTACAGTTGCTTTGCAGAAAATACTAGAATAGCTGATTGGTCTAGAAAGTCTAGATGGCCAGAAAACTTAACGGCCTATTGGGTGTTTGGTTACCTAAGCCGAGATCATGCATAATCCAAGGTCCATGAGACAAGTCGCTAGTGTGTTAAGATTCTCCCACCCTTCAAACAGTGTAATTAGTGGTAGGTAATAACTACCTGCTCTTGTAGACTTACAACATTTTTTTCCTACCTAAGCTGATAGCCTTGAGAGGCTATATCAGCGTCGCCTTAACTAGTAGGTGAGCTCACGGGGCTCAAACCTGATGACGTTGCTAACACGAACCCTAGCAAGAGCCGTGCTTCGCAGAATCTACCACCGGATCGGAAACGCGACCCACTGAGAAGATCCGGCGAGAAACTCATTGGGATGTGTCTGAAGGTTAATTCGCTCGTCGAGCCCTTCATCACAAGCGACGGGTTCGACGAGGACGATGAACGGACTTACAACAATAGACAACAACAACAACAAACTTACAGAGTGCCCTAACACAAAATATATTTATGGGCTATCTCAATGTTATTGTTATGTCGCGAAAGTCGTTTGTGAACTTACTCATTTCGGGAGTTCTAATCAAGTTTGAAATTTGTACAGAAATTACCTGTACCTTGGAGTAAGGTGCTCAAGTCACCTCCGTTCCTGGCGATCTTAGTGTCGCACGCGTGCTCCAACTGGGGCTGGTACATGTTGCTTATTGAGACACCTTTCTATATGGACCAAGTACTTAAGTTCGACATGACCGAGGTGAGTGGAACTCGATAACATTTCATTTTTTATTGCTTAGATGAGTGGATGAGCTCACAGCCCGCCTGGTGTTAAGTGGTTACTGGAGCCCATAGATATCTACGACGTAAATGCGCCGCCCACCTTGAGATATAAGTTCTAAGGTCTCAAGTATAGTTATAACGGCTGCCCCCACCCTTCAAACCGAAACACATTACTGCTTCACGGCAGAAATAGGCAGGGCGGTGGTACCTACCCGCACGGACTCACAAGTGGCCCTACCACCAGTTGGCACCGGTGGCATATACCAGATGGCCAGCCAACCGTGTGGTAAGTGATTATCGTCATATGGCAAAGCACCCTGCCGTTACATACCGCCAAGGACTCTGCAGATCTCGCTTGAAGCACCTGTCGTAGTGCCCAAGAAACAACTTGAAAAACATGAGAAAGAATTCATTACAGATGCCGATTTTTTTTTTTTTAAATAGTACTATACTATTCACGTATATGCTCCACCTATGAAACCGAAGCGCATGACTGCTCCGTGCCGCATATACACATGGTGGTAAATTTCACCCATTAGCAAAATCACAAGTCAATATTGCCTGTTGCAACAAAGTTGGGTATCGGTCTGACATCGTTTATTTCAGAACGCGGTCATAACTGCTCTCCCGTTCCTTTCCCTGTGGATCTTCAGTATTGCTCTGAGCAGAACCTTAGATTGGCTTCGTTCTAAGAACGTTATCACAACAACTACAGCCAGAAAGATTGGCACTCTGTTCGGTGAGTGATGTATTTATAAGCATACATATAATATGTATATTATAGTATTAGTAGGAATATTGTTACAAGGAAAACATTGCTTGATTATGTCGTTATTATAAGAAATTTATACTTAACTATAGCCGGGTTTTTTTTAAATGTTAATGTGATTTTTTAAATGAACAAGTAGCGTTAGAACGACAACTAAAAACATTTTGTGATTTTTACTATCACCAATTGGTCTGACCAGATCCGCGCAATACATGATTCTACCGTCTAAGGTTCTTTCATCGTGAGGACGAGGAGGATGAAAGTGGTCACGATCTTCGGACGTGATGAGCACGACTGGAGGTGGAGGATATTTGCTGGCGCTGCTATTGGTCGCGTCACTGGATGCGGCTTTTTTATTTTTTTTATTGCATAGATGGGTGGACGAGCTCACAGACCACCTGGTGTTAAGTGGTTACTGGAACCCATAGACATCTACAACGTAAATGCGCCACCCACCTTGAGATATAAGTTCTAAGGTCTCAAGTATAGTTTTACAACGGCTGCCCCATCCTTCAAACCGAAACGCATTACTGGTTCACGGCAGAAATAGGCAGAGTGGTGGTACCTACCCGCGCGAACTCACAAGAGGTCCTACCACCAGTAATTACGCAAATTATAATTTTGCGTATTTGATTTTTATTACACGATGTTATTCCTTTACCTCGGAAGTCAATCGTGAACATTTGTTGAGTACATATTTCATTAGAAAAATTGGTACCCGCCTGAGATTCGAACACCGGTGCATCGCTCAACACGAATGCACCGGACGTCTTATCCTTTAGGCCACGACGACTTCACGGCTTGGTTAATACATCGCGGACTAATTTATAGGACGTGATCAATATGTGAATTGGTTATATGTATTCTGTGTGTGATGTTTGTACGTTTATTGTCCAGCTTCACTGGTACCGGCAACTTGTCTACTGGGACTATGCTACATCGGGTGTAACCGCGCTGGCGCCGTGGTGCTGATGGCCGTGGGCATCACCAGTATCGGCGGAATGTTCTGCGGATTCCTTTCTAATCACATCGACATTGCTCCTAACTTTGCCGGTGAGCTTCTTCAGCAGCTTCTATCCAGGAAGACGAACCTTCTTGAATACATTGGACAAGTAGTGTCGCATTGTCCGTAACTACTAAAATGTATTTTTCTTCTTTTTTTAAATATGACAGTTAGCTACTTGCGATGCCATCGTTGATAGTAAGTGTATTATTGAAGTTATACTTCTTTAGGCGCGTTATGAAAAATTGATGAGAGTGAAATTTTACGATGCGCGCGCACCGTGACACAAATTTAATTCATACTAAATATTTTAAATTATTAACGTTAAATATTTATTATTAATTATTTAACATAAAAAAAAAAAATTAATAAAAATAAAGTATAACTTCTTACGCGCGTACATAAGTACACTTACCCTTTTTAACTATCTATGGTTTACAGTGTCGAGTTTATAAAAATCTTCAATTGTCAAATACATATATAATTGGTTATATGAAAAATACTTGGCGCGAAATGAGATGAGATGAAACAAAGGTTCAAATCAAAATGGTTCTTATTGCCTGAGACTTTTTTGTAGGACCTCGTTTCATTTTCCCAAAATCTTACCCTATCACAAATGTTCAACGGTTAATAAACCACTATCATAAATCTTTAAGCCTGAAAAAACACAATATTAATAAAATAAAACAATAAACACAATTTCGCTCGTCGAAGTCGCGATCCCGCCAAAAAATGTGGTATTGCAAATGGAAAAAAAAACATTTTTTTTATTTAAGCTTTTTGTTTCATTTTCCTATGATATACTAGAATCGTGACCACAAATAATGTAAGCGCTTCAGATTTATTAAAAAAAAAAACTATAACTATATTATACAGTATTCGTTAAGCTAATTTTTGTTTTTCAATAGTAGTTAGTTCAGTAATTCACTTGGAGTTGAAAACATTCGTTGCAGGTACCCTGATGGCGATGACAAACACGGTGGCTACCATCCCGGGAATCGTGGTCCCCATTTTTGTTGGAATCCTGACCCACGGGAATGTAAGTGAACTAGCAGATTATTCAATGTTGAATTTACATTACAGGTTGTGCAGCTTAGGGCCCACCATGATTTAATTTGAGCAGTGAATGATATATTTTATTATCGAATAAAATCTTTAAGAACTTTCATCGTATCGAAAATATTGAAGTACAAAAAGTTTAATTATTGTGGCAAACAACGTTGTTTCTAAATTTTTTTTGGCGAGCTTACAGGCCACTTGTGAGCATTTGGTGAGCAAGTGGCTGCCCAATGACAACAACCCGGAGCACGGCACTGACGAAATCATTGTCTAAAAAATAACATGTCATAGAGCTCATTAAATGTGGAAAGGTTATGTTATAGTACCAGATGGTGCGGCAAAATAATGATCCATTGTATTACCGGTAACTATAGCAGTTCAAAGCAAAATGGATCAGCCCCACACCGGGATAAGGATGCCATGATAGAAGCGAGTTTTTATCCGACCCAGGCGACGGGGCAACGCAAAACCGCCGTCGCCTGAAGCATGTCTTCTCGGATCCCCCGGATCCACTTTTAGTGCTCGTAGGTCCAAAAGCACCTGTGACCGTCCCCCTCGAACTTGTCGAGGAGTCGATGACTGAACAAACCAATAAACAGCCTACTGATTTTCTTACCGAATCTTCTCAGTGGGTCGTGATTCCGATCCTGTGGTAGATTTTGCGAGGCGCTGCTCTCGCTAGGGCAAACTTAGCAACGTTAGCCAACTCTTTGAGGTCGAGCCCGTGAGATCACTTACCTGTCCGGGGTGATTTCAAAGAATTCCACATCCTATTTAATAACTTGACAAGTGTGAAAGCTGACGAATCATTTTCTTTTAGCAAACCATTTCGGCTTGGCGTGTCATATTCTTCGTGACAATTGGACTCTACATTATTGAAATTATAGCGTACACTTTATTCGGTTCTGGGGAAGAGCAGCCTTGGAACAAAGTGACAGAAAATAAAGAGGACTTTGAGGTGAAGCCTCTCAAGACCGAAAAGACGCACGTCTAAATGATTATCTATGATCATTAGATTGTTTCGATACTTAAATCACTTTATGGTCACTTAATGATCGCGTTGGAGTCCACGTATCTCTCGGTACCTATCTAAGAATGTTTAAATGATAGGATAAACATAAATAAATAAAAGGCTGTGGACAAATTACACACGGTCCTCTGACCCTGAACTAGTATTCCCTGTACTATGGGAAACAGAGACTGATACATGCATATTACATATTATGTTTAAAAATTTACTTACTGGAGGAAAAAGTGATTTTTATATGTAGAGTTTAGTATTTTCATTCGATTCCAACGAATAAATTATGTAATATGTTATGACTAAGATTGACGGTAGTTAAATCAAATGTCGACGCACAACACTTCCATCGTCTGTGACCACGAAATTGTACTCGCAATAGGAAATAGTAAAATGAACATTAATTAACGCTAAATTTAAAAGTAAAATACTAATATTGGTACTTACGTATTAACACCACCGCGGCAAAAATTCTATTAAAAAGCCGATAAAAAGCAAACTTTAAGTTTTTATATAGTAGCCTTATTGTTTGCACGCAGCAACTTGTTATTTATTTGCGCACGAAGCTATCTTTCTTATTGTTTGCTGATTTTTAGCTGATTTTTGAGGTTAAGTTTGAATCCGCCTTATCTCTGGCGCTGCGGGAAGAGCAGCCCTTCCGCCCTTGCGTGCCGAAGCACGGTCATTCGTGCTCCGCTTCGTAGCTTCGGCTTGTTGGACCAGCCTCAGCCGCTCCGCCTCGCACTGTTTCCGTGCTCCGTCACAGCGGGCGAGGACTGCTCTCCCTCCGCGCCTCCGGTTTTTAAATACACTCTGTGGGTAGGGCAGACAAGACCAGGTGGAAAGTAGGGTGCTTTTCCATATTTTTCGAATATTTATGCAATTTTATAACCAAAACCGAGCAATTTTACTATAACAGAATTTTTGCCGCGGTGGCGTTAATACGTAAGTGCCCTAATATTTATTTATTTGATCAACTGTTAAAACGCAATTAAAATTAAAATAAATTGACAGTACCTTTGGATGCATTTTACCACTTTAATAATGTATTTAGTTTTATTGATTTATATTTAGGATTAAATTTAACAAAATAACAATTTTAATGTTGTAAGGTTTGTAGTTTGTTATATTTGTCATTTTATATAACGTTATAGTGTTATATTAAACAAAAATAAAAATACAAATTGAAACTACTACTACGATTTATCTCACGTTTTTTATTGTCATTATATTATTTCCGATGTTTCGAATATTTTACAGTTATCTTGAACGCGGACGAAAAAAACACATAAAAATAAATAACACTAGCTGACCCGGCAGACTTCGTAGTGCCTCAATCGATAAATAAAAGACCTAAACTTTTGTATAAATTAAACTTAAAACAAACAAAAGGAATCCGTCCGACGAGGGACACATCAAAGGAAAAACAAAATTATTATTTTTATTTAATTCCGATCATTTTCATATTTATCTACCTTTTAAACACAAATAATTCAAGACCAAAATTAGCCAAACCGGTCCAGCCGTTCTCAAGTTTTAGCGAGACTAACGAACAGCATTTCATTTATATATAATATATAGACTAAGCTAATAATTGCATTTATGAACCTGGCATTCAGTTGTCTACCAAATATTATTTCGATTATTTAGTAATTACAGTACATCTGAAGTACATCATTATCTAATTAACTGTACATTTAAATATATTTTATAAATAATAAATAAAGTGTTTATTTGTAACGTCAAAATAAAAACTAAGCTTACTAAACGCTTACTTGAAGTTTTATATGCGGCACTTTTCTTTCTTTTTTCTGTCTGCGTGTTTGTTTGATATGCCTTAATTCGGCTGGACCGATTTTGACGGAGCCTCAATTGACAGATAGCTACTATTGACAGATGCTATAAGGAGTAACTTAGGTTAGATTTATTATAGAAAAAAAAGGGCAAAATCTGATTTAAATAAAGAAATATATATATATATATATATATTTTTTTTTTATCACAGCTAACGGTGACCGTACTTAGCTAGTTATTATAATCAAAATTTAACTGAATGAAAGTATTGTTATTATTTTATTTTTAAACAATAATTACAATCTGATTATAATCGAATTACTATTTTAGGTGTAAAGATGGTAGTGTTAGTAGTAATATTCCAAAAGAAACTGAACAGTATTCTGTGAATATTCGTTCGTGTCTCTACTTAAAATTGAATAGGGACTCTATTTAAATCTTCTTTAAGAATATTAAGAAGATTTAGTTTCGTAATATTTTAAATTGTTTATCGGCATTTTTAATGGTAAGCTTTTTATAATTAAAATCTATGAATAAACACATCATATTTATGAGTTTGTATCAAACGCTATGCGCTTAACAGTGTGTTTATTATCTATGGATACGTCTGTACTTATTCGAAATGATATTTTAATAAATCATGTGACTTGAAGTCTTTTTATTTTTTTTATTTTAAGTGCATATTCCAATTTCAACAAAAAAATTCAGCGGCTTTTCTTAGGGTAATTCCAATAAAATTGAGATTATAATGCGGTTTAAATTTTCACGTACGATGCATTATTATACATAGTTCATTGCAAAATATACACAAAAACTTTAAAAAACTAGCTTGATCCGATTCATCTTGGCTTTGGGATGAATCGGGTCACGTATGGAGATAATAGTTTTTCAATAGGGCTGGCACTGTTTAATTGTTAGATAGGTAACTTACCTTTAGGTAGTAAACTTTCAATATTTTTCTTATCAATATTTCAATACCGAATTTAATATTCAATATTTATCTTTAATTGGTTACAAAACTTTCATGACTAAATTGAACTATTTAATATTCTTAAACACTATTTAAACTTACTTTTTCATACAAATCTGAATAGGGCGAAATCGCGGGGCGCTATAAGTAGTAAATAATAAAAAAAAACATTTCTTAGTACATTTTATTTAATTCGTAAAAGTTTCGCGATGTACGACGGCCCGAAGTTGGCGGAAAGCGACGGAGTCACGAGCTGCCCGTACTTGGGGGCCGCAGCGCCCGCGCCCAGCGTCAGGGTGCTGCTGAGGCCGGCGACCGCTGGAGTTAAATCTCTGTAATAACAATAATAATATACGAGCTTATAAACCTTTGACATACAGAGGGTTATCAAAAAAGTATTTATTTGTTATAGACAAATTGACTAAATTTTATCAATTCGTAGTTTCTGAAAAAAATCCCGCATTAAAAACGTTGTGTTACTGCCATCTGCACCTGCAATGACAAAGTAATCGAAGTGACGCCATCTAGTGGAAGGTGCCCGTAAACATTTTTGGTGATTTTATATTTATTTTTGCTAAATTGGGTGGACGAGCTCACAGCTCACCTGGTGTTAAGTGGTTACTGGAGCCCATAGACATCTATGACGTAAATACGCCTCCGACCTTGAGATATAAGTTCTAAGGTCTCAGTATAGTTACAACGGTTGCTCCACCCTTCAAAATGAAACGCATTACTGCTTCACGGCAGAAATAGGCAGGGTGGTGGTACCTACCTGGTACCTCGTGAGGGCTCACAAGAGGTCTTACCACCAGTAATTACGCAATTTATAATTTTGCGGGTTTGATTCATATTACACGATGTTATTTCTTCACCGTGGAAGTCAATCGTGAACATTTGTTAAGTGCGTATTTAATTAGAATATTTTGGTACCCGCCTGCGGGATTCGATCACCGCTGCATCGCTAGATACGAATGCACCGGACGTCTTACCCTTCAGGCCACGACGACTTCATATGCTTGAGTTGCTTATCTATAACTAATTTATGTGTATTATTCGGAGGGGGTCGGACCCTTGGGCGAGGAGTGCAGGGGAGTCGTTTAGTGGGTAGATTCGCGGACCAGTCCCACATACCCCTCGCGCCCCCTAGGCGCGGGGACTTCGTAGGAGGTTCGGCACTCGGCCCGAAAAAAAAGGCTCTCCCTCATACATGTTAACTTATTTCGGATTGAACTTACACGACGGTCGCGATGATGTCGTTGCTCTCGAAGACTTGCTTCAGTGCCATGTGCACCACCCCATCGTTCTGTATGGGGCTGAGGGAGCACGTGGAGTACACGACCGTCCCCCCGACCTTCGTTAAACGAAGCGCGTTTCTAAAATAAGAAATTAATAAATAAAAAATAGAGCTTTAATTGCCTTTGGGGACACTTCTAGAACGTTCTGTAGCGGGTGTCTATTCAGAGAGCACAAGTTATTTGACAGATACCTGAATCTCGCTAACGACATTTTCAAGATAAACTTGAATATCTATAAAAGATCTATGGACTTTTAATTATACTTATTGATTATAATTTTAAATGTGACTTCAATATGTTGTTCTATAAAAATGAAGTTTTTTATTGTATTTATTTCAATTATATGTATGTCAAATTAAAAATTTACAATAGCCTGGAAAAACAAACTAATGACATTTCAATTAAATTTTTATTAAGTTAACAGTTCTTTATAGAAATAAACTTTGTAACTACATATTTCTTTATCTATGTCATAGCTGTTTCATTGACATTTAAGATTAATTCGCGTTGGTTCTCAAACAGCGCAAGCGCGAATTAGAAAAGGTCCATTTCTTTTACAAATCGACAGGTAAAGAGTTATTTGGTTTAGGCAATATTTTTGAACTTTACAGAAGAGCCATTTAAAGGTTAAAATTTGGAAGAAACATAACAAAAACAGCTTCCTATTTGAATGGGGTAAACTTAATTGAATTTCATACTGTGATGATGTTAATACCAAATAAAACGGAACTTTATAACAACGATAATTGTTATGTATGTCGCTAAAACACAATTTTACCTAGGTAGGACCTCTTGTGAGTTCCCACGTGTGGGTACCACCTCCCCGCCTCTTTCCGCCGTGAAGTAGTAATGGGTTTCGATTTGAAGGGTGGCGTAGCCGTTGTAACTATACTGAGACTTTAGAACTTATATCTCAAGGTGGGTGGCGCGTTAGTCAGGTCAGAAGCTCAACTCACGCCAACAAGTGCGACTGGAGCTCCGGTATCTTGAGCCTCTCCTTCACCCGGTCCGGCCTGAAGATGTTGTTGTCATCCTCGGTCACAGAGTGTCGGTCCGTAGTGCACGGTACGTCCACTAGTACCTGTCGATACGTTATTATTATCATTCATTTCTCTTAGTGCATTCTTTTTTGACGTGACAACGTCTTATAATTCGATGGAGCCGGCTGCACGAAAAAACATGACTCATTGAGGCGTTCCATTTAAGGCTTGAAGTGCAAGCGAGAGCGCGCAACGAGCGACAAAGAGGCACAATCGGCCTCCGAGTTCGGCAGCGTTCGACATCTGTCTCTCTCCTACTTGAGTGAGCGATGCATCCGCGTGGACAGCTGCTATACAATAATACATTTACATGTTTTCGTCAAGTATGAAGTTCAGTGAAAAGTGAATGTGGTGTCAATTGTTTATAGCAACGATAATTGCGATAATTGAAAAATGAAACCATTCCATCAGTATTTTCTTATGACGTTGTCACGTTCAACTATCGTCAGTAAGCCGACTTTACAGACAACCGATTTTTTTTATTTATTGGTGTGAAACTTCCAATGCGACTTCCAACAAGGTTGCGTTAAACGTTGAACGCTACCATGGAATAGAAAGGGACAGAGCGAGAGTGAGAGAAGGCGGGCGGCGCGTTTGTAAAAACGAGATGACCAGATCATAAACAATTCCTCGGATCGTCGACACATTCCTACCAATTTTGTCAACATAGCGTATTTCGAGGTGTTTTTCCTTTAAATTAGTAATAGCTATTTATTTTTAATTATAAAAAAAAATTAACAACAAACGAGAAAGAAAACGGTATACGTAATATAAATATGAACCTTGCCATTGATCGTGGTAGAATTTCGTCCAGACCTTTTGCCCTGTCTATTTATTCGATAGATACCAAGACACAATATTAATACAACAGAAAAGTTAGTCCATGGCAATGATAATTGGGTGGGTTAATTTAAACAGTACCGGTACCTTATCGAAGCCGTGGTCGTCCGTGAACATTCTGCCGTCGACCCTTTTGAAGATGACGCGTTCCCGCCACTTGTTACCCGTCTCGAAATCGAACAGATAGTCGCTGAATATCCTTTGTGTTCTACAATGAATCAAGTTATAAAATACAATTTTCCTTTTTTTTTTATTGCTTAGATGGATGGACGAGCTCACAGCCCACCTGGTGTTAAGTGGTTACTGGAGCCCATAGACATCTACAACGTAAATGTGCCACCCATCTCGAGATATAAGTTCTAAGGTCTCAGTATAGTTACAACAGCTACCCCACTCTTCGAACCGAAACGCATTACTGCTTCACGGCGGAAATAGACAGGGTGGTGGTACCTACTCGTGCGAACTCCCAAGAAGTCCTACCACCAGTGATTACGCAAATTATAATTTTGCGGGTTTGATTTTTATTACACGATGTTATTCCTTCACCGTGGAAGTCAATCGTGAACATTTGTTGAGTACGTATTTCATTAGAAAAATTGGTACTCACCTGCGGGATTCGAACACCGGTGCATCGCTACATACGAATGCACCGGACGTCTTATCCTTTAGGCCACGACGACTTTTCCCACCTTAGTTGATAGCCTTGAGAGGCTACGTCAGCGTAACCCTAACGTGTAGGTAAGCCCTCGGGGCTCAAACCAGGAGGCGTTGCTAACACCGACCTTAGCAAGAGCAGTGCTTCGCAGAATCTACCACCGGATCGGACGAGAAACTCAATGAACTGTGTCTATGGGTTAGTTTACTCGCCGAACCCTTTCTCGTTCGACGAGAACGGTGGCCGGTGCTTGAGGTACCTAAAAGCACCGCTAGTGGATCGGGAGGATCCGTAATGACGTGTTTAGGACGACGACGAATCAACGTCAAACGTTATTGACTACGCATCTCGTGCGTTATCAGAAGACGTAACACTAATTGCGGCTTAGCATCTGTGCAAGTGGACAAGTGTGGGATAAACACCATTTGAAGTCTCAGTAAATTGCCAACTTTTTACTACGATGTTTGTTTTTGCCCTTGTAGACAGAAGAGCATACGGCCCACCTGATGGTGAGTGGTTACCGTTGCTTATAAACTTCAGGAATGTCAAGGGCAGAGCCAAGCCGCTGGTTTTTTTTTAATGCTTAGATGCGTGGACGAGCTCACAGCCCAAATGGTGTAAAGCGGTTACTGGAGCCCATAGACTTCTACAATGTAAACGCGCCACCCACCTTGAGATATAAGTTCTAAAGTCTCAGTATAGTTACAACGGCTGCCCCAACCTTCAAACCGAAACGCATTACTGCTTCACGGCGGAAATAGGCAAGGCGGTGGTACTCACCCGTGCGGACTCACAAGAGGTCCTACCACCAGTAAAAACTTTCACTTCAATTCATTCAATTTCATCCCAACGGCAATGGCATGGCAAGAAGCCGATTGTGGTATCGAAAGTCAGCACATGAATTCCGTTACGAAATCCTTATCCCGGGACTGTTTAAGTATTACCTGTTCGATCTAGATATAGACACGTCGTTACATATGACCACGTCCGGTAACAAGGTCTGCAGCGCGACCAGCGCCTTGCCCCCGGGAGCAGAGCACAAGTCCAGGACCCTGTCGCCGGCTCTCAACCCCAGGGCTAGCACGGCTAACACGCTGCCACAATCCATGGGGTAGTAGTTAAACACGCCTGCGCAACGACAAACGTACCGCCTTACTCGACCAACCAAATACCCTCGTTTTTATTTCTTAAACGGGTGAACGAGATCGCGGCCCACCTGTGTGCTTAGTGCGAGTTTCTTAACGCTCTCGATAGCGTAAAAGTTAAGCCAATTTTGTATATGCAGTTGGAACAGCGCCCCTAGCGGCAAACGTACGCAAACGATCCCATTCCATACTAAGCTAACGTTTACGCTATCGAGAACGTTAAACAACTCGCACTAAGCACACTGGAGTTAAGCGGCTACCGGAGCCCATAGAAATCAACAACGTACATGCTGTCAACTATTTCGATACATGAGTTCTAGGTCTGAATTCAATAGTACAACGGCTGTTCCGCATTTCAAGCCGAAACGCATTAGTGTTTCGCGGCAGAAATGGGAGGGATGGTGGTTTACCTTATCACTGGTAAAACAGGCTTGAACAAATTAAAAAAAATAATAGGGTAGTTCTATTTGAAGCTAACCAATGAATTGATGACCTTGAAAAAGTGGAAAAGTGAATTGTGATAGTGAGGTTTAAATAAATCATCGTAATAATTAAATTTAGTTATTGTTAGTGCAGTAAGAACCCTCTTAACATTGTCTTTTCTCAAGCGAGAGGCACTGGCTCAATGATCAGATGATTTATTGAGACCTTCAATGTTCAATATCTGATAAAAATAGCAATAAAATAATCCTTGTCTATTTCTTCCACTGCATATTCATTACTTCTATTTTGAAGTACCTTCAAATGAAGGCCAGTGTGTATGTTGTGTTATCTATAGAGTTCCATCATCATTTGCAACCAGGCGGTCCTGAAGCTTGTCTAATTTACTAAATAACAATGATTTTTACAAAAGGAAATAGATGAAATAATAGCAAACCTGTTTGGGATCTCTTCGGTTCGGGGAACATTTTAAGTTCACTGTCCATTTCATAAGTGAACACTTTCAGGTGTTCCGGGTACTGCAATTCAGTCTCGGGCTCGATAGTTAAGGGGAAATCAACTATTTCTGTAAAAATAATACTAAAGTTAAAAAGTTCTACTCAATTTGGAAATGTCTGCCTCAAGTCAGTGGTTCAAACAAGTATGCTGTGTTACCATTGGTCTATTTATGATAAACAGCGTGCATTGCATAAAGCATTATGACAAAAAACGAAAAAAATTTATTAAGTATTGTAGTGTGTTAGTAGGCGATGAATGTAATGGCTGGTTTTTTTTTAATTGCTTAAATGGTTGGACGAGCTTACGGCCCACCTGGTGTTAAGAGGTTACCGGAGCCCATAGACATCTATGACGTAAATGCCGCTAGTTAACTTAAGATATGAGTTCTAAGGCCTTAGTTTTAACAAGTGATTACAAGTAAAATCAAATGGCATCATTTATCAGTTAGGTTTTGTACAACTAGTATTAATATCAGCATGACAATGTATTGAATATTATACAGAAGGTTAGGATTGGCAGTACCTATTTCTAACATTTTGACTTTACCTTGGAAACATACTATAGTTATACATGATTTTCATGTAAGAAATTACAACATGCATATTAAATTTGACACTGCAACACTTGTTTTTATAATATGAATGTGTTCATGAGTGATTGGAGTAATTATTTTTTTAATTTACATATCTTCTTTGTAGAGAAACTATATCGATGCTTGAAAGGCAAAAGTTACTAAGCGACAATAACTGATTTGTGCATAAATGATAGGCAATAACCATATTTGATGCGCAAAAAAAATATATTTCTATGTCTATTAAAATCATTTCAATCCTACAGCTACTAGCTAGATTCTACTACAGCTGGATTCGTTAAAATAAATTTTGTTTTCAGGTATTTCAACTTTAAATTAGTCTACTGTAAAGTTCACGCATTGTCGCTTAGTCACGTTTGCCTTTCAAGCGTCGATATAGTTAACCTAATAGTGAGTGATCATTCTCAACTATGACATGAATGAAATGAATCAAGTGGGAAATGTAAAACAAACTTAAGTTTTGTTTAGCTTACTTGAGTAATAAGAATAGTGTGTAGACTCTGGTACCCAGTCATTCATGCCTTTAAGTTTAGTTGCTGGTAAATACTGATACAACGCTTCTGAGGTTAAGCCTATAGATGGGTCAATCATTCGAGACTCATCTATAACAGCATCTGCTATTGCCTGATCTAATGATTTGTTTATTGGTTCCCTGAAATATTTGTAAATTGAAATTGATAAAATTCTATATGATAGCTTAAATATCCTATCCTAATAAAATGGATCAATGTTTTGTTAATTTAAGAGACAATGTTTTCAGGCCTTAATTTTGCTTATTCTGTGCTGCACTTATCAAATTAGAAACAAAACACCAGAAGTCATCAGTCATTGCACCTCAAAGGTAGTAAATAGTACATAATTTTAACATCTCCATTAATATTTTTACTGAAACCAGGTGGTTTACCAGCAGTGATTGAAAATTTTAAAGATTTAAACTTACTTCTGCTCCGTAATTTCCTTTCTTTCAGAAATTTGATCATCGTCTTTGAAGTCGAGTCTTTCAGGCTTATTATCAGTATTCGGATAAATACTGGATATTTCATCAGAATGTGTCTTCTCTGCTAATTGCTGTAATTTGTTTATGTACACTGGTGCTTCTTGATCAGAGGTTAATGTGTTCATAGAATATTGTTTATGAAAATCTTCCTGTACTGTTATTAGTTTCTTTAGGCAATGTGCACCTAACCAAATAATTTTATTTGGTAAAGAAAATAGTAAAGTGTTTTTTTGTAATTCAATAATAAATAATAAGTAATAATAATAAAGTCTATGTTTTCATATCAAGCAAAGCAACAATGCCCCAGATTTGAAAATCCCCCAGACAGATACCTCTCTTTTTAATGAATTAAGTATATACACTCATGTACACAAATTACTTCCATAATGAAGGAATTAAACTGTAGAAAAAAAAACTGCAAAATGTTTTGATTTTTGTAATCGGTATACTATTGAAACACTGACCTCAATTCTCAAGGTCAACATTCATGTTATGATACCTAAGGGTTCTGATAACCATTTAACTCTTGGTGGGCTCAATAAAAGACCTTTAAACTAAAAAAAATGTACAAAAAGCTATAAAAAAATTAGCTAAATCTAATCAGTTATATGAGTTCTAAGGTCATTTAGAGTGTAAGAATAGGTTGACAAGATGTTCATTGTTCACATCTGTGAGTACTTAAGTGAGACACGAGGTCAGAAATAGTATATATATATATATTTTATTATTTTCCTACCTGTTCAAGTAACTTCAAGGGGTTATTCTAGATTTGCAGAATGAGTAGGTGAGCTCACTGGGCTCTAACCTGAGGGAAATAATATAGCAAGGGCTGATCATTGTACCTCAGAATGGCAGCTTATTTTAATTTTTTCGTTCAAGTAATAGGAAGTATCTGTCAATATGCAGACTAGATCAGAGAACACTAATGAAAATATGCTTCTGAATTTTAATAATTACCTCTATTCGTGAGATACTCCATAGTCTCTTCGGCGTCTCCGTAATTGTTGATCACGGCTACATACTTCGGGCCTTGTAATAATGCTCGTTTCATGGGATCCCATTTCTTACCGAAAACGGACCCGTAAAATTCATCAAAATGATTCATTGCCTTGTATTTAGGGCCGGTCTTTTTTCTTAACTTTGCCTGTTAATTGTGACAAAACATTTTCTGTAGCGAAACGTTTTTTTGGCTCTATTTATTATTTATAAAGTATGTACGTACCCAATGAGTTTTAGATTTATGTCGAGATTGTCTTAATAAGTGAGCACAAGTTATAGGCCCTTTCTTGATCAAATTTGTTATTTGAAGCATTTTTAATACTTAGTTATTCCTTTCGTGACTGAATGATTTTTAGGTTAGGGAAACCTAATATTTACAACTTTTCTTGATATTTTCTTCTTTGACCAGCCGTTTTGTTTTGTTTTGACACTTGACATATTTTGTAATTGTGACAGTGGTATGTAGTAGTTCTATTTTTCCAACTGGAAAGACAAACCATACAGCCTAATATATTATAATACTTTTTTTTATAAAAAAATTATAGTATGAATTGAAATGAAATGAAGTTGATTAATTTGGATGAAATTCAGTTGTTATGAAATTAAACGGAATGAAAGAAGATGATATGGGATGAAATATAATCGCAGTAAAATAGTGATCATTTATTGAGACTTTTCCAGTGGACTTTTAGAGGATCCCGGAAGCTATGTCCGCGGCTTTGTTTAATTTTTACACATTTGTGCACTTTTATAGATCTAATTGTGACAATAGTAGAAGTTCCATTTTTCCAACTGAAAAGGCAAAAGTACCTATCCCACCATTGGCTCAATCTTTTGTATATTTTTTCTGTTTTATGAAAAATGATAGGAAGCGAAATGAAATGAAGTCGTTAATTTTAGACAGTAATTTGATTTGAATTCGATGAAATTAAGGAAACCGAGATGAAATAGGATGAAATGTAGTCTCAGTGAAATAGTGGATATTTATTAAGACTTTTTCAGGGGACTTTTTGGAAGATCCCGAAAAGCTATATCCCGTTGTTTTCATTTCACACATTTGTGTACTTTCACAAATACCAAACTGTTAATGAGCCACCGCTATTACACATGTGGCGGGTAGCCATCATACAACGCAAGATATTTGACAGATGCCTGAATTTCAAGATAAAGCGCAAATATACAAGTTCCGAACAACAACATTCGGACCGTCGGTCTACCGAGCAATATCACCCGCTTGGTGGAAGATCTTCCCTTTGTCGTTAAGACTCCCAAACACACTTAAACCTGAAGAAATACTACATTAACTACGCTACCAGTGCTATTAATCTACGCTATCAGTGTTAGCTAATGGTGAAAGAAATCAGTATTTATTTTATACAAAAACACCTTGGAATAGTTACCCCCTATTTTGTCTCTTTCTGTTGAGTTAGAAATGGCGCTTGTCAGTATGAGAAAACTTAGACAGGTCTTTTTGTTATTATAACTCAGAAATATGGAAATTTTATTAAAAATATGTATGTTTTTTCAATTTAAAAAAAATAATCATTATGGATAAAACGACATGTCCATAATATTTTAATATATTGTCGCAAGTATATAAAATCATTCTATCTACTCCTAATACTGGTTATCACAGAGAAAACAGTTAGGTATTATGGTGGTTATTCACAAATATTAAGTGTATAACCCATGGTTATTCAATCACTAAACGTGCCACATGGTTGTGCACCATATCATAATACGCTAACATAGCCTCTCAAGACTATCAGCTAAGGTAGAAAAAAACCCATGACAGACTATATTGTTTATTACAAAATAAAATAAAATAAAAGTTAATTATTATTAACTATGAATTCTCATCCTATGAGTTATAGGCTTTGAGACCATAAAGTATATTCAATAAAGAAAAGGAATATTGGAATAATTAAGACATTGTTGAAGAGAAGACTAGTTTTTTAAATTTTGCACTATGATAGTATACACTACCCTTCTTTTGCTTGTTCATTTGTAAAACAAAAAACTCAAATTTGTCTATGGATGTGGGAGGGAAACCCAAAAAGAAAATCCAAATATTGATTTGTTTACAAGAACTTGTGAAACGTACCTACTTAGTATAGATTCATTGAATATTTCACGCTATAGCTACATTCAACAGCCTTGATCAACGATTGAGAGATAAAATTTAGTTAATTTTCGTATTTCGTGTCTACTGATAAAAGAATCACAGGAGTGAAAGAGCGCAAGCAGTTTCGATAGCTCTAAGGCGTTTTATAGCTTAATTGGCACAGCTCACGGCGAGTTGTATTATCGATTGCAAGCCCCTTCGTGCTGTGATAGTTGGCGAGGTGTACTAAAGATTGATAAGAATCTGAGAAGAGCGGGTGAAATATGTGTGTCACTGGTTTTAAGGAATTGGGTCACAGGTGAATTTCCTTTCATTTGCTTGTCGAGCACCGGGTATGGCGCCAATTCAAGCTTATTAAAACGAGACTTGTATAACGAATTATTTGGAGACTTATAATTTATAATGGATCATTTTAAAATCAAAATGATTTCCTATAAAAAAGTTTCAGTCAAAACGAAGTATATTTTAAACTGTTTGTTCAATTCCATTAAAAATGTAAGCCTTAAACGAATTGTATAACATCTAATTCATGTACATTACAATTGTAAGTAAAAAAATTACTTTATCTGCAGGTTCATTTTCAACATGACAAATACAGTGATTGTGTTTTAAAGTGCTACTGAAAGTGCCATCATGTATGGGATATATATTGGGAAAGATAAATTGGAATGGATAGCACTAGACTGGAGACAGTCCCACCCGGGCCTGTTAATTTGGACACAGTAAGGGCACTTCATCAAACAGTTGTTTCTCTCAGGACAGCATTAGAAGTTTCCAAGAACGAACTGAAGGATTTGAAACAAAAATATGAACTGCACTCTCAGTGCTTAGAGTATGCTGATGTCATTGAAAAATTGACTTTAGAAAATCATATATTGAGACGAAAAATTATTGATACTGGTGATGAAAAAGATTTTAATCCAAATATAAATTTCCAAGTGACATACAGTCCCAGAACAGATACTGTTGATAGGGATAGTGAAATACTGATCCAAACAACTACAGAAAACTTAGATACTAAAACAAGGATTGAATCTGATATTTGTTGTTCAGAAATTCCAAATACAAAGCTGAGTGAAAATTCTAAGAGAGTAAGTTATTGTTCTATAGAAAGTTCAGATGAGACCCCATTGGAGGTAAAATCTCAAGATCCATCTGAAGCAGATGGTCAAAACACTGATGTAGAAATAAGTCGGTCATCAAGTTGTCTTAATCAAGAGAATGAGAAGATCCATCAGCCAAGCTTCAAGACAAAATTAGAATTGCTTTCAAAGTTTGATGTAAGAATAAAAGTTAAAACTGTGAAAGACGGAGAATCATCCAGTACTACTTCAGACACTGATTCAACCTTTACAGACGATAAAAAAAACAAAGATAAGAATAGTAAAGGAAAATTTGAGTTTCAAGAGAAAAAAGAAGACTTTGAAAGAGCAGCTGATCCCAAAAAAAATACCATAAATTTTAAATCGGTATCTTCCGATAACATAACAATGGCAGTCCCCAATCCTGAAGGTGATGTGAAGTCCAAGAAAGATAAGTTAGTCCAAGTCAGAATTACTTCAGAAGAGAACCTTATCTTTCAGAATATGAAAGATAAAATAGAGCAGGCAAGGAGAAAAGACACACTGAATTTAGACGTGGATGATTTAAGTGTTAGGTAAATCACAAAATTACAATTTAGTTTTTATTTTCAATAAAGTCATTTAAGTAATTTATTTAGTAAATTCTTATCATGATTTATAAGTATAACATATCAATCTTATTTTCTATCACAGTAATGTTTACTAATGTGCCATCTGAAGAAACACCCCTACAAGTTTTTATTTTCTTTATCTATTGGGTTTTGATTCACTGGGATTCATAAATTTTACGATATTATATTAGATTTCTGCTCTGAGGAGACATAAGAGAATGTCAACAGGCTGGGAAATGAATAGTGAAGCAAAAGTATAAATTTGTCCTGCGTTTCAGGTCGCTATCAGAGGGAGACAACTCTGTATTCTCAGAAGGAGCAACCACACCAATGGATCCACAAATTAGTAAAGAAGACTATAAACAGGAACATGATGCAAGCGGCAATGAGTCTGAAGAGGTAGATGATATAGAACTCATATTTACAACAGATGAATCTAAGGATATGAGTAATTTGCAGGTAACATTTGCTTTTTCTTTTTTTTATCAAATCACGCCACATGCTGCAATCATGGTTGTCTTCCAATGCACAGAAAAGTGGAATGTCACTACTAAGAATAAGTTGAGTGCAGGTCACATTCACTGAATGACTAATGTTCAATACAAATAAGGGAAGTATGGTCACGAAACAGGAACAGTGATATATTGATGATATCATCTTCTCGCATTCAAACTGTATAATCTCAAAACTTACTAGCTTTGCAGGAGTGTTTTAAAGGTTTAACATGTGATATTTTTAATATTAATCATCTTCGCAACATTTATTTTTTATTTTTTACCAGTTATATTATCTGTCTTTTAAAGTAAGATAAAATTATGTATTAATTTGGTTATAGTAGTCAAAATACAGGTAAACAAAAAAAAACTAAACTACACTCTTTTGACAGTATTTATGAGAAAAATACTGGTGATACTAAATCATTCCGCATATTAACCCAATTTCAAATATTTTTGGAAATTGTACACTCTTAATGCGAAAAGACGATATGATATTTTGAAAAAAAAAAACAAAAACAAAGATTCTGTTTGTGAATTTTAAAAGTATGTGAAATTATCTAAAACGTAATGTGATGTAGAATATTTACTTTGGTTTTCAGGAGGACCTGGTGCCAATACGTGAGACCGATCATTGGACTCCACATTCCAATTCCACGACGCACTCAACACCAGTCCTCATCAAGTTCCACACACTGGATCCTGACTTTCAACCTGGAACTGAAACTACGGACAACAACGATAACGAAAACCAAGAAAACTGTAGCTTACAAAGTGAAATATCAATGTCGAGCTTAAAAATGAAAAGAGTTTCTCTTCCCAGTGACAAGGAAATCAGACATGTCGCCTTTAACAGCAAAGGCAGTCTTGACATACCTGGCCGGAGTATTTTGAAGAGCTGTGACAATAAATCTGATAATACCCTGTACAAGAAAAGCCCGAATACAAGTTCTAAAAAACTGGACAGTATAGACAGTCTCACTTGCGAATACAATAGAGGCCTGAGCTTTGACAACACAAAGAGTTCCAGTTTCGAGCTTGGCTCTAGTATGGATATCCTCCACAGAGATGAGAGTGTGGAAAGTTTCTACAAGACCGCTCACCTAGGGCATAGGTTTTCGGTGTTTGCCGAAACCGATATATCGAAATGCGGTATTTCAGAAGACGATTTGGCCGTTAATTTGAATGCTAGAAGGAACACATGTCCCAACCCATTTCAATACAGGTAAGTAACAGTACAAGAAATATCACATGAACATTGATGATATGGTTTTTATTTTATTATTAAATTATCTTAAACAACTGAAACTGCAATAAAGAGTTAATATTACATGTTTTACTATTTTAAATTTCTTTTCAATCAATGACTAAAAACCACTTTTTAAATTTTCAGTTCATATACAAAGCAGCAATTACCTCTAATACATTCTTAATAAATCTTTATATTAACAATATGGACGTCAACTGCGAAGTTTTTTTTATTGTTTATGTGTGCGAACGACAGCCCACCTGGTGTTAAGTGGTTACTGGAGCCCATAGACATCTACAATCTAAATGCCGCCACCCACCTTGAGATATGAGTTTTAAGGTCTCAGTATAGTTACAACGGCTGCCCCACTCTTCAAACCGAAACGCATTACTGCTTCACGGCAGAAATAGACAAGGCGGTGGTACCTACCCGTGCGGTCACAAGAAGTCCTACCACCAGTACAAGAGGTCCTACCGCCAAAAGTGGCAGAGTTATTTATATTTTAAGTTTGAGGACAACATATCGCATTAGTTAAAGAACGTCATTAGCACAATGTGTTGTTTGAGTCCAGGGTGCCGACACACCGCGGATACAGTCGAGGCGTGACGTCAGGTCCGGTGCGCGCGCGGCCCGTGCTGCGTGACGTCACGGCGCCGCGTCGCGACTCCGCCGCGCAGACCGACGTGTCCGCCCTGCCGCCGCGCTGGAGCTCAGACGGATACCTCGCTCATAAGGTTACGGAACAAACAAACACAAATTAAGTTATGTGATTCAGTATGCTTAGTGCGAGTTTTTTAACGTTCTCGATAGCGTCCGAGTTAGCCCAATTTTCAACTGCGTCATCAGATTTGAGCCTCATGAACTCACCTACAAGTTAAGGCGACGCTGATACAGCCTCTCAAGGCAAGCACAGGTAGGAAAAAAAAAAACTATTTTTGTATGCAGTTGGAACAGCGCCTCTAGCGGCAAACGTACGCAAACGATCCCATACCATACAAATATGAGCTAACTTTTACGCTATCGAGGACGTTAAAAAACTCGCACTAAGCACACTGAACGTCGGTTCACGGCGATCGCCTTTGAATGTCTTTAATCGTCACTAAATTACGCTCTGTGTTCGAAATTCGACCATAATCACTTATTTATTTATTTATCGTATGGCATTCGTTTACACTGCGTGGTTATAATTTCAATTTACAATTTGTGAAATAATCGATAGCTTCTTCTGTTACATTTTTGAGATCTTGCACTTGGCCTGCGAATTTCGTTAGTGGGCATTCCATGACAATGTGGCGTATAGTTTGCTCTGGGCATCCGCATTCAGAGCTTTCGTCGCACACTGATGTTTCAAGATTTAGATTCATTTAATGTATTACATTTCTTTTTTGTATTGTATTTTATAGCTTAGATGGGTGGATGAGCTCACGACCCGGTTAAGTGGTTATTAGAGCCCAAAGATGAGATAGAGACTAACAAAATAAATGCTGGCGGCCCACCTTGATACATGAATTCTAAAGTCTCCGTTTTTACAGTTAACCTGAAAACAAAATACTAATTTTATTTTTTTTAATTAATAACACATTAAATAAATAACTAAAAAAGAAAAGCGTTTGACTAACTGAAAAGAAATAAAATGGTATTTTACTGTTTTATCGTTTAAAAAAGAGCTGACTATTAATTACTGCAACACCGTCATCACCCATGACAGGGAGAATATTACCTACGTTAAAGAAATATATTTTAAATGTTCATCAGAATGCCAATAACATATTTACACTGTATCATGTTGACAGATGTACACGACTTCCGCGGCGGCAGCGCCTACACTGCCTCAACGCGGCCTCACGCCGAACTCACGCCGTGGGGCTGCGGAATCTCGTGTCCCAGCAGTATCGCGACGGTGCTCGGAGGCCAGACGCGTGCTGCTCAGTGACATCGGTACGTTATTGCTGTAACCAATAGCGGGGTTGCAAACTTATAAATGCTCCCCTTGAATAGTAACTGTGGAATATCAGGGTGGTCAGCCTTTAAAGAGGGTGCCTGGTCTCGCTTCACAACCTGGGCCTCTTGTGGATGTGGGGTTGTCATGGGATTGAAGGGCGGGCCAGCTGTAGTTAAAAGTGAGACCTTTGAACTTATGTCTCAAGGTGGGTGGCGACATTTACGTTGTAGATGTCTATGGGCTCCGGTAACTACTTAAGATTAGGTGGGCCGTGAGCTCGTCCACCCATCTAAGCAATAAAAAAAACAGTAGGGCTCACGTAAGGTCAGCTTAAAGTAAAAAATAAATAATGGAATACTTATCTGATTACACGAATTTTATATTCAGGTTTTACATCGATGGTCCCCGAGTTATCGCGGTCCGCGGACCCGGTGTGGGCTCTTACGAAGAAGATGTCTAGTATTGAAGAGACTGTAACCAATTCCACGTCTAAGTAAGTTCTTTTTAATAATCATTTTATTACTTTGAAGTCAATTATATATGTAACTAGCTGACCCGGCAGACTTCGTAGTGCCTTAATCGAAAAATAAGTCGTGTCCGTACACACTATCCACGATCTATATAATATTAATACGTGAAGCATAAACTTTGTACCCCTTTATACGAAAATTGCACGGACGGAGGAGTATGAAATTTCCCACACTGATAGAGAATGTAGAGAAGGAGTGCACATCTATTTTTTTTAAATAATGCATAAAAGGAACATTAAATTAATAAAGAAAACATTACACACACTACCATGTATTTGACACACACACACACACACACGCATGCATACTGTTTGTTTATCGTCAAACTTTTCTTATTGCATAAAGTCAAATTGAGAATAGATTAAATATTGTTTGTCTTTGTTAATATCTGTCTAAAGTGTAGTCTTGGCGAAATCTGTGATTATAGAAGTATAATAAATAGTCTTTGGCAATAGAACCATAATAATGTTTAAACTTATAATTTCAATTAATTATAGTCATATTTCGACTACTGCGGGGCCACTAGTACGAATAAAAGCGTATGTTTCCAGATTCCTGTCGCGCGGCTCATCGTACAGGTCGCCGGCTCCCAGCCTGGACCGGAGCCGCGACTGGACGCCGCCGCGGGCCCCGCCCTCTGCGGGTATGTATACCTATGCTAATAGCCTTGAGAAGCTATTTCAGCTTCGCCTTGACGTGTAGGTGAACTCACGGGGCTCAAACCGGGAGTGTTTCTAACACTGGCCCTAGCAAGAGCAGTGCTTTTATCTACCACCGGATCGGAAAAGCGACTCACTGAGAAGATCCGGCGAGAAACTCAGTGGGCTGTCTATGGGTTAATTAACTCGTCGAGCCCTTCGTCGCAAGCGACGGGTTCGGCGAGGACGGTGACTGGATTTGTGTGCAAAGTCGAGTCTGAGTGACTATTGTTTGTAAACCAAAGGACTGAAGTGTTCGTGGTCTGGAGGTGGCGGTAGTGAAAAAATAGCGTTGACTTGCTTTCTATTTGTATAAATAAATAAATATAATTTTTTGTTTTCCTTCAGGCTGTTGTCATCGTACGTCACCGTATGTCACGAACGTCCGCTAGGTGGCGCTAGGTATTTTTTTCACAATTCGGCACTGCTCTTAAGGAATGTGACCGGCTTTGGCCTTTTGACAGTCGTGCAAATGCATGTTAATTTTTAGAAAGCTTCGCAGCTGCGGGCTCTGGGAATGCAATGTGAATCAGCAGATTTTGGTTTGACAACGACGATATTCAAACTATGGACGCTAGTGGTGCCCTCTCGCATCGGTGAGATGTAAATGCTCCGGCTCCTAGGAATTGATGTTTGACACTTTAAAATTGACACTTTAAAATTTTTAAAAATGAAATATTTTTTTAGGATATCGTCCGTGGCGCAGTTCGTTGCCGGACGTCCGCCGCGACGACACCGAGGAGCTGCTGGAGGAGGCGGAGATATTTTTGAGACGATCCATCGACAACCTCAGACCTTCTTCGCCTGATGGTGAGCTCCGAAATTCTCAATTATATTTTTATTGTAATTAAAACCTATTGGATTTCTTTTGGCAAATTATTACACAAAAGTACGGGCACCATTTTATTAGCAGAGCGGAAGTGAAATGAAGTGACATAGATACATTAGTAATAACACATTATAGACTAACATATATAACCACAGAGTAGTGCGCAGGTCCTAAAATATACTCAACAAAACGCACTGGCCGAAATCAATAGAATGCACCGTTATGATTTGAATATTTTTATGTATTTATTGTTTAGGTTGGTGGACGAGCTTACGGCTCACCGGGTCTTAAGTAGTTATAGGAGCCCATAGACATCTACAACGTAAATGCCGCCACCCACCTTGAGATATAAGTTCTAAGGTCTCAGTATAGTTACAACAGCTGCCCCACCCTTCAAACTGAAATGCGTTACTACTTCACGGCAGAAATAGGCAGGGTAGTGGTACTTACCCGCGCGGATTCACAAAAGGTCCTACTACAAGTAATTACGCAAATTATAATTTTACGGGTTCATTTTGATTATATTTTTTAGATGAGCCTAAGAAGCTTAGTCATCATGTAATTCTGTCCCAGGGCGGATGTCGAGAACACGTATAAACTCGTTGCGTTTCAGTGTCGCGAGCGAGCGAGCCGCGCCCCCCGAGCGGCCGCCCCTACATCCCCGCCGAGCCGCGCGAGCTGCGTCTGGGGCACGCCGTCAAGTTCATCACCCCGCAGGGACGGGTCGCCGTCGGACGCGTCCGGTGAGTACCTCCCCTCGCACCTCCCCCGCACCTCCCCCCTCCCATCTCCCCCAGGCAACACACGAAGGAATAGTATTGTGCAGACTTTTTGGCGGGAACGCGAGGAGTGAAGTTGTGTGATTTGTTTTATTTTGTCTATTTAGTGTTTCTTCAGGTTTAAATGTGTAATAATGGTGGTTTATTAACTGTTTAATATCTGTGAAAGTGCACAAATGTGGGAAAATGAAACAAAGCTGCTGGACGTAACTTCTCGGGTTCCTCCAAAAAGTCCACTGAAAAAATCTCAGNACAAAGCTGCTGGACGTAACTTCTCGGGTTCCTCCAAAAAGTCCACTGAAAAAATCTCAGTAAATGACCACCATTTTACTGCGATTATATTTCATCCCATATCATTTCATTTCATTAAATTTCATCCCAGTTGATTAATGTCTCAAATTAATCATCTTCATTTCATTTCACTCCATATTATCATTTTTCATAAAATTAAGATTAAAAAGTAAAATAAGACATGACTTAAAGGTCTTAGTTACCAGGTCATAAAATCTCTTAAAAAAAAAAAAAAGTATTGTGCAATAAAACGTGGAGTGAAGGCCGACCACAGCTGGTCGAGGTCACCCACACGCGCCTCTTTAGCAGTACAAACAAATAAACAGCTTATAACCCTAATAGACCGTAGAAACGATAAATTATAATACTGTTACGCCGGTAAGAATAACGTCATCTATCGCCGAATAGTCGAACGAATATCGAAGGATCTAGTAGCACCTAGAACGCTCGAGAGGTACAACGCCATCTATTTTCAGATATCGGAAACAATACTATACAATAGATGTGTGGAATATTGTCGATAATTCTAGGGATGAGGTATCGACTATAAAAGCGTTGCAGGGATGGTACGCAGTCAGTCGGTAATCGGAACTACTCGAAGCGAAGCAGCGAAAGGATCACCTGAAGCGAAGCAGAAGAAAGGAATTGAGAGTTTAAAAGTGTTTGTTAAGTGTTCTAAGTGTTGAATACAGTTTTTAAGTTGTACTTGGGTGAAATTTTATTTATTCCGAACCACAGCGCGTAACAATACGTACTTAACACATATTCACGAATGATTTCCTCGATGAAGGAATAACAAAATCGATAATAATAAAATCAAGTCCGCAAACAGTAAGTAATATTGGCAGGGCGTAATGCATGCGATAAGTCGTCATTATAGAATTTTACTCTAAAAGAACCCTGGTGTTAAAGTAGACGGTAACGTGAGGACGTCCTAAACAGACTTGAGTGGACTTTGCGAAAAAGGATACACGAGGGAAGTGTGTGAATGCCAAGATGACGTTGTGATATGGCTTGAAGGCCTGAGGCGGGGGACATACTACGGACATACAAGGTGTTGCGTCGGAGATATATATTTATAATGAAACAACCGCGAGTCTGAATAATACTTCTTTATATTTGATAGACACTTAGCTTATATCGGCTTACATTAAGTAGGTTAACATAGAATTTATGGAATGTTTCATACATCACATAACCACACATAGTATTGTTACGCCGGTAAGAGTAACGCCATCTGTTGCCGAATAGTCGAACGCATATCGAAGCTAGTAGCACCTAGGACGTTCGAGAAGTACAACGCCATCTATTGTCTGATAGCGGAAACTACTACTAGAGATGTGTGGACTATTCTCGATAATTCTAGGGATGAGGTATCGGCTGTAAAAGCATTGCAGAGATGGCACGCAGTCAGTGGGTAATCGGAACTAGTCGAAGCGAAACAGCGGATCACCTGAAGCAAAGCGGAACAAGCGAATTGAGAGTTTTAAAGTGTTTGTTGAGAGTTTTAAGTGTTCTAAGTGTTGAATACAGTTTTAAGTTGTACTTTAGTGACATTTTATTTATCCCGAACCCCAGCGCGTAGCAGTACAAATAAGGACAAGAGGATGATGATGAGCACATATTATTTGCGGGTAGACTGGGGCTGGGTGACGAATCACGTTGTTATGATCGACTGTTGGGAACGGATTTTTGTTATATTCAGTGTTCGTGTACAGGTACGTGGGTATAGCGGGCGGCGCGTCCTCCGTGACCGTGGGGGCGGAGCTCCAGTGCGCGGGGCCTCCGCACAACGACGGCACGGTGCGGGACCGCCGCTACTTCCTGGCGGCGCCGCGACACACCGCCGTCTTCGTGCCCTTCTCGAAGGTCGTCATGGCCTGGGCCAACTAGGTAACGCGCACCGGCCCAGTGCTGGGATACGATATGAACGTTTGCCAAATCGCGTTATTCGCTTTCTAGTTGACATTTTAGTGCAGTCAGATCGGTTTACAGAACTCTATAATCGTGGGAGAGCATCGTGTACAGCCCCCAAAGCGTCAGCACAATATTTGAGGGCGTCAGCGCATAAGTGGCCTAGCCCGCAATTTTCATATTCGTGCTTATACTATACTGCAATTTATTTAAAACATAAATAAATTTTGATGCAAAACCGGACGGATTTGTAAATATTGTTTTTGCGTACAAAGTAGTGTAAAAGTAAATTGGAACCTCATTATCTCCATGCGAACTTCTGCGCTGACGTCCTCGTTTTTTATATCCCATTTAAGCGTACGATATAAATTTCCTTTTTCGCTTCTAAAAATGAGGCTTGTATAGTCCAGCGATGAGTGGTGGACAAAGATTAAGTCTTCTTGTTGTTATTTTCAGACGTACTCGACGGATCATCGCAAGTTATAAAAAAACATCCAAGGTTTTATTAATGCATCTCTACGAAGCTTGAACTATGATGTTAAGTTCAACTAGACGTCGCAGTGAATGAGGTACTCACTTTTGATAAACTTGGATCTAAAGGAGGAGAAACGTTTACGAATGATAATATGTGTTTTTTATTTTTAAAACTTAAACGCAGTATTACTAGTGGTGACTAATATATTTTAAAGAGAAACGATAAGATTGTCAGTTTTGTTGTTGTCAATGAATAAATCAGCGCCTAATTGCCTTTGTCGGACAAAAAACCACAATTATTTTATAGAGAATCTTCTTCTTTTAGTCTAACACTTTTCTCGTTGACTGTACTCGGCTTGTGAGATGTTGAGACTGTTGAGCTGTAATACGCGAATATACCTAAGTGGATATAAGTCAGGGGTTCCCAAACTTATTTTGTCCTTTGCCCACTTCGTACATTATAAATTATTTTTAGCGCCCCTTTTTTTACTCATTTGGTGTCTAAGTGTCCTCCTAGAAGAAATCATAAATCGCCACCCAAGCCTCTACACAACGCCCCTATTTTTTTTTCTGGGTGTCTTACCGCCCCCCTTTAGGGCTGCAGCCCCCACAAGGGGGCGTTATCGCCCACTTTGGGAAATGCAAAACGTTCGTAAACATTACTTTCTGTTGTTTATGAATCGTTGTTACTCTATATTGATAAAATTTTTAGCTATCTGGAGGTTAGCTATTTGTAATTCGGCGCATCACCATTAATCCATTTGGTCTTGTCGAGAGAAGTTGTTCGTTTCTAAATCTAAACAGGCTAATTATATGCGTAGCTTAGTGTGTATAAACGTATGCCTAAAACGTGTTTGCTGTAGTTGTCTCTTTCCTTCATATTTAAACTAGAATATAAAGGTAACAGGGATGGAGAAAGATGGATATATATTTCAAAGGAACGTTCAGGTTGTTAGAGTTGGTAATGTTCGATTTCTAATTTTCGTGTTATTGTAATCAGTCAATATGTAGTGTAACTTATAGGAATATGGTAAAGAATTGTAGATAGAATTAATTAGAAAACATAATTATAATATTTTTCGTTCGATAAATTGTTGAAAAAAAAATAGATGCTCTAACAAAAGTGCGGCACAAAATGAGTCAAATTATATTATTTATAAAAAAAAACTCTAAAACTGTGCTGGAATAGGTAACGTTTTTTTTTCAATATATTATTATGAGTCGTCTATTATCAAAGGTGGTAATCTGTGCATTTGGACAAAAAAATGTTATTGATATGTCAATACAGATTGATTTGAATATAATCGTCTCCTTCAAAGAATACGGTTCAAAACCTGCATTAAATAAAAGTTAATACTTAACCTGTTATTTATCTAAGATGTCGTTCAGAAGAGTTTTGTGACTGCCAATGGAATACAAAGTCAATAATTCGTTTTTCTGATTTACCANAATATAATCGTCTCCTTCAAAGAATACGGTTCAAAACCTGCATTAAATAAAAGTTAATACTTAACCTGTTATTTATCTAAGATGTCGTTCAGAAGAGTTTTGTGACTGCCAATGGAATACAAAGTCAATAATTCGTTTTTCTGATTTACCAATAATTGTCCAAAAGTCACATTGCCGGCTTTGATAATAGTCGACTCATATATACAAAAATGTAAAGAAATACAAATTGAACCTTTGCAAATATTTTTGCTTTTGAATTCAATATCGGACAATGCATGAAAGTAATACGTATGTCAACTTTTACTGAAGGTACGTATACACAATATTAAATTTTTTAATGCTTTTAACACGGTGCTCTCGTAATATATCTTAATATTTGCTATTATACATACAAGATTGTGATTTATTTATATTACCATTCTGGTTATTTTCGTTTGTTAATTAATTTTATCATGTTAATATACAAGCTTACTGTAAGTAAATTAATCTTATTTTTATACACTTCGCTTTTTGATTAACTCGTTTATAAATTTAAGCTTTTGATAATATTTAGAGTTGCTTAAGAAATAAATGTATAGTCGATTAGAAATGTGTGTGAGTTAAAAATAGTCTAAAATCTTGAATAAACTATACAATAAGCGCAATATAACATATTATAGTATGATGCAGCCTTGTCGGAATACTAACAGGGCGATGTAAATCAAACTATAAAAATCAATCTGAGGAATTTTTAGCTTAACACTTTTCTCCTTGACGGTACTCGGCTAGAGATGTTTCGAAACGCTAGTGCATATAGATTTACGTTATGATGTCTATGGACTTCGGTTACTACATAACACTAGTTGGGCTGTGAGCTTGTTCTGGCATGCAATAAAAGCATTGTTGTCGTGTCTATGGTATTCGATAATCATATTATAAAAATCATCACGTCGTAAAGAACTTCGATGTTGCTATCACAAAAAATGTACACGTCTGTGTTGAGCCTAAGTTCGCCATCTTATTTTCGTTAAAACTAAGTACACCTGAGAAGAAGACCTGTTAGGTCTGATAAACCCCTTATTCTCTAATACCTTTCACATTCTAATTTTATTACATGATCTTATTGAAATACTCTTAATATTCATATTTAATTAAGCGAAAAAGGAAACTAGTGGACTATTCATTGGCATATTTTTTACTCAGAAACATAATGCATGATTCGCCTAATTCAATTTCACTAATATCCTTTTAAAGAATCGCATTGTCATGTCAATAGAAATATTACTCTTGGCGTCTTTGTGCCAAATATTCGGGGTATTGAATTAGTAAAACCAATTTTCTAAATTAAACATGGTAAACACCAGTTTCCATCGTGTTATATGGTAACATTAATTTTAGCAGTGTTGCTATGATTACAAGATCTATATAACAGCTTACTCTGTCCTGCTTACACTATGCTCTTTTCCTCTGTGTTTGAGCGGGACGTTTCAATTACTTACAATTACTTATTCTTAATGAAAGCGTATGTAAGATATTATAATATGCGATTTGTAAACAGTACATATAGAATTATGTATGTACTCGTAGAAGCTTATATAATAACCATTATCTGTTGTTTTTTCGTCGATGTATGAATAGGTGTGAAGACCTAGTGATTATTAGTGATTGGAAAAACTAATTGTATTAAAAAAAATATCGATGTATTTCTAAATTTGACGTTGTACGAACTTTCAGTATTCATGTCTCAAAGAATTATCTAACAAAACTTTATAGTGAAAACATTTTTCGATTACAATTTTTCCCTTAAATTTGTATTGATAACCCTTCTAATATATTGTTGTTAAATGTACGTTTGTAATAAAAGTCAATGATGGTATTGTAAGCAAGCAAAAGCGTCGTCGGCCTAATGGGTAAGGCGCTGTACTTGTATTGAGTGTTTTGATTCAACGGCTGGCGTTAATTTATGCCAAATAAACAAGGACTTAACATGACGTTTTGATGAACGACTGTCAGGGTGTAGAAGGAATGGTCGATCGATCAAAAACCAGGCAAATTTATAAATTTTGCAAATGTTCTGGTGGGGCGTATGATGAGCCCGCACGGGAGGTACCGCCATTCCGCCACGTTATTTTCTATGTCGAATAACGATAATCGATATGAAATTCTAAAACTACTTACGGAAATATATTTAGTTTTAAATCATTGTAACTCCAGTATTATAAATGTATAGATGTGTAAGATTTCTTGAATCGTGTAAGTTGTATAAGTGGTGTCTTCTAGTCGAAATAAAACTGTACTCTATGCTGTTATATGAGAAAGATATCTATTTTAATTATCAATGTATGAGATTACATGTTACATGTAATTGAATAAAAACTGAAAAAAAAAATACCAATGCTTTTTATTAATAAACTTTTCTCATTTTCAAAACAGGAAATTTATTGACTACTCTGCATTTATTAAAGAACGGTGTCATAGATTGATTATTTTAATGTCTATCAGTTGTAAATGCTATTGAAATGGTGTACTTGACATAAGAAATTTTATAAACCAAATAAAGTTATGATGTCAGGGAAACTCCAAGCATTATTACCTATTCTTGTTTTCTGGAACGATTCCAACACACTGATCAAGTATACAAGTGCTTAGGTAAGAAAAACACACAGATAAATGAATATATTTTAATAAACAGTAACAATGAAAAAAAAAAACAACAGAGTGCGCCTTACTTATAAAATAATTTCATTTGGTAGTTCAGAAGCATATAAGATAGAAAATAATGTAGCAGAAAGAAGCGAAGAAGAAGCAAATGAAGAGCAGAAGGGAAATGAATGAAGGAAAGAAGAATTAAAAACAGTAAGAGAGAGAGAGACAGATGAAAGATGCAACAAGAAGTAGAATCGCAATAAAGAAAAAGAAGAGAGTATAGAAAAGTAGAGCATAGCAAAAGATAATCATAGCTGGAAGTATGAACTTAGTAAAAAGTAAAGTTATAAATTCAAGTACGAAGAAATAATATGAAGAGGAAAATGCAAGGAAAATACATAGCACCAATTTAAGGCAAACGCACAAAATATAAAAGTATTTATTACAAAACAATATAATTCATTAGCAACACTGTAGCGAAATAAACGTTCATGTAAATTTCCACTGCTCAATGTCTTGCCGGGGCCATTGATGCACCATTAATTCCAAAATTAATAAATTCCAAAGTTCAACTATATTGTGTATTTGTATGTAATCTGCCCTTAAAAATTATGTCTGTTATATCATTAAAATTATCAAGTCTACGTTTTCTGAATGCGTTTCAATATTAAAATGATAAAAAGAAAAATATAGTCATACAGAGATAAATGGAAAATAAGAAAGAATGTTCAAGTATAATAAAATGTTTAGACAGTGTACGAGGAGAATAGTATTTAATAGATTGGTAGAGCGAGAAGAATGCTGTTATAAAAATAGAGTAGGATAGATATAGTTGAAATTTTAACAATAGTGAAAGATACCTAATAATTCGCTAACATAACAATAAACAGAACAAAAGCGTGTACAGAAAAAGGTGAAAGAAAGTACGTAAGTGTTTGAAGTCAAATATTGAAAATACATATTAGCAGAGCGAATGGAAATAAGATGGTGAAAGAGCATAGACGAAATAGGAATAGACTTTTTAAATTAATTTTGCTATTAAGAAACTGAATGTAAAGAAGAAAGATGGTTCATGACGAAAAAATTAGAAGAAAATGAAAAAGGCAGCAGAAAGTCATTTTGTTGTAAAAATTTAAAGGATCAAGTAGAAGTATATTTATTATTTTGACAAAAGAATTGTGTTGGACACCAAAATAAATAATATATATGAAAATGATAGCTAAAAGAACGAAAATGTACATTACGATGTGATCAGAAAAATGCAAAGGAAACTAGAGAAGTAAGTTAGACAGAAGTTTTCAAAGGAGAAATAGTAACAGTTGTTTCATTATAAAAAGATTTAAATAGGTTTTTTTTGTAATAAAATACTTACATTATTCTAACAAGATAGAAGATATATTATAAATAAAATAAAATATAGGAATGTTTTTGATGTAAGTAAGTGATAGAAAGTAGAAAACAAGATAAACTTTGATGTGTATTGAGAGATTTCAATAATTAAACGAATACTGTTGAAGGTAGCATAATATAAAAAATGAAAACAGAGAGTGTCGAAAAGGAGTGAATAGAGTAGAGTGAAGAAGTAGTTGTAGAAACATTCATAGAGTACGTACAGTGAAAGAAATATCAGTTTAGAAGAAAAAGGAAATAGTAATCAGGACAATATGAACAAGAAAGCACCTTAGGAACAAGAAAGAAATTATTAAGAAAATCATTTCATTCATCACGATGTGTCTATAAACTACTAGTTGAAATACAACATTGAAGCATAGACTTTAAATAGAAAATAGAACAATAGTGTACATTATTAAATTGGTATATGAACAAGAGACAGATACAGCAACTAATTTAAATATAAAAAGTTTATGAGAATTTTAATGAAGAGTACTTATGTAGTGAAAAGAGTAAATAAATATTAGAATAGTAAGTTCTAAAAATATAAATGTAATGATTGAATTATCATAATGGATAGACATACGTGATAAGGTATAGGTAATGATGAAAATGAATACGCGATGAAGTAAATATAATATGAAAAATACATGAAATGAGGTAAAATGTAAGAAATTTTAAGACATAAGATAATATTGAAATTGAAGCTACATTGAAAAAGATTTAAAAAAATTAGTTAACTAAGACAGGAAAAACTTTAAAAAGAAGTTGTAAAATATGGAAGTGTTAAAAAAATAAATAATGAGTTAAGAACAGAAAATAGGGATACTTAGAGTATACAGGAATCTAAATTCTTTCACATTTCTTTTATAAAAGAAAAATGAAGAATTAAATACCTGGAAAAAGTGAAATAAAGAGGAAATAGTGATGATAGTGCAGAATGAAGATAAATGATTATTAGTAAAACAAGAAACAATGAATAGTAATTTAAAAGAAATATTTGTGTCATAAATTATAATGATGAAGGTTTTTAATGATGTTGAATAAGATATTGAACACGACGCAATACAAATTGCACACGTGCCTCATTGTTTGAATAAAAATATCAAGAGCAATAAATACTTTGATTTCTGAGTGAAGTTATTATTAAATGAGCAATGTTATAAGACGGAAAAATAAAAATAAGAATTGAAAGAGAGTTGTCGAACATATTACGTAGTTATAGACTATATAAATAAGCAGAATGTTATATAACATAGTATGTTAAATTTAGTATGCAAATTAAGTATGATGAACAAAAATCGCTATCGGTACATAGTAAATGAAAGAAGTAATACAAGAAATGATATAAGATGACCACAAATAAACGTGGAAATATATAAGAGTGAAAATTTAAACGAAATGAAACTTTTTTTGTACAGCCTACATTATCTGTACATATTAGGAATGATAAGGTTAAGAAACGAAACAAAAAATAGTGATAGATAAAGAAAAAGATAGATTGAACGGAATATGTGCCCATGTTGTCAAGATAAATTTAAGTAGAGCCTAAATTGATTATTAAAACAGAGTGTTGAGAACAAGAATAGAAATGATAAAGTAAAGAATAAAGATATAGCTATAAGACATTAGAAAAAAAATATATGTTCGAGAAGTGAGGATTATTTATTTTCGGGTACCAAACTTGGCCATAGATAATCAGAGTAAGAAATGGAATGAAATAATAGAGCTGAGAATAAAGAGAGAAAAAGATAAGATTGAAAATGTAAATGAGTTCCCGTAGTAAGAATTTTTGGTGGTATGCAATGAATTTGAGAATTACATGTCATTGTGTGTAAGAAACGAAAGAAGATTGTATATTTAAGAATAAAGAAAATAAGTAAGTAGCAAAAGATAAGGTTATAAGTAAATTGGTAGAGTAAAATGAGTGATTTTCGCAATGAAATTTATAAAAGTGAAATGAAATTACATTAATGTTAGTCTCCAGCTTTAAGACGCTTGTACATAGAAAAAGTTCCGAGCATGGTATGAGACGATAGTAGAATGAAGTAATGTAATGAATGTATGAATTATACGGTACTTAGATAATGAATACACATAGTAGTTGGAAAGAAGTGAAGATTGTATAGGTAGTATTATTATATATATATTATTATAGTATAATTAAAATTTACAAGAATTATGAAAAGATTCAGTGAAGTGAAAATATATTTTAAAATAGACATTAATAGGTTGATTTAAGTGTAAAAGAAATGAACAGGTAAGACCAGAGATAGAGAACAAGTATAAAAGTAATGTACGTGAAATTAAACTTTGGGAATAAATGATGATGATGATGATGATGATGATGATTGATGATGAAGAAGAAGAAGATGATGAAATTTTCAAGTAAAGATAATAGAGTTAAAGAAGAGCTTTAGAAATACAAGATATATAAAGATAGATGAGCGAATATGAAAGATCAATGTATGAATATGTCTCAGTTTCCACCAATTATAATATTGTGATATATGTATGTGAACAGTAAAAGATAGGTACAGTTAGAAAAAAAATACAGCAATGTTTTTACTATGACTAAAAATAACATTCAACTCATCATGTAATGAAAGTGATAGTTCGCGTATGAAAGTGAAGATTTAGTACTTACTGATGCAACAAAATGAAACGATGATTCGTGAATATTTATGTATATATTTTATTACATCGATATTAGTAACAGTTGAAATGAATATAATGAAAGTGAATTTTACAGTGAAATGAATAAATACTATTGTAGAGGCAGTGATTGAGTGAGCTTGAAAATAACATAAAGATGACGTAAAAAGCAATAGAGAAGAAAATGATAATGAAGCAATAATAGAACAAAAGAAAGACGCATACAATACGTGCAACGTATAGAAGGAAGCTTGATTTGAAGGACAGAAAAGCAGTGAAGAAAGAGGAGTAAAGCAAGCAGTGGAATGCATTTGAACTACCATAGTACATAATATAACAATTATCACAGTGTACTTTGCGACTTAAAACTAAAGGAACTGATCAAGTGCACTATTTTATATTCAGCGGAATGTACCGTTTTTAACAAATGTGCGGTAATTCAGCTACAGACAAACAACAAAAAAACCTAATCTAGTAATATCACTCGAAAATAATACTGTCTTTGGTAATAACATAGGCAAGTGAAATACGTTTTAAATTGAAATACGCCACAAATCGCTAAATACTGAATCTAAGGTCTGCGACTAATTGATTATTTTGTTCAATGTTTTCGCTGTAAGAATCGATAGGACAAGTAAATATCGTTTGCCCTATTCAATGTTTAGTCTTGAATTTTATGAAAACCTAACGTGCAATGACGTAATTCGTGGCGTATATAACATTTACTTCCTATATCCTGATGAATCTTCGTGGTTATTGACCGGGAAGTCTGCGTACCAACCGAAAGCGCCGTTGTCGCCGGTGTGCGCGCCAAAGTCGACGTATTCGCCAAAATCTGGAGGTCTCTCCGCTAAACGTGCAGACGGGGCCAAAGAAGCTGCTCCCGAGACGTCTTGAGGTTGGAGACGGACCAGTCTCGCTGATTCATGCTCCCGAGGGGACAGTGCAACTTCTGTAATAAAGAAGTGCTTGATAATAATAATTGACATATATGCATCGGAATATAAAACTAGTTTTATTTATTTATTGCATAGACGGGTGGACGAGCTCACAGCCCACCTGATGTTAAGTGGTTACAGGAGCCCATAGACATCAACAACGTAAATATTCCAACCACCTTGAGATATATAAGTTCTAAGGTCTCAGTATAGTTACAACGGCTGCCCCACCCTTCAAACCGAAACGCATTACTGCTTCACGGCAGAAATAGGCGGGGTGATGGTACCTACCCGTGCCGACTCACAAGAGGTCCTACCACCAGTTTAGGCCTGATATTAGAAATGAATAAAGACTTTGTATTTTTGTTCTTGTTTGATTTGCACTTAACAGTTCATGCAAGGTCCGGAATTATATAACTTGACGTAATCTAAGACGAAAACAGTCCCAAGAGAAGCCTAAATGGTTTATTATCTTTAACTATCGGCACAGCAACTACCTGTGTTACCTAACGAACAATACGTATTCGTAAAAAAAAACAACCAAAAGAACTGTCACCAATTTCCCCAAATTTCCCCAAACACTCGTGTTTTGTAACCAAACGACAATGACATTAAGATTGTAATAACAGCGTTTTGTTATGAGCTGCGTGCTTGAAAACTATTATAGGCGTTATGTAATCGTATAAAAACCGAGAAAATTACAGTTGTAGCCGACGCGGCGGAAATGTGCGTGAATGTGTTCATTGAGCAAGTCGGTTCGCATTTACGCACCTATCTAGGCGTAATTATGTGTATTACGACACCACATTGTGGGTCAGTGGTAATTCATTGATGACAAACATTGATAAATTTACTATAGTAAAGTAATGTTTAACAGTTTTGAGGAGAGTGGCGAAAAGACAAGATGGAATAGTGACAATAATAATTAAGAAAACGTAATTTTTTTTTTTTATGAAAACACGTGTGTGTATTTTTTTGATTGCTTAGATGGGTGGACGAGCTCACAGCCCACCTGGTGTTAAGTGATTACTGGAGCCCATAGACATCTACAACGTAAATGCGCCACTCACCTTGAGATATAAGTTCTAAGGTCTCAGTATAGCTACAACGGCTGCCCCACCCTTCAAACCGAAACGCATTACTGCTTCACGGCAGAAATAGGCAGGGCGGTGGTACCTACCCGTGCGGACTCACAAGTGGTCCTACCACCAGTAAAAATTTATTATTTAGTATTACAAATAAATAAAAAACTGGACGGGCGAAGGTCTTGTAGGCCCGCCTACCTATTTCTACCGTTCCAGTTTTGTATGTATACTTCGGATAAGATAATTATCAATGCGCGTATTAACTGAACAAAAATGCCTTGAATTTAAATTCTAGATTTCGTTTGATATCGGTGAAAAGAGATTTTATTTCTGCTTTCACATCATAACAATTATTTTAACGATTGACGACTTCGAAATGTTGGATTTAAAAAAGAAAAATTATATAATGTTTCACAAAGATACGATAACTCTATTACTTGAGCCCCTAAATGAAGTGCTAAACGTTAGGATTGCGTGCGCAGATCGTTACGCAAAGCAGCGCCGTGACCCGCCGCCGTAACTGACACTAATCAGTAAAATGGAAATAGCACGAAAGCGATACTAAACTTTTAAAATTACTAAAAAAAAAATGCTTAGATAAAACCAGACACCGTTCAGTCGGTTACGTAACACAATCTTTTGAACAATAAAAGAAAGTCGCTGGTTGCATTACGCGACTGTATTGCGGTGGTGGGTAACAAAACCATTATTGTTATGTCTCTAACAGCTATGTTAAATCATAAAATTCACGGGTCTACTGAACGCGGTCCGTTTCGATCCCATTGAATGCTAAAACACGTGTTTACGACTCGCTATGGATGCATAGAAAGTATTTTAAATCCATTGTGAACGAGTGAAAGTGTACTGGTTGTTACTGATTATTATATGATTTGACGTTCTCAATTAGTTTCGCTGTTGATACAGAGGTATTTGTAAAATACCGGCCACAAATCGTTTCGAAAAAAATAACAGTTACTACTTTATAAAATACTAGCGGCCCGCCCCGGCTTCGCTTGGGAAGTAGCGTACGCGATGTAAAGAATTTTAGGTAATTTTTTTACACATTGAATTACATTATTGGAGTTTCAGTAGGGATCCCTATTTTTTTTTAAAACATATTATAATAAATATAGCCTATGTCACCCGGGGATAGCGTAGCTTTCCAACAGTGAAAGAATTTTTTAAATCGGTTCAGTAGTTTCGGAGCCTATTCAATACAAACAAACAAACAAATCTTTCCTCTTTATAATATTAGTATAGACATCAGTGTGCTTAGTGCGAGTTTTTTAACTTTCTCGATAGCGTAAAAGTTAACTGAAGTATGCAGTTGGAACAGCGCCCCTAGCGGCAAACGTAGGCAAACGATCCCATTCCATACAAATATGAGCTAACTTTTACGCTATCGAGAACGTTAAAAAAACTCGCACTAAGCATACTGAATAGCTAAGTTGATCTAAATATATGTATGTAACTTACGTTGCTGCTGGTACTGCTGCAAGGTCACAGGGTGATACTCTTGTTGGTACTCCTGTTCGTATAGTGCCTGGGGCAGCTGTGGGGGTGGTGGTGGTGGGGTGAGGGTCTGACGCGGGACCCGCCGGACCCTCAGCGCGGAGAGGTCTAAGAAGGCGATCTGGTCGGCGGGAACCGCGATATACGATGGCATGGCCGTTGCCACCGCCGCTAACGTTGCCAATATTAATGTGTGCTGTAAAAAAAAGCTGAAGTTAATTTATTGGGAAGAAAAATAATAATTAAGAATCGAATATTTAAATATCCACAAAAGGATAGAGAATAAAGAAGTTTACATTTAAGATGACCACAAACCGCCTAGTTCTAAACAAAAGTTTTTGTCCTCGTTACTGCGGCTATTCATTACTGAGGTGGAGTAATTCATTTCAGTCAGTACTTATCGCAATATCAGTTGGTAAAGAAACGACTGTATTTGTTGCAATGGTATAGAGGCGAGGAGGGTGGCGCAATAAACTGTCTGTCAGTACTGGGCGTTGCACGGTAACAGTCCACCGAAATATCTGGGGTGACTTTTGTTCTATAACAATTGTTTGTATTTGAATAGAATATTCGTATGCACCTTGTATTATATTAGGTTAAAGTACGTAATTTCTCAGTTATCGTAGTCAAATTTGTACGTATATTGTCTGTGTAGTTTCGTAGTTCAAGCTACTCCCACACTAAAAGCTCTTTGGTACATTTGATTGGACCCTAAAAAGCATTTTACGCCCACCGCCATCCGCTACTACCAAGCGTGGGTGTCGAGTTTGATAATTAACCCGTCGTAAGACATGGAAAATGTATAGGTCAAAATGATACACACACGAATTTCTTAGGTGACGTTCTCTGATATGTATTTCAAAAGAATTACATGAATAATTAATAACGAACTAAGTTCTAAGCGTCATTTGGAATTTGCTATGACCCCCGGTCACCGTCATCGTCGAATCTGTCCTTTGCGACGAAGGGCTCGACGAGTGAATTAACCACGAATTAACCCATAGACACAGCCCACTGAGTTTCTCGCCGGATCTTCTCAGTGGGTCGCGTTTCCGGTCCGGTGGTAGATTCTGCGAAGCACTGCTCTTTCTAGGGCCAGTGTTAGCAACACACCCGGTTTGAGCCCCGTGAGCTAAATAATTTTCATGTTATCCAACGTTCCTTAGAATTATCGACAGCTGAATGTATCAAAAATAATGGAGGTATTTGAAATGGACCCCTTATGCGTATTATTATGTACACTTGGGGACATATAAAAGAACAGTTGATTGGAAAGATATACCTTAGAATCAGGGTCGTTTAAAGTTAGTCTTTGTTATTTCATAAAAAAAAATCAGAAAATAAACATTTGATTTCTGCCCACGCGGACCGCTGGAAGCCGTAAAATTAGATTAGCTCCATTCATTGTTGAATGATGAAACCCAGACATTGTATTGTGCGTGTTATAATGTTATCATCAATGTGAACAGAGTGTGGGAAATTTTCACACATGATAAATAATTGTATAGACTGCTATACAATGTTTCGTAAACAAATTTGCGAAATTTAAAGTGGTTATATTAATACGACCGCTCTATATTCAAGGTTCCTGCTATCTTGTGAATTTTATAAAAACTAGAGGTCCCGCAGTAGTCGAAATTCGACTATAATTAATTGGAATTGTAAGTCTGTTCACTATTATGATTGTATTTTATACTTCTATAATCACAAATTTTGCCAAAGGTACACTAAAAAAAAATGTTAATAAAGACAAACAATATTTAATTTATTGTCAATTTGACCACTGACGTCAAGAACAAAAGTTTGACAATAAATAGTATGCACGTGTGTGTGCGTCAAATACATGGTATGTAGTGTGTGTAATATTTTCTTTATTGATGTAATGTATCTTTTATGCATTATTTTAAAAAAATATTAGCTTTGTGCACTTCTTCTCTATATTTTCTATAAGTGTGGAAAGTTCCATAATCCTCCGTCCGCGCAATTTTCGTAAAAAGGGATACAAAGTTTTTGCTTCATGTATCAATATATAGATATAGATTTTTGAAAAAAAGAAGACGATTAACTAATTTTGAAATCAGGAATATATTACTAAAGTAAACGAAAAAAATATATTCATTTACTGATCTAAGTATAAATACTTGTAAATTAGAAGGTTTCGGGAGTCAGGAAATTAACAAGAATGCAGCCCTCCGACGTTCCTTTGACACAATGGTCGTGACCTAATAGGTCAATTTAAAAAAAAAACCGACCATTTTTAAATTAAGTGAATTAAGCAATCGCCAATCACACTTTTCTTAATTTTTTTTATTTATTTATTTATTTATATATAGTAATAGGAAAGTTATGTACAAAGGCAATGCTTATTTCTTTATTTATTTTCTTTATATTACGGATCAGAATGAATATTTAATAAATTTCTACATTGCTCAATACTTTTACATGAATTTGCAATACGACTTTCTAAAGCTAATCGAAGCTGCAAATCTCATTTCATTAATTAATATGTGTACAATGAACTACACGCGTACTTAATTGTACAGTTAAAATTAATGTCGCTTACGTCTCTAATAAAATAATTTTTTATTGAACTTTCGACAGTTCAACTAACTATACTAAGACCTTAGAACTTATATCTCGAGATGGGTGGCGCGTTTACGTTGTAGATGTCTATGGGCTCCAGTAACCACTTAATACCAGGTGGGCTGTGAGCTCGTCCACCCATCTAAGCAATAAAAAAAAAGTTCAAAAGCGAAATTATGTTACGTGAGCGAATGAATTTTACAGTTTTGTTATTAAAATCTTATTTGACGTCTCAGAATGTCGATCACCACGAGTGTTACGTAACAAACAAGGTAGGTACTTTAGAAAGTGGAGTACAATTTCACAGTTTGCTAAACGTGTTCGGATCAATTGCGCAATGTTTTTAAAGGTAATTAAAATATCGTAATTTAACTAATATTTTAATTATATGTCACACATTATAGATATTATTATGTATCGCGCTTATTTTTATTATGACGTCATAACAATGTTAGACTGATTTTAAAATAAGCTAGACCGCTAATTATAACAGTTAAGTACGATATATAAAATGGTAAACCGGGAAACCTAAATATGATTACATATATGTATATTGATTCCACAACCTCTTCCCAGTTGCATATCAAATTTCATTAATAAACGATTTAGTTTTTCTGTAGCTACTTTTTTTTATTGCTTAGATGGGTGGACGAGCTCACAGCCAGGTGGGCTGTTAGGTGTTAGGCTGTGTTAGGTGGTTACTGGAGCCCATAGACATTTACAACGCAAACGCGCCACCCATCTTGAGATATAAGTTCTAAGGTCTCAGTATAATTACAACGACTGCCCCATCCTTCAAACCGAAACGCATTACTGCTTCACGGCAGAAATAGGCGGGGTGGTGGTACCTACCCGTGCGGACTCACAAGAGGTCCTATTACCAGTAAAAACCAGAAGTTCGGCACTCGGCTCGAAAAAGTCTGTCCCTCGTTTATTTTCAAACTCAAATTGATTCGCAGTTTCAGTCATTAGCACGCTAAGGTTTTCGTTTGACCGAATTAGTAAAGAAACAATCCAATTTGAATGTTACATTTCGGATTACATACATACGCTTGCCAAATTAATTAAAATAAAATATTAACGACTGCAACGCGAATAATAAGTAGGTAAATACAACGTTATAAAAGCGTCGGAATATTAAAATAACGGAAAACGGGTTTGGTTGGACAAACGAAATAAGGTATTAGTGTTCCGCATGCAATGTTCCCGTTTGCCTTCGCCATGTTACAGTGAAAGGTTCTCAATGTCAGTTTTTTTTTGTTGTTGTTGTAATACACAACAAAAGTCTACCACTGAAGTACATAGCGCAAATTACTTTGTCGCGATACAAGGTCGCTATTGTGCCACAACGTGTCTCGGAGAGACTTGTTTGGGCATTTTAATGTCATTTAATAGATTACATTTGAGTCGACTAGTATCAAAGCCGGCAATGTGACTTTTGGACAATTATTGGTAAATCAGAAAAACGAATTATTGACTTTGTATTCCATTGGCAGCCACAAAACTCTTCTGAACGACATCTTAGATAAATAACAGGTTAAGTATTAACCTTTATTTAATGCAGGTTTTGAACCGTATTCTTTGAAGGAGACGATTATATTCAAATCAATCTGTATTGACATATCAATAACATTTTTTTGTTCAAATGCACAGATTGCCACCTTTGATAATAGACGACTCATTTAGAAGGTTACATGAAAACAGATTCATAATGTAAAGAAATTACGTTCTTTGACATTTGTAAATTATACATGTTCACCTAATAGCATTTCTATTGGTCAAGGTCTGAATCTATTTTCAGAATGTAGAAATGTTAATAATTTTTCAATAAATCTCCGAAATCTATGGTAATTTAAACTGCATTTTTTTTTTATTGCCGTTGTAGGCAGACGAGCATACGGCCCACCTGATGATGAGTGGTTACCGTCGCCCATGGACTTCAGCAATGCCAGGGGCAGAGCCAAGCCGTTGCCTACCAATTTTGAGAAGTATATTCGTTTTCTGTGATCGATTTTGATTTGTCTTTGTGAATTAAAGTTATTAGACACATATTGTTTCGTAGCCTTCGATTAAATGTGAAATAAGGTTAAAATAATTATGTGCATAGAGTAAAAAGATGAGATAAAATTTTAAAAGGTTTTTTTATGGCGATAGACTCGGAGACATTGTCAAGTGACCATCATTGGTGTATAAAGGCGTGAGTCGCCAACAAATTTTTAAATTATGAGGTCTAAGTTTTAGTGGTGTTGCATTTGAAGGCTGTTCGTATTTTCTATGGGTTGTTCTATCTATCCTTCAAAGCGGATACGCGAATACTTGGCAGAAATGTTATAGGAAAGTGGTTGATCTACCGATACGTACACAAACATATTTAATTAATCGTTAATGATTGAGTATTGGTTGAAATCATTAGCGAAAATTATGGAAGCGATGAACGATAAAAAAATGTTTTAAAAGCTCATTCGACGACTAGACAGCAAGGTTAAACTTTCAAATGGCAAACACAACAAAAGTTTTTGTAGAAAAATGTGGTTCAATTAATAAATTGGCCAATATTTAACATAATGTATCTATTGTGCTCGCCCAGTCGTACAGATGATATTTTGCAATTCAAAATTAAAACAATTGAGCACGTCATAGTACGCAGCCTTAGTGAAATCGGTCAATTCACGCACTGATTAATATATAATTAATACGTTATCCAACAGCGGTTCATTGGTTTATTTGAATATCTGACCTCGTAACAGAGTGATTTCTAAAAAATATATATAAAAATATTCCCATACAAACATCACTGTTATAGCACTATGAAGTAACGCGTTTAAAATGAATATTATATCACGAATTGACCGACAAGAGGCCGTTTAATAAAACAAACACGAACAAAAGTGAAATTCTGACTGACCATTTTAGCGTGTCGTCGTGAAGGCTGCACCGGCGGCGCGCATCGACTGAGTGCGCCGACTTACACACTCAACTGTTTTATATACCGACCTTTCAACAAAGCGGTTTCACTTTCTACGCGGCCAGTCCTGGCTGATCTACATTTTTACGACCGCCATGGTGATATTGTAACAAAGAGTTTCGGACTCCCGTTTGAATTTAGAGAATTATTAGATTGGTAACAGGCAGATGTTTTTTTTATTGCTTAGATGGGTGGACGAGCTCTCGGCCCACCTGGTATTAAGTTGTAAGGAGCCCATAGATATCTACGACGTAAATGCCGCCATCCACCTTGAGATATGAGCTGTAAGGTTACAGTTTTACAGTATAATAGCTGCCCCTGACAAAGGGCTCGACGAGTGAATTAACCTATAGACACAGCCCACTGAGTTTCTCGCCGGATCTTCTCAGTAGATCGCTTTTCCGATCCGGTGGTAGATTCCGCGAAGTACTGCTCTTGCTAGGGCCAGTGTTAGCAACACTCTTGGTTTGAGCCCCGAGAGCTCACCTACACGTCAAGGAGAAGCTGAAATAGCCTCTCAAGGCTATCAGCTCTAGATACTAATGCACCGGGTGTCTTTTTCTTTGGGCCACGATGACTTCAAAATGTTGCTTCTATACAAACAATAACTCTACGTTAAGTTTTTGTACGCGATCAGAGAGATTCGATTATCGATTTTTTTGTCAATAAAGGAGATTCTACACTGGTGAGCTCACACGGGTAGTTTGTAATTGCCTATCCTGTATCCTGCCTATGTCTGCTTTGAAGCAGGCATGCGTTCGGTTTGAAGGACGGGACAGTTGTGGAAAGAAATTAAGGTTTCGACCACATTTCTTAAGCTGGGATGGTCGCATACACGTTGTGATATTTATGGGTCCCGGTGGTTACTTAACACCTGGGGAGCTGTGAGCTCTTCAGTCTTGTTAGGAATAAACAAAAAAGGGGTGTTACGTGGGTGTGTTTTATTGTAATAAATATATGATATTTAGTATACTATACAGATAACCACCCTCCAACACGGTATTTTACAACACGATTCCAAGGACGAAAAGAAAAATTCCGCAAAACCCACTTATACTACGGTACATCTGCAACACCATAACGAGATTTTTGTTTAAAATTATTGAGAAAATTACTTAGTTTTTATGTGTAATATATAGGTTAGTATAGTATACGTAAAAATTACATATAGACATAGTTGAGATGTTTCATTCAGAAAAAAATACCTACTTCTAGTCTCATATAATACGGTTTCGCAAAACCCGGGACTTTGTAGGTACGTACCTACCGCGTTATAGGAGGGTTACCCGTACTTACTAATATGATGTATACAGGGTGGTTCTTATTTAGGGTTTGCCCGATTTTTGTTTACGATAGTCCTAAATCGGTTCTAAATCTATTAAAAAAAATTCATGCCAAGTTATAGCTCTTAATTTTAATTTTAGTTGGCTCTGGTTCCAATCAATATATATAGGTAGATGAATAAATTAAAATTATAAAATGCACCAATTCAAGAATGAGTACGCACCTTTACAAGTTTGCCTGAAAATCAATAGTAAGTACCCATAATACATTAAGTACATTCACGTTTCACCGTACAAACTATGTATTGACATTGTCTCAAACTTGGGTTGTCAGTGGTCTAAAAGCATTTGCCCTCTCTCTCTCTCTCTCTCTCTCTAGCTATTCATACCATATGGTGGTGGGGTCAGCTTTCCTTGCTTTACTCCATTACCACTTCGTTCTATCTTCCACATCATCGCCATTAACATTCCTTCTTGTCCTCCAGCAAAACATCTCTAAAGCGTTTGCCCATTCAATAAAAAACGAAAAACTCATTAAAATTAAATGACCATAATCCGGCTGGCCTTATTAATTTATGTGAGTGTGATTAAAATTTCCTTTTTTACAACACAGGAAATAAAAGTTGCAAACCGTCATCAAATAAATTACAGTACTTTATGTGGAAACATCTAGACTTTAAGGTTTCCTTTCGGCGTCTCAGCAGATAATTTATAATTTTAATGGCCTCATAACAAAGTCACCGACGAAGTTTATAAAATATACCGGTCGCGGTGGCATGAAAACTTGAATAGATTTCGTTAGGTCTGGATGTGACAAACAAACCTGCCCATTTTCTATGTTAGGATCGAAACTAATAGCTCAGTATCGTTTACCGAGCGTTTTACTCGTAAGAACGTTTCGATGCCTTGGAAAAGTTACGAGTTTTTGCAAGAATCGTTTTATAGTTTGTTAAAAAAGAACAATGGTTGCCCTTCGTTACGTCACTTTTGTTTACCAACATCAAGACCTGTTTTAATTTAGGCACGCGTCGTAACTACCAGTGCACAACGACGCATATTAATTGACTTCGATTACACAATAGTTTACATCCCGTATTGTAGAAGAAAAGACATGATTTATTACGTCTCTGATTTTTTACGTCATAGCGTTTTATAAATCGATGAACACTGTCTGCACGCACGAAAAAGTGTCACGTTCCGCCTGAGCCTGAGCGCACAAGCGAGAGCGCGGAACAAGCAATAGAAAGGCACGATCGGCCATTTTTTTTTCCTACCTAAGCTGATAGCCCTGAGAGGCTATTTCAGTTTCGCCTTGACGTGTAGATGAGCTCACGGGGCTCAAACCGGAGTGATGCTAACACTGACCCTAGCAAGAGCAGTGCTTCGCAGAATCTACCAACGGATCGGAAACGCGACCCACTGAGAAGATCCGGCAGTACAGTACTCAGTAGGCTCGATCGGCCCAAGCGTTGGCTTGTAACACATTTATCTCTCTTCTCGCGTGACGTCAGAGCTAGTGGTTCGATTAGTTCTGCTACTGACGTTATCACTTAAAACTATCGTCCGTAAACCGAATTTATAGACAATCAATATTTTTTAAGCCGCCAGATGTAAATCGGCTTTCGATCTTAACTAAGTTTTCATTTACAATAATCTTTTTTTTTATTGTTTACTGCCAAGTTGGGAATGTAGAGCGTCGCCCCCATGTTGATATATGAGGTCGAAATCTCATTGTACAACGTATTCTATTGTTTATTATATTGTACGACGGGCGACGGCTGTTCCACTCTTCAAACTGCAACGCGTGACTACTTCGCGTCAAAATAGGGTGGTGGTATCTGCCCGTGCGAGCATTCTATACGCCTAACCACGGTTAACATTTTATTTAATTATTTCTTAAAAAATATTTCAGTTACTAGCAAGTAAGCGCCTACAAATAGACAATATACATCCGATGTAAACTCTTCTGGCTGTCTGTGTCAATACAGTAAAAAACGTCGAAGCTATTCCACTTTGTATTGTATATATTTTATCTATAAATATTTTTATGGCTATATACTTAACAACTGCGTATTTCTGCCGCGAAGCGAAACGCTTAATATGAACTGCTAGCTGACAACTCAAGCAGGCTAATCACCTTTATTACAAGGACACTGTATTTCCATTCTTTGGATCGACCGTAAAATTATAAACAACCATTTGATTTGTGAACAATATGATGAAAAGAATACAAGGGATATTCATTGTTTACTTAGATGTTCAATATTTCATCATAACCATTATCATAGTCATTAATATTCTATTCTTCTTCTAGAGAAAACAATAATAGAAACTATAATTCATCGATGTCGTTTGAATTATGTTATTGTTCAAGTATTATACAAAATGATACGTGACGGCGTATTTATGTAAATTATTTAATTCAATTTAGTTCTGTAAACATATTTTATGAATAAATTAATGTGACTTTGATCGTCATTTATGACTTCAATACATTGCCCTCCGATACCACTTCAATCCTTTTTTTTTTTAACCTACCTAAGCTGATACCCTTGAGTGGCTTTATCAGCGGAACCTTAACTAGTAGGTGAGCTCACGGGGCTCAGACCTGACGACGATGCTAACACGAACCCTAGCAAGAGCCGTGCTTCGCAGAATCTACCACCGGATCGGAAACGCGACCCACTGAGAAGATCCAGCGAGAAACTCAGCGGGCTGTGTCTGAGAGTTAATTTACTCGTCGAGCCCTTCGTCGCAAGCGATGGGTTCGACGAGAACGGTGATCGATGCTTGAGGTACCTAAAAGCACCGTTAGTGGATCGGGAGGATCCGAGATGACGTGCTTGGAGCGACGTCGACTGCTTTCCATTCTTTCCGCAGGATCGGGAATGTAGTTACCGGCGGCCACGATGAGAGGGTTCTCGTGTCGTGCCGCTTATTGATGGACTCTAAGTCCAGGTCGTCATGGAGGTTCCTGACGAACCACGGGGCTCCGTCGGCTATCCTGCAAAAACGGGATTGAATAATTTGAAATGATTTTAGGTGAGTGCGGGCCGCGTGAGCGAACACTACATTTGCATAGGTCATGACGTTGCGTATGCAAGTTTTGTAGAGTGTCACCTTATTTCTAAGGGACATTTTACTTCGCCTACATATCATCGGGTAGAGCACTTCAATACACGCGGCGTGTTACTCTTACTGTAGCAATGCGCGGAACTTGCGGAAGTCAAACAAGAACACATTTTATTTTATTTTATTGAAATCATGTTCATTTTCCGAATGTAACCGAATTATATTTGTTTTTTTTTTCTACGACTAGTATAATCTTTCGTTTTTCTTTTTCATTATATTTTTTGTGACGTTTTGAATACTTTAAAGTTTTGATGGTCGACGACAAAAATCAAAACGTAAAACAAGTTTTAATTTCGATTCTGAGACTCTTCTCGATGTTTCAATATGATATTCTAATAGATACATAGATTAAATTGCGTTCACTGACATTCACGGAACGAAGTATTTCAGAGCGACTATCATATGTATAACGCCTTATCCGATTTCTTATTTCAACATTATCCGAGCTGCATGTCTGAGACAATACCGGTATATGTGTATAGGTACGTGTATGTATATCGATCGACTTAGATATTGAACATGAACATTCATTTTTATTTTGTGTTTTATTTTTATATTATTCAGAAATTGCAGTTATTGTTTTTATTTAATTCTGGTATACGAAGCACCCCACT